GGGGTGAAGTGGGGATGGAAGGGCACAAGGGGGCATGGGGCTGGTTGGAAAGGTGGATAATGGAAACAGCCCCATCATGCTCATGTGCCGGGGCAAGCCGGTTAAAAATTGGAGAGCGACAAAAGGAAATGCTTTCCCTCCTCTACAGGATCAAAGGCACTTCACCCTTCGGCAGTCCAGCTTAAATCCTGCCCTGTGAGCAGCCCAGTCAGAAACGCACACACACACACACACACACACACACACACACATTTGTAGTTGGGGCTTGCTTAAAGGATTTCAAGCTGGCACACATTCACGTCCTGCTGGCTTTTTACGAACCATGAGCTGATGCTTAAAACGATAGAACAAATTCATCCTTAAACTTTTACGGCGGTTCCCTGTTTCTCAAGACAAACTTTGCGTATGATTCGTGAATGATTTGCACCGACTCATTCATTTTACCACAATGGGGGGGAAAGGCAAAAACAAGAATTGTGAGCAGAATAGCGTTTGTTCAACTTCACCATGAAGAGTGAAGTTGAACACTCTTCATGGTGTGTTCAACTTCACCATGAATGAAACCCTGATGAAATAAGGGTTCCCCCTTATCGTTCAATCGTTCAAAGACTTTCAAATAAGGGTTCCCCCTTATTTCATCAGGGGAAACCAAGCGAAGGGATCTAGAACAGCCAGTCTTGAAAATCATTTCAGTCTCATGGTTTGTTTTTTTTAAAGCCTAAAATTTCAAACTTTATTCAATAAATGAGATTGATAAATTAGGAGAATTATGCTTATCCTCAACCCTTCAACTGGAAGTGGAATGATTGAAGAAACAAGACAATTTAAAACATTAAAATCAACTTAACACAAAATAAATGTCTTAGATTATCATCGGCTGACAAAAGGTTAAGCTCTATGAAGATGTTTTTGGTTTTTGTTCTCTCTCTCTCTTTCTGTTTTGGTCTGAAAGGTGAACTCAAGGTTTTTACTCATTATTTGGACACTAAATACTCTTGGGGATCGTTTGTGACAGTTTAAGAGAGTTGTTCAAACTGAACGAGCCTCACTGGGTCCTGCACGCTCACATTCCAGAAAACGGTTCATTCGCGTGTCGGCTGGTCCGTCCATCATCGTCTCAGCCCGACTGTTTACATGTCCAGATCAAACTGAGGATTATTTTCGCCATGTAACTAAACTAAGAGTTTACCACAGCAGGTTTATGGTCACTCCTGAATCTCTGGGAGCCAGTCTGAGGTTTAGAAGATTATTTAGTCATTTGAGTGTCCTGGCAATATAATACAGGTTTCTACAAAACACAAAAATCGCAATTAGCAAACAGCAACATAACAACATCCCCAAAACAAGCCTGGCAATTCCTGACCTGCCGCCCACGTTAGACCAGTCAGACTGAGGACAGGCTGATGACAACAGCCAGTAAACAGTAGACCTGAAGCCCCGCCCACTGAACTCTAGCTCCGCCCACTGGAAGGAAGGCTACTCAGAGCAGCCACCAAAGCTATCAAATCTCTCCCTTCATCTTTTCTGATTCAGTTACTGGCTACTATTTGGCATTTCCCAGATTCTGCGTTATATTAAAAACAAATGATGGCATGAATATCTTCTATGAAAACAAACAAAGAAAAATTTACCTTCTGGTCTGCATGCACCATTCACAAAAGATTTGTCCTGTTTATTCTTTAAATGCAAATGATGATAGCCCTATTTAGTTAGTTAGTTGTATTTTTTTTTCTTTTAATCTTGTTGCTTTAAAACTTTCTCCAAGGAAACACATTTGTATTTTATCTCATCTGATTGCATTAAATTTTATCATGACTTATGGCAGATAAACCATCCCTGTTTGAGTCCATGAGGATAAATGTCGTTCTCTGAAGATGACAGAAGTGACGTGTAATAATGATCCACTCAGGGTTAAAATACTTCATATTTGGGTTGATGTGTCAGGTCTGAGTTGGGAATCGCCTGAGTTGATCAGGAGTCGATTCAGAGACTGAACGGTTTTATTTCATCAGGGGAAACCAACCGAAGGGATCTAGAACAGCCTTAGATCAGCAGACAGAGTCAGAAATTGAGTCCGACATATCAACAGTTGTAAAGTTCATGCTTGAAAGAAAAGAGTGTCTTTTTTTTTCTTTTCTTTTTTTTCCATTTTCAACCACCCTGGCTGACTCATCAAGTCACGATCCCGGATCCTAATGTTGTCAACAAGCGAGCGAATGAATGACTGGTGTCCAAGACCAGGCCGAATGGTTGACCCTGAAACAGAATGACCTTTTCATTTGTTTGGTCCCATTTGCTGCAAAATGATCATGAAAGCAAAACAGTGACAGTTTCCTTTTTAAAAGAATTTTAGAAAATCTTGCTCTAAAAATAAATGAAGAAAAAGAAAGAAAAAAAGAAGCACCTCTGCTGATTTAAAGACATTACAAAACCCCACAAACGTTCCCCAGGCTGCACTTTGGGCACCTTTAATCTGAACTATTCTAGCTCTGACTGCTTGTTAAAAAAAAAACATGTTCCACTCACAGGTGTCCTGATGGTGGCAGATTTTCCCACCCGAGTTGTGCATTTCCTCCCAAGTCACCTGCTTTGAGATGTACAGCTGTCCGAGTTTGACCCAAACGGGCTGAAGAGGACAAAAAAAAAAAAAAAAAAAACAGTAGGAATAAATCCCATATTCACTCTGAAAGTGAAACTTATGTATTCTATATTCATTGCACAGAAAGTAAACAATTTTATTTATTTATTTATTTATTTTATTTGTTATCATTTCAACAATTATCGAATATCGTCTTTTTAATGATGTTCAATATTATAGTTCATGTTCATGTTTATCGGTGTTTCATCAAAAATACACAACAGCTCCTTTGTGTGTGTGTGTGTGTGTGTGTGTGTGTGTGTGTGTGTGTGTGTGTGTGTGTGTGTGTGTGTGTGTGTGTGTGTGTGTGTTAATTCAAACCACTCTCACTGGCAGAGGAGCGCAGCGACACTGAAGTCCACTGATGAGAACCGTGACTGTTAGAAAAGACTTTCAATCGTTCTCCATGTCAAAGGACTCAATTTTTTCCCCTCCCAGCCCAAATACCTAGTTTTCATACATTTCAAATGTGAGTTTTGTTATCAGCGGTTTCCTTCGTGCATTTGCAAACTTCGGAGAATGTTTTAAATCGACCAGACGCGCGTCTCCTCCGTGTGCGTAAAAGCGTTCCCCTCTGTCCGTCTTGTTTGATGCGTCATTTTCATTAGAGGTCTCTGTGATGGGTTTTCCAGCGTGCGTCTCCCATCTACATACTCAGAGTGTATGCAACACATTGTCTCGTAATGGACAGCGTATCGGTGCAGGGAGCCGAGATTTCAAAGAAAAGACATCTTTGCGCGGAGAGACGGAGAGAGCGCAAGCGGTGTAATGAGTTTCTGCTGCGGAACATCCATGTTGCGAAATTAGCTGGAGGGAAAGTGCCCTTTAAGTGCGCCGTCTGTATCCCTGCGTGGATGCAGCAAGTGGGGTGAAACCAACAGAGGAGGGATTCAAAGCCACGGATGCACAACTCGGCTTTGTTTTTCAAATATTTTGCGGCCGTTTCAATCTGGGTCCTGCGGAAATGATCCGTACAATTGAAAACATAAACCGCTCTCACATGCACACACACATTTATATGTGTGTGTGTGTACATATATATATTAACATATATTAACCTTTACTCATGGCACGAACACAAACTTCATGAAATTGAGTGTATTTTTTTTCTGATAAGGCAACACAAATAAACTTTTACTTGATTTATTTTTATTTTTTTACAGATAAGCTGAAAAGTGTGGCTTGCATTTGTTCGCAGACACAGTAATCAGGCTGGTGAACTGAGCCGGTTATGGCAGGTAATTCATGATCTAACATGGAGCTGATTTCGAAAGCTTTTTTTTTTCTTTTCTTTCCATAACTCGGGTCATTTTTGTCTGACATTTATTTGTTGATTCAAAGCATCTGGGCGCGACGAAAACAGCGAGACGGCATACGTCGTTTCTCACTGCGCTGCACTTATTTTCTTAAAGTGAAACAAAACTACACGGACTAAAAGTACGTGAAAGCAGGCAACTATTACTAGTTACCTGTAACGAGTCAGGGTGCGTTAAAAATGGCCTCCCCTCTTTTAGAAGTCGCTGAAATGATTAAATTGGCTGAAAATTATATAACTTTCAAACTGTTGATATTTTTGTATGTGTGCAGAATTTATATTAAATGTTACAGACACATAAAAATTGACAAATAAATTGCATGATATCACCCTTTTCTCAATTTTAGGGAAAAGCTCAGACTCAGAGAGCGCCCTCTCCTGTTGGCATGCGATACTGCACAACTCTTCAATTAATGTTGAGTCTTTCGCCCCAATATTATTAAGCCTTCGGTCAGACATACAAAACCCATTATACAAGTGATGCAAATATGAGTTTCATGTTATTTTAGCTGGCAAGATTACAAAATGATGTTTTTCAGAAAAATTATTTGAGTTTCTCATATTTATTTGAAGCAGTGGTGAACTTTTAGAAACTTTTTTAGAAAGTTCAGGAGAAAATATTGTAACTGGATAACATTTAAGTGATTTCATTCATCTTTACTATACACATTACTTATATATATTCTTGTTCAAAAGTATTTTTATCACAATTTATCCTTGCTGCTACATCTACTAAATGCTTTATGTGTAATTTTGGTGACAACTTCAGAGACACAACATATGTCCTTCTACAGGAAGCAATAGATAAAGACTAAAAAGAACACAGTAGCCATCATCAAAATAATCCTGCTAAAAAGGATTAAACTGATTTATCGCCAACGCATTGAACAAAAAACGTGACGGCTCATATGCCAAAATGAAACTGTGCATCAGATTCATTGACAAACATCGCCACCTAGAGGTCACGCTCCTTGTACAAACCTTGCATGCCTGCAAATCTATTTTATTTCTAAGATCTGATGAAAACATATTCAACATGCAATGAGGTCAGCCAGTAAAAAGCTTTTTATTGAAGAAAATGAAGGTTTCCCCCTGCTCTCCACTGCCTTGGTCAGTTAAAGCAACTGATGTGACCCGAAAAAACAAACACAAAAAAAAGAGGATCTCCACAGTGCTCTACAAAGAAGATAAGTATATTCATTTATCAGGTAAAAGTGGTTATTGAGTTTTAGAATACAGAACAACAGCCATAAACAGGAACAGACAGATAAACGACCAAAGAGGGGGATAGGTCTTTTCTTACTCTTGCATATAAAAAATAAATAACTGAAAGCACATGTTTTTTGTTTTTTTTTTGCTTTGTTGCTCTTAAAGCTCGGTTTTTGTTTCTTTCTGTGATCGCACAGTCGCTCAGATGGGATCTGCTGCTACAGCACGTTTCCACCCATCGCCTCTGAAAAACTGAAACCGGAATCGAACGGCGGCACATGCAATGTGACAAAAACGGGCGCCGACGCCACGCGTCCTTCTGAACCACACATGCAAACCGACAAACGCCTCCCCCCTTCAAAAAAATAAAACAATAAAAATACAATTCATGTCACAATAAGCTCCTAGAAGAGGTCAGAATCCAGTAACCACTTCCCACATGGCTGCTTTTGCATCGAGTTATGACGCAGAGTCATTTTAAGCCAACGTTGTCTGAAAATAAATCATCAAGGTACCTAATAAGATCTGTCAAACTTCTTTTTTTTTTTCTCCACTGTACATCAACAGCCACCAAAAACATAAATAACATTTAGACTGCTCTGCCTTGTCAGTTAAACAAGCATAAACATTACATTACTTTCAGTACAAAAAAAAAAACTCCCAGCAAAGCTGCTGACATAAACAGACATTTATTGAGAATATTTTGATGAATTTCAGTCAAACAAGCTGAAACATACTCAGGTTGATAAAAGTGGTTCCCTTATTATAGACTACATCAATAAATACACACACAAGATAAGCCTCTTTCCATTCTGAAATCCCTCCCCAGCCATTATTCTTTCTTTTTTTTTTTTTTTTTTTTATCCTGAGGCAGAAATAGAAATACTACTGCAGTCTTTCCTCAAGTGCTCCTGGCAGGAGAATCGCTTCATTAAAGGGCCGCGTCGTTTTAAACATCAAAATCGGTTTGGGCACTTCAAAGAAATAAAATAATTAAAATAATAATAATAATAAAAAAACAAATAAAATAAAATAAAAGCAGACTTGTCCCCAATGGTGTACAAGAGAAGCTGTGCTAAAATAAAAAAAATAAATAAACACAACACACACAGATACGCTCTAAAAAAGTCACTTTAGCAACAAAACATGCGACCTCTGTCTCAGACAAAGAGTGTTTGAATTTTTCTTTTTTTTTTTCTTTTAAAAGGATGAGTTCCTTCAGGCATTGACGTTTCAACTTCAAAATGGAGGAACAACTGGAGGAAGAGGGAGAAATTTCATTAAACTTGCAAATTCTGAGTAAAGCATCCCTCTCTCTCTCTCTTTTTCCGTAGCTGGACAACAAACATGGTGCTCGTCAAGACGAGGGGGAGGAGGGAGAGTCGTCCCCGGGAGACTCTGGAACCAAACCGGCCCTTTAATGTGATTCACTGATCTGTTCCCCTGCTAAGAAAGTGAAGCTTGGTCCCACAGAGACGCGGAGTGGAGTACGGTATTTTCTTTGGAGCAAACAGCAGCGCAGCACATCAGTTAATGGAGCACGGCTCCCAGAGGAGAGCACAATATAGGACACTCCTCCTCTTCCTCCACTTGAGCTATTAATACACCCAAACAAAAGAACAGGCTTAATGAGGCAGCAACAGGGAACTCATGCGAGCTAACTTAGACGAGAGCTTTGTAGTGTTCAGTTTCAAGGATTCCGGTTGTTTTTGTCTTTTTTAAGGGCAACGGATCCCCACTCTGCTGCTGCTGCTTCTTCTTTAATGGCTGATGCTATCGGAAGTTAAAAAAAAAAGCACAGTATATGTACATTGTGCAACATCCTTTTTATGTTTGAACCCATTTGGTTCGTTTTCTTATATATATATATATATATATATATATATATATATATATATATATAGCTTTATATATACACTATGTTTTTTTTTAAAGGAAAAAAGCGACAGAGGTGAAAAGAGGTGCATAGTTTTAGGCATGATGGTGTGCTGAGAATAAAAAAAGAAACAAGTCAACTGTAAAAAAAAAAATTGTAGTAATAGTAATGTCGAACATTTCAATCCTAAAAAATGAAGCACTTCTTTGCATAATTGCATGAAAGGAAACCGTTTTCATGCAGCTTAAAGCGACGGCTACCTTAAAAGTTAATGCTTTGGTTCGGAGTCGGAGTGCATGAAAACGGAAGATGGCGAATGAGTGTTTGAGTGTTTGAGTGGACACAGACGTCAAGCTCAGGATTTCGATTTCATGTCCCACCTCCTGTGCCCCGGTATATATTTATATATATGTAAAATCAAGAAAGTACAGTATTTCAGTAAGTAGTAGAAAGAGAGATATAACTACTAACACAACACGGCGTTAAAAACAGTCAAACTATGCCGACTAGAACACTGGAACGTCCGCATATTTAGGCCATAGGGAGAAAAAGATGCACCGAGCGACCAAAATCAGACCGTTTTTAGCTTTATCGGCTCTGACCGATGGAAAACTCAAACATCTCACCTTTTCACATGGCAGTGAACACACCATTCCAGCTCTAAAACCATACTTTCAGGAAGTCTTGCAGGAAGGCTGACCTTTTAGAGTTTTTGACCTCTTTCTGCAATGGAAATGTTTGAATTTGAACATGTTGGCAGCCTTCTAGAAACCTCAAGAGGATCTACGTTCTCGGAAGCCATGCTAATCTCTAATACGAGATGCAAGAAGCATTAGCATTTCAAATCAGAAATCAATTAGTCTTGTTTTGAAATAATAGAAAACCTTACAGACCCCTCACAACAGGAAAGCTACTAAAACTTCTCATAAAGAGAAACTGTAGTCGACAAAAATTGGTCTCAGTAGGTCGAAGCTCAATCGGTGCGTCGTCGTTAAAAAGAACGAGTTTGGTACATGGAAGGAGTAAAACTTGAAGGTCCGAAATTGAATCGAGGCCAGTAAACAAACTCACACTGAATCAAGTAGGAATCTGCCTCAAAGGCCATTAATACAAAAAAGGATAAAAGTGGTTTATGTTTCAGTTCACATTACATCATGCACTAGAAACTTAGGACTAACCAAATGTCTGCACGGTTCCTTGTTTCACACACGGTAGATGGAGCAATGGCAGCATCAGAGATGAAGAACGAGCCAAGTCAGACATGCAGTGCCTATAAAAAGTATTCACGCCCTCGGATGTTTTTGCCTACTTATCGCTTTTGCAAATCAATCATGAGCAAAAAAAAAAAAAATTATATTTGTTTTTCACAAAACCAAAAAAAAACTCCTCTAACTGCAAAGTGAAAACTGGTTTCTACAATGAAATAATGAAATAAAAGTATTTAAGATGCAAGCAATTTTATAAATATTCACTTGGTTTAAAGGTTTTAACAGAGGTCCAGGCAGTTGGTAGTACTATTACGATTAGTGGACTAGAAATAACATGAGTGAAGTGAATTTGTTTTATGTGACTGCAATATAGAGTCACCTGGCTACCAGAACAGCATTAAGACTAAAGATTACAAGCAAATCTGAGAAAAATGTTTTAAGACGTATCAGTCAGAAGATGGCAACAAAAAAATCCCCAAAACTGTTAGGCACTGTACTTCCCCTAGAGTTTAATTAAATCCATCATGGAGACATGCAAGGAACATGGCACCATGCTGTGATCTTGTAAAGATGCACAAATGCTTCGAATCACGCGCGAAATGAGCCGCGACGGGCCCTTGTCGCCTCCAGAGACCTTGAATGTAAACCAGACGCGCAGAACGTGCTCGGTCTGATTGTACCTTAAAGGTAGAAGGTAAAGAAATATATAGAAATCCTGAAGGACAATTTGTTTCCATCTGCAAGAGAGCTATGGCTGCAGAGAATATGTATGTTCAAGCAACGCAGGGACCCGACGCGTCCAGTTAATGCTACACAGAAATGCTTTGAGGACAAATAAGGTGGATGTTCTGAAGTGGCCCAGTCAAAGCCCTACCCGATAGAGAATTTGTGGCACCGGAAAGAGCTCCAACAGTTCTCTCAGGACGACTGGCGGAAAACTCCAAAGATCAACTTGAAGGCTGTAATATTTTATCCAGTCACTGATTTTATGTCATACATTTTTAACATTTTGTAGAAAGTCAGTTTTTACTTTTGAGATTAAGCTTTTTTTTTTTGTCAAATAACTGAAAAAAAATTGTCGCTCATGACTGATTTAACAAAGAAGTAAATATGTAAAAAAAAAAAAAAAAAAAACCCAAGTCGGGTGAATACTTTTTATTGTCGCTGTTGGAACAAAAAAAGTTTGAAGACTTCCAAGAAAGCAACATGACTTTGTTGCCCTGCAGTCTCCTGAAATATCCACACTTCTGCACTCGCAGCTGGAAACCGGACATTACTTGATTCGGCTGCAATTTTGGCACACGCACACACACACACGTGAGCAACGAAAACCACCTTCCTGTTACAAAGTAATTGCATTTCGTTATTTCTGAACGGGAGACCACTTGAAATCGCCTTTTCAATCGTCATCTCACATCGAGCGGATCTGAATTCTCCCAGCGATCTAATTGACCGTAGTGGGAAGGACGCAATTAATTTTTGTATTTGTATTTTTTTTTGACGCAGCGCGATCCAAGTAAAACCCAACGCTGCTGACCCCGTTTCTAGAGAAGTGGCCATTTTAACTTTTAAAGTAGCTCCACGTCAAAGGGAGCGACAACTCTCTAAATTCAGCTCTGCTCTCAGGGTCACCAGAAATGCTTTGCTTTGGGCAAAAACTACAAAACACATTGGGCTAAAATGCTCACGTTTGCCTCTTTAATCTTTTATGCATACATTTTTCATTTTAACATCAACACCGTCGGCTGTTTTGTTTTTTTCCTTTGCGTCCATGATGCTAAAGTCTACATGACTATTAATATCCAGCCAGCTGCAGTCAAGTCTACAAAACCCACCAGGTTTTCTGTGGATAAGGAACCGTACTTACAAAAAAATATCTTTTTTTTTTTTTGAACACTCGCATGTATTCATTATTTCGATTCAGGCTCATTTGGAACCATTAATAAGTTAACAATATAGCTTATGATATAGCTTAGATTACAGTCTAAAATTCACATATAAATAAAAGCTTCACCTCTCGGACGCGATTTCTCCCGAGGTTTTGCTTCGCGTCTTCTCCTCCCTTACAAAGCATCCGCGGTTTAAATACTACAGGCTTCCCTTTAAAACAACAACAACAAAAACCGCCTAGACACAGACAGATACGAAGAACGAGGAGAGGACCCGCGTTGCTTTGGGCATTTTTTTGTTTCGTTTTTCTAATAACGACAGTAAAGACGTCTCCTTTCCATCTTCCTGGACCGGGGACGGTGGGGCAGCCCTTAAGACAACAATAACAACTTCTGCCTGATCCAGACCCTGATTGATAACAGAAGAAGTGTGAAAGTCAGAGAAAAAGAAAAGAGAGGCTATTGCTAATGGTGATTGATTGAGTGATTGATTGATATATATTACGGTGCAAGCTGCTGCTCCTGCTGCATGCTCGGTTCTGGTGACATGCAGACGTCCATGCAACAGAGCTGGAGGAGGAGACAGAGTCGCCGCGCGGGTCCGACTCCGCGGCCCGCCGACCAAAAAACTGCGCCCGGATCTGTCGCCTGCCGCCTCACTGTCCTTCCGAGAAGCGAAAGGCCGAAAGTGTGTTCCGGTGTCCGCAGTCCGTCTCCTCGACGCCCGGCGTTTTGACGGAGGGGCTGTTGGAAGGCGGCGGATTGGGCTCGCCCTCCGTTAGCGTCTTCTCCTGAGACTGCGAAGAGGAGGAGGAGGAGTGCGTGCTCTCGCTGGAACTGCTGCGCGTCTCCGTGCTGGTGCTCGTCTTTTTCATTTTCCTCCTCTTGGCCAGCGGCGCCTTGTCCACCGTCTGTAGGCGGAAACCTTCCCGTTTGCATTTGTTGAAAGCCTAAGACGAAACAGGAGGGAAGATGATGTCGGTCATTCCCTTGGTCCAACATTCCCAGCACATCAGTAAAAGTCTCTGTTGTGTTTGTTAAATACAGAAGCTGTGTTTTTAATCAGGCCTGTCACCATAACAAATACCGCAACGTGATAAATTGCCTCAGTAATTTTTGTCATGATATTGTTTTGAGACCATTTTCAAGTAACTTGCCACAATATTGCAAGTTCTCCCTCTCTCAAGGACAAATAAACTTTTGTTTTGTAAAAAATACTGGACAATATGGACAATATTTCAAATATCCAAAACAAAAGACGACAACCAAAAACAATAAATAAACCAAAACCATTACAAAATGGATTATAATGTCTTTGTAAAATCATCATGCCCTTCAATTTCTTATAGCGACAGGCTTATTTTTTAGCAACCTTGTAATATGCTTTGTGTGGAAGAAAACAAACAAACCATCCCCCACTATGGAACATGGTGGTAGCAGAGATAATCCTTTTCCTCAGAACAAACGAGGAAGAAAAGAAAAATCCCACAATAAAGAGAAATGGTTTAGCTAAGCGGATAATCTTGGGTTAAAATGGTTCGATCAAGATCTAGATTTGAATCTAACTGAGACGTATCCGGATGTCTAAAGCCAGTGGATGCACGACCCAAACAATGTGCAGCTGCAGAGTCAAACGATGCAGAGTCAAACGATGACTCTACAGCATCTCCACAACTTCTTTCAAGGAGGTGGTGGATTCAGCGGCAGGCTCCCAGAAGAACACCACTACTAGAATAGAAAGAACATTCTCACCTACTTTCTGACAACAGTGTTCTCTCGCGGCGCTCTTACATTAAAGGTCGCTTTGACGCAAGTGTGGACGGAGGCAGTCGAGGAGCCGAGAATGTCGGGGGTCATGAGTGGGTTGGAGGACAGCTGGCTGTCGTCCTGGAGCCAGGCGTTGTAACGGAGGCCGGACATCTTAATCCTCTTGTCTGGGTCCACCGTCAGCAGCTCTGCAAGGCGGAGGAAAAGGATAATTCACTTAACACACGAACGAGGAAGGTGAGTCATGTGCGAGTCCCGCAAAGGAAGTGATTCTCTTCCCCCGAGCAGGTGCTTAAACCAACGCAGAGAGCTCGCAATGGCCAGCAGGGGGCGATAGTATGGATGATGATTATGTGTAAAATTGCCTGAAATTTCTCCACTGCGCGATTGTCGCGTTCTTAAAGAGGTTTTTGTTCTCAAACGGATTGAAATTTGAAAGAACAAAAGTATGGGAAACAAGAATTTTTGAAAAGAAAAAATTATTTTTGGAAAAATATGACAAGAAATGAATTGCTGCAAGGCTATGTTTCACTTATCCTGGTCGCTATCTATTTTGGATTCAGTCCGAACAGGGAACGGCTTTAAACTACCGTGTTAGAGCTGCAGCTAATGATTACTTTAGTGATCGATTAATCAATCATTTATTTAGACGATTAATTGATTAATCAGATTTTTTTTTAAATTGGCACATCCTGCAAATTTACAATATTCAAAATACGTTAACAAACAAATAATTCAATTCAGAAAAACATTATTTCCTGAAATGCAACATCAGAATTCCTTTTAATGAACACTTGATCATTTGTAGCAAAAGAAGCACCGGCAGCTGAGAAAATACTTCCAACATCAACAACATATGTGAAAAGCTCAGCTGCTTGACTTGACATTAATACATTGTAGGGTTGATTTGTTGATTGTTTTGGGATTACTGATTAATAACTAGATATTAAAAGGTGCAAAACTGATATTATTTACGAAATTTGAACTGGGTGAAGCTAATCATGCCCCTTGAAGAGTTCTGCATAGAACACCTTTCTTACAGTCTGCATACTCCATTTAACAATTAACCGACTGCTAAATTAGTTGACAATTATTTTAATTATCGATTCATCATGTTCAATGGAAAATTTTTGAACAATAATTTAATTTTAGGACCAAACATTTTACTGCTGAATATTTATTTTAAATATAATATCTAAATGATGAAACTGAGTCACCTCCAGTTTGATAAAGAAGCATCATGATATCCCACAGAAGAAGAAACGGCTATAAGCAACAGGTTTTCTAGCTTTGTCGTCAATAAGGATGTAATAAGGAGTCAGGTGCTCAAGTAAAAAAAAAGAAAAAAAAAGGGAAAAGTAACAATTAGATTAAGGGGGAGATTGTAGACGCAACAAAATATCAAAATTGTTACATAATTATGACAGAGACAGAAAATGTTTGTCCCCGAGACGCTTTTGGCGAGTTAGTGCATGTTACTCATAAAAACACTTTAATATACCGTATTACTCAGCACATGAATGCTTCACTGAAGTTCAGTTGAGGACAAACTTCCTGTTTTGACAGCAATTTTATATCTTAGTTCAAATCTGTGCGTCGTATCGGCAATACTGCCGGCATGTTTACATCCCAACTCAGAACAGGTTTTTATGCCCTTTGAATCAGAATTTGGCCACATGAGAACGTTTGAGTGCTTTCAGCGGCTCATCGACCAACACAAAGTGAAGTGAAAGGAAGTGATGCATAGTTTTAATGTTAGGTTGTGTTGTTTTTCAAACAAATTATACAATTGTACAGTGCAGATGGAAAGCATCCCAAATAGTATTAAATTATTCTCTTTTCCACAAAATTCTACACACTTACATAAATGTGATATCTTGGTTTTCTGTTTGAAATGAATTAGCGAAAACTCTCAAAACTGTTTTCCACATTGTCATAATGAACTGTTTGTGTAGAATCTTGAGCAAAGAAATCAACTTTATACAATTTGGAACCGTAACAGAATGTGGAAAAAGTGAAGCGTTGTGAATACTTTCCAGATGCACGGTTTTTACTCTGATACCCCGACATAAAATCAAGGGTAATCATCTTTGTTCAAAATTCACCAATCAGACAGAGCCTGCATAAATGCAGGTTCTATGAGGGTCTCAGGTTTGTTAGGACATTAGTGAACAAACAGGGAACAGAGCAGACGGGTAGGGAAGCTTGAAGCAGGTTTCAAAAATAATATTCCAAGTTTTGAACACCTCACAGAGTACCATTCTATCAATCATCTGGATAATGGAAAAAGTGTGGAGCTTCCATGTCTTTATGTAGAAACGGATTTTGAAGCTACTTCTGTCTGCTGCAAGTTTACTGAGTTTACTATGAACTGCGAGTGTTGAAAAGCCAGGTTTTTCACCCTCTGAAGAGATGGAGTCACAAGTTTTTTTACTCTGTGCGCAGTCCGGTGGGGTGACGCCGACCCCACGTGCACTTTCACAAGTTTTACGTTGTGCGGTTTCGGGAACTGACGGTCTGACGGGACAACCCCAATCTGACTGTCGTTTGCCGCGTTTCTCCTGAGCGTTTTGCTAAGGTTGAGAGGAAGTTGGAAACGAGGGCAAAATAATCCTCCACCGATTAGGATCGGTTTGCACCAAAATATGCTATAAATTACTCAGATATAAGAATAAAACATCAAAAAAAGTAATAGAATAATACACTGTCACAGTCAAATATGAATACAAGTGCTTGAAAACCAACATTTGTATTGAAGAGTGTCTTAGCCCAAATCACCTCCAAATTAAGGACTTTAATACACTGATATGTGTGGCTTTAACACATGAAGATGCTTTATTTTTGTATCTAATTCACTCTTTTTAATGTTGTAGCAAAACACATAGTGAGAGGTTACAGCCTCACCTTGTATGAGGTCTTTAGCCTGCTGGGACACATTTCTCCAGGCCTCGCCTCCAAAAGAGAAATCCCCCTGCTTGATTTTGTGCATGATCTCCTCAGCGCTGGTGTGGGTCAGGCTCTTCTCCTGACACTGAAAAGGCACCTGTCCAGACAGCATGGTGTACTGAAACCAGAGGAAAACCAGCATCGATCAGGGGCACAGACCTAATCACCAGCCTATATGCTCTAATGCTTAAAACGGTGTCCGAGTGTGGCACACAAACCGTTAAATGTTTGTTTTCACTTTACAGCGTGGCGCCCTGGACGGAGCCGGGAAAAGAACGAGGCGCCGGCGCTTATATGGCACGCTTTGAAAGCGCTCTCGACCGATCACGACCGTCCACATTTTTTCATTGTTATGCTGGAGATTGTTGACCGTGGCTGCGGCGGCACTAAAAAGTAGAGTGTCCTGTGCTCAGATCAGCAAACAGGATGCTCTCACCTTCGTCGGCTTACGTCTGCCCTCAGATTTCTCATTAAAAGGACAGCAGTGGGGGAAGAGCACTTTTGGCTACGGTCTCAGCTCGCTTGGCTTGCAGGCCATTGTGCACACAGCATGTCAGAACCCGTTTTTATCAAAGCTTCATAAAGCAGACTTAGATGTATCCCCTCCCTTCCCACACTCCCACGGGGGAGAACAGCAAAGCAGCGCATAAATATAAAGCCGTTGCTCTGAACGGATGACTGGCCAGAACAGAAGCAGAAATTTCTCTCTGTTTCTTTGTCCACACAACGTCTCCTTTTCTATTTCCTCCTTCATCCAGAAATGTTTAAAAAGGACTGCATAAGGATGCCATTTTTGCGGGCGCTGGTTTGGTCGTTTTCTGTTCAGATTAAATTGAGTCCGGTTACCACGGCACACCAAGAGCTTAGATGGAAATTATGCACCATACCCAGCATTCATTTTTTTGAAATCTAAAAACTGTATCAGACAAATAAATCGGCTGAGTACAAAGCTTAAGATTAGGATAGATCAACCTCAGAAAAAAACTTTAAAGAGGATCTGCGGATTTAAATAGTGATTATTATAAATTTATATAATGGAGTCATCAAAAAGGATGTTCCCTAAAAGCAAGTGAAAAATATTGTATGGTTCTCTAACACAAACCAGAATTCTGTGGATTTCAGATTTTTTAAAAACTATAATCTCCATCTTTGGCGAGTCGTGATTTCTCTTTAGTTAAAATTTTTTGTGCCTACCTGCAACCATTCAATTTTTAATATTTGGAGCAACACGCCTTTACTGCAACATTATGCGGAAGTCATCTTTCACATCTCATATGTGATTAGTACCAGGAACGCAGTTATTCACCAACTCAAATTTTGGACATTTTAAGACCTTTTTAAGACCATTACAAATGCAATTTAAGACTCATATTTCTAAAGAAATGTGTGAACTTTGTGCAACCAACTTGCGATAAATTTGCACTTACCCATGTTTGACACACACAAAAAAATAGTTAACTAGCTAGCCAGGGTATGATGGCAGTGAGTCACAGAACGCAACAATGTCTGCGTGTGACTCAACCTTTTGCCCGACAGAAAAATAAAACCTGTGATTAACGTATTAAAGGCAGACTTACATTTTTAAAAAATAATTAGGACATTTTAAAGCCTTAATTTTGTGAATTAAACATAAATGTTTAATTATGACCACTAAAAAAGACAGGGAGAACAACAGCATGTTGCATATTGAATTACACTTCATTATTCCGATTACCAGTATTATGGTCGCACACTCACCAGAATGACCCCCAGACTCCACAGATCACAGGACTCATCATAGCCGTTATATTTGAGGATCTCTGGGGCAGCATACTGCAGGGTGAAGCACGGAGTCTTCAGCAGCTGATTGTCTGGCGGTTTTAGACGCGCAAAGCCAAAGTCTATGATTTTTATCTCGGAGTTCTCACTCTCGTCTGTGAAGAGCAGGTTCTACGAAGCAATTCGAGACACGGACAGCAATCATTTTCTGTTTTTTTTTTTCCTCTCTCTCTTTCTCTCCTTCTGCTCGGTTCAGTCAAGAGCCTGCTAAATTGTACATCAAGACTGGCTGGGGTCCTTCTGACCCGTGTTAGGGTCAAACAATTTTACTCTTGTTTTGAAGAAGATTGCAGAGTCAGAGTGACAACAAGCCACATCATATGCAGTTCAGAAAAACACAGTAATTCTCCCTTCAAAGCATATGATCCAGCCAGGCTGCATTTACCACAAAAGACACACATGGAAAAAAAAAAAAAAGAAGAAAAAATTTGCTCTTTTGAGTTATGTGTTGTACCTCTGGCTTCAGGTCCCTGTGCACTACTCCTACATCATGCATGTGACTGACAGCAGACACCAGTTTGCGCATGATGCGGCTGGCTTCTGTCTCACTGAAGTGCTGCTTCCTCCGGATCCTCTCCAGCAGCTCTCCTCCACCGAGCAGCTCCAGAACCAGGAATGTGTGGAGCTAGACCAAAAAAAACAACACAGAACACCTTAGTTTCAAAGATTTTTTCAGTTTTGTCGGCCTCAGAAAGTCAAAAACACGTGCAAAGAATGCACCATCAAGAAGCGCTACCGGAACAAGCTAGCTTATGATACAACAGCGTGGACTGAGTAAAGGTAGTTGTTTTCAATGTCAAAAAGGAGGTCAGAAGAACCACAGAAGACATAAGAAGCTAATTAAAAGGAAACTGCATCATGTATGACAGACCAAGACCTGTTAGAGGTTCATTAAGGCTGCCAGACGGCAAGAGAGAGCAAGACTTTCGACTTCAAAGCTGAACATTAAACATTAAAGCAAAGTTGCTTTAAAGCTGTTTTAATCTTTATGAGCCTTCATTCATTCTTGAAACATGTTGGAAACATTTGCATATATTATTATCATAAGGAGATATAATATCGTCGCTAAATTACTTTCCTACACATTTGACAATGTAGAAACGAGGTGAGCTGGGCTGATTTAGATTGACATCGTTCACTTCAGCATGCAAAATGCTTGAAAGTGAACCTGACAGAATGACCTAATTCCTGATTATTTCGCCCAATTATCAACTGACCCCTCAGAGGCACTAGTAAACCATTGAGATATTGTCCCCAGATGATCTTCACGTAACAAAAAAAAAGTACATAATAAAAGAAGTGGTCCACATTCTCCAAAGAGGGAGAGGACTACTGTGTTTCCTGGATGGAGTGCTCACATTTCCTTGTATTATGAATCTTAAAAACACATTAGAATCTGGCTGAAGTTGCTTTTGGCAGGTCATAGCTTGAAAAAAAAAAAAAAAAAAAAAACGGCAGCTTAGAAAATGGCTTCCTTATCTGTGCATTTCGGAGTAAACACACCTACTGTAAGGCTAGCAAACTTTCCCATATTTGGGATGATGCTTGTCTGTTTATATTTTTGCCACACTCTATTAAAGCAATCCCCAGGCCAAATGATGCTGTTAAATTTGCGATGTTAAATTATTATTTTTAATTAACTGTTAGGACTTTACCTGGATGCCAAGCAGATAAGCGAAACATAGATCAACCACAGCCCATCCCATAATAGTAATATGAGATCAAACCATAATAGTATTGAGTTAAAGTGAAAGGGCTCTAATAAAGATGGAGGAGAATAAAGTGTCTGGGCAACGGGGTACAGTTTCTCATTAGTGCTGGATGTGAGGAACAAAAGCAGGACTCAGCGGAGACGAAGCGAGGCAGCGCCACTTTGATCTGGGTCACAGGCCTACGAGGTACAGTAATAACCCCGCTGAGCTCATCAGGACTAAAGTGGTGCTCCTGGGCATGAAGGACTTTGGCTAATGAACCTGTATGCAGCCAGACGCTTGGAAACACCTTCCCAAATAACCGAGGTAAGCCACGTCAAAGAGTATGCACACTCACTCTGGGTTAAGTGTGCAACTCTATTAGCAGTGCAAGTGAATCTAGGTTGTTTCCATTCAGCTGAACAAAAAGCTTGTTTATACAGCTGTGGTTCAGAAATAAATCAGCTTTGATATATCATGCACACAGAGATATTCGCGGACAACATGAGAGCGATACAGAAAAAGACCAAAAAGGCTCCCGGCAGGCTCCCATTAATCTGCCCTGTTCCAGTTCTAGGACTTAATAAGGCTTTGGTCCCACAGGCTCCGCAGACGACTGCAGGAAGCGGGCCGAATGTGGTCGGATCCAACTTTACCTGATCGTGGTAAATTTCGTGCAACTTCACAATGTTCGGGTGGCCGTCGCAGAGCTTCAAGGCTGCTATTTCCCTCTGAGTCTGCGCCTCCATCCTAGAGCAGACATGAACGAGCACAAATTTAGTCAAGTGAAAGCCATTTCAGGGGAGCTCTGTGTTTCTACAGTGGTTTTTATATTGGATTTTGGTGTTATTTTACTGAATCAGTTGATTAAAAATGTATCCCTGAACAAGTTGGGTAAATACTCCTGTGACCTTGCAAGTGAATATAGCCAGTGGAAGTATGGGTGGTATGATTTTGCTAATAAATGCAAAAAAAATTATTCTCTTCCAACCTGTAACTTTTAGCACTTCCAGAACAGCATTTACTCTGGTAATGGTTTGATCATGAGAAACATTTGCCTAATCTTGGTCCTCTCTTCATACAGCGTTTTGGAAAAAGCTACAATTTTCTCCCCAAACGTTCATGTGTTTTAATCAGATTTCATGTGATAAAACAATAAAAGTGGCATAAAACTGCAATTTAAAGGAAAAAAAAAAGATTTTCTAATGTCCCAAAGTAAAATGCAGTGGCACCAACTGCCTTCAAAAGACGCCAAATCCTACATTTTTGTCACATTATATTCCCAAACTTTCATATGTTTTTATGGGATTTGGTGTGATTGAAAACAACAAAAGTAGCATGAAACTGGAATTTAAATGTTTTTACCAAAATATGGAAAAAGTGGGTTACATTTGTTTTCAGCCACCTCATTCTAAGGCCCCTAAATACAATTCAGCGCCCCCAACCGCCTTCACAAGTCACCTCAGGTAATGAGGAGAAATAGGAGTATGGCACAGCTGAAACCCTAAAACTGGCAGGCCTGGGAAGGAAAGGATTAATCAGAGAAGCAGCAGAGAGGCTGGTGGTACCTCTGGAGGAGTTGCAGAGATCCTCCTCACAACAAGTTTTAAAAGAGCATAATTCCTCAAGAGTTCCTCTTTGCTGCTTTCCACCAACTATTCAGCAAACATGCAGAAGAAGGTAATATAAACTGGACACAAAACACTGTGTATAGCAGAAAAGTATTACTGCACATCAACCTCAACAAGCATCGTGCTATGGAATTTATCATCAGGGTTACAAGCTGGTCAGAGTTGATGGGAAGATGGGTGCAGCTAATGCTATGGTGGAAGAAAACCTGCAGGAGGCTACAAAAGAATCTCCAGACACAGTGACATAAATTATGCAATCTGATCGAAACTCATTAAAACCCCTAAAGTACGGAGGTTTGCACCTGCAAACTGGCAAAAACGATCAATTCAAGGCGCTGAACATGTCAAGGAATGTGCCAAAGCAGCTTCGATGAGTAAAGCATGATTCTATCCCGGATTGTCGAGATGAGGTTTGTTTTTCAGCTGTGTGGCTTCTTAATAAAGTGGCGACAATATCTGGAGCAATATTTGTCAGTGAATGAGTGTGACAAGCCGAAGAGTCGGCGGCTAGCGTCCAAGATGCAGGCAGGGTTTGTGGGAGTATTGGAACCAAAAAGCAACAACTGTGTGAACAGAGCTGGATTGCTTGAGCTCATACCTGGCGCTCTGCTTACTTCCATTAGTTTCACACATGTCTTATGTAATACTTCCATAAGACCTTCTTTAAAGGAGGCTGACCAGTGCCCAGTTTCTTTCTTTTTTATTTCTTTTTGCTAGAGAAGCCAGTGGTGGGCTGGATGCATCCAATGTAACTATAAATATAGCAAAGTGTGAAGCACCTATGTGGAAAAAGATAATTCGAAAAGAAGCTTGTACCGCTTGCTGACTATCTTGACTGCGTATTGTTGTCCGGTGTTTTTGTGCGTGCAGCGGCGGCAGATGGAGAAGCTGCCCTCTCCCAGAGCGCTGTCCTGTAGGTCCATCTCATAATTCATGTAGAAAGGAGAGTCCTGCACAGAAGAACGGTGGACCAGTGGTTCAATGTGTCACAGAAACCTGCCTTTACTTCAAAGTCTCACGTTACATCTCATTTCAGATTCTTCATCTCTGCTCTCAACACAGACCGAGATGCAGATTATGGAGAAGTAGGTAAACAGAAACCAGATTAAACAGCATGAAACAAAGTCAAGAACCAGGTTTATCATCAAAAACTAAATGTTTCTTTATTTCTTCTTTAACTGTATGAACTCCAAGTATGTTTGTTGTTGGAAGAAAATGCTTGCAGATCATTTACAGAAACCTTTGTTTTGAGAGACAAAAGGAAGCTCTCAGGTTGTGAATGAAGGGCAAAACAGAGCAGCTTGCAAAAGTATTTACACCTTTGAACTGTTTCAGAGGTGTAAATTGATGTCAAGTTACATCAATAGTTTCTACGTATATCATTGGGAATTTATATTATTTATATTCTGGACCAATGGATGATATGACTTAGGCCAATAATTAATTGCCCCTTGGGATGTATAAAGTTTTTTTTATTGAAATGAATTTAAAAGGTTTAATAGGTTTAATAAGTAAGAATATGTTTGTTCTGAATAAAGGTACTCAAGACATGAACATTATTTTCTCTAGCAAAAGCTAGCAACTTAAAAAGCAGGTTTCTATAAAAAACCATGGAACAAAGTTTAGTTTAGCTTAAAACTTTAACTTATATAGTTGGAACTAGGTGCTAAAAGGAAACAGGCTTCCATGCAAGCTAAAATGTTTAAAAGTGTGAAAGTAAACCTTTAAATAGTACCAAATATATTTGTAACACAAACAAATTTTGAAAAAACAAAATTCTTTCTTTTTAAATCCCAAATATCAAAGTAATACATGTAAAAATGCCCCTAGGACAAAAGATTGAAACAAAGTACAGACTTAAAAATCATTGTGTTTCTATTTTCCCAAAAGGCAACATATTGCCGGCATTCACGGAAGAAAAAGAAACATTGTGTATTAAACAGGCTCAGGCCTGAACACGGACCGCAAAGTGCAGAGTGTGACACAAGCAAAGTTCGACAAAAAGGAAGAAAAGTGAACTTAAGACAAAGCAACAGAGAAAATCTCATCTACCCGCAAAAGCGGACGTTAGTTTTAAGTGCGTTTTTGCTCGTCTCACTTTCATCATGGCGCTGCGGGCCACGGCGGCGGAGCCCGGCCTCTCGGAGCCGCCGCACAGCTGGATGGGGTCGTCCATCACCACATTCCTCTTGAACAAGATGGAGGGGGCCATGAAAGAGTATCCCTGCGAGCAGAAACAGAAGAGCGCGTCTGTGTTTACATTTCACCGAGTCATTTAACGAGGAATAAACCGCAGGAGCAAGAGCAGAGGAGGCCCTCCTCGTTGGAAAGCGTTGGAAAACCCTCCTGACTTTAATCCGTCCAAACCGCGCCGTCGGCTCAGCAGCGAGGCGGGGTTTGTTTTTTTTGTTTTGTTTTTTTGGCTCGTCTCTGAGTGACAGCTCGCCATCCAGCTGTAGCTATTGTCAAAACTGTCATTGTGCTGCGTGACTGCTTAATTCCAGCTGTGGGGAGCCCAGAGCTTTGAGCTGGCGTTAATCTCCCTCCGTTTTCTTCCCCCCTCAACACCAGCACACACACAGCTGTGTGGTATGCAATGACAGCAATGGATGGATGGACGGAAGGATGGATGCCGAATGAATGAGATGCCCTAAATTGCCGGGCTTGAATATTTGATTGCTCTGCCGTGAAATTACATCTTGGCGCTCTTAATGCAATTTTAATTTTGTTTTGTGAGGCACCACGGGGGAGCAAGTGCACGGCTTAAACTGGGATTGCTGTCGTTATCTCAGAGATTGCTAGGCTTGCAAATTATAAAGACCGCAAAATTTCGGGAGTGTGCGAACGGCAGCTGAGAGGGGGAAAAAGCCAAGATGAAGTTGGCAATCAAAGACTGAAGGCGTAACCGATTTAGACGTGGTGATGCTCTCAAAGCGTAACCTTTTATTTCATGAGAGAAGCCCGTTAATGGATCTATTGATCTGCCGAGCTCAAGGATCCAGAAGGCAATCAGAGTTGAAATTTCATGCAATACATCAGACAGCTATCAGCTGGCATGGAGTTGTGGGCCATATTATGGTTCAAAGCTACATCAAAAATAGTCATTCACATCTGTTACTTCAATGAGAGCTGCATATGGCAGCAATTACTTCAATAAAAGACCCTTTAGTCAATTTGAATACCAATGCACACACAGACTCATGTTGACTTACAGCAACCTTTTGAGGACATTCAGAACTTGAATCGATTATTTCAATTGCTGTGAAGTACGTCAAATATAGCCGCAGATAAAAAGCGAGTAAAAGATAATGCTTTTGTTGATTTTTTATTGTTCTTAGTTTATTAAATTTTTTTACCATCCGTGTTAACACTTTGCAACGCCTGCAGCCACAAAGCCCAGGCAACCAGGGCATGCTGAATTAAATGTTACACTGTGCAGCAACTCAAAGGAGCATCTATTTAAGGAAACAGCAGGAAAAAAAAAAGAAAAAAAAAAACAGAGTGCTGAAAACACGGAGTCTGGTTGTTTACATCTCCTCCTGTTCACCCACCTGGAAAATGCGGTCACAGTTTTGAGGCAGTGCTGCGGGGGAGTAAGTGGGGTCCATTTCTGTGAACTCCTCAGCAAAATTACTGACATCCAGCTCGTCCCGAATCACCGGCTTGAACGGCGCAGGTACCTTCTTCGCTGCCAAGTCCTCCCAGTTGATTTTCTACAAAAAAAAAAGAAAGAAAGAAAAAAATGAAGCATCATTCCTAGCCTTTAGCAAACCTGCCAATACTTCCAAAGGTATTTGTACTTTTTCACATCTTTCACATGTAAAAAAAATGAAGTGCAGCAAACTTTGTTTCAAATAGTCCAGAAAGTGCAATTAGGAATTGGAAATATGATGGAAAATAAATAATAAAGCATGATTTCACTCTGAGCACAAAGCACAGAATTGGCTGAATAGATCAATCAATCAATCAAATTTTATTTGTATAACACATTCCAGCAGCAAGGCATTTCAAAGTGCTTTACATCATGACAAACACAAAAATGCAAAGTCATCAAGTGGGGGGTTCTTGCCTTTGCATCCACCACTGTGGATCAGGCACATTGACACTGATACCCAATCTAGAATTTCTTTCAGTATCCGGGCCGATACAGATATTAATATCAGATCGGTGCGTGATGCAACATATTTTTTTAACCAGTTTTCATTGCAGTTACAGGAGAAACTCTGGGATTATGTTTCTACCAGACTGAATGATGGAGTCTGGGCTTTTACTAGAACATTTGAAAAGAAAAAAAAAAGGAAGCAGAATAGGCTTTGATGTAAACCAATGTAGCTCTGTTGTCCAGATGGAAGCTGAACCTTCATCCCTCTCACCAATCTTTTTACCCCCTAACAGGTTTTCACTGTAGTTGCCTCCACTGACTCTCCTACCAACTCTGACCAGTTTCTTTTTTCCTGTATGAGAAGCGTTCCCTTCGCAACTATCACAATTTTTGGTATATTAAATAAAATCTTAATGAAATGCACTAAGGTTTGTAGCTATAAATACATAAAAAGTAAAAAAAAAAAAAACTTTTTCAATGAAATTTAAAGTTACGTAAAGCACTCTACGATCTCCACCTGATAAAACGGATGTTTCTTCACGTTCTCTGCTCCGTTAAGACCGGATCCTAATCTGTTCTTTGGATCTTTGACAAGGAGTCGTTGGATCAGGTCTTTGGCCAGCGGTCCCATGTCTTTGGGGAAAGGAGGATCCTTTTTGCAAATCCTCCTGCAATATCCGACATGAACATCGTCAGCAGTGCTGAATGTCGACAACGAAACCTAACCCCCCGCATAGACGAATCCGTACTTGGCGATATCCGAGTGGGAATTTTCATCTCCGTCGACGGTGAAGGGCGATCCGCCGGTCAGGAGCTCGTACATTAGCACACCGAGGCTCCACCAGTCCACCGCCTGGAACGCATCAAAGGCCAAACCCAAGGCTTTAGTTACAAAGGAAAATTCATTGCAATAAATTAGGCATTTTTTCATTTTAAAGCGTCAAAGCTACCAATTTACCTTGTCATGTCCAGAATCTCCTCCTTCAACTATTTCTGGAGCCATGTATTCAACAGTGCCACAAACAGAGAAAGCCCTCTCAACCTGAAAAAAAAACCCCCAAAACAATAAAGAACACATTTTAAAAGGAAGCAGTCTTTGTTAGACATCTTCGTTGAAGCATCAACAATACTAGTCAGTACAGACGTTCACGAATCTTTAAACCAAAATAAAAAAATTCACACAGATGTTTTTGATGTGTTGTCTGTGGAGAGGCTCAGCCACGCAGGCGTCTTCAGTTCTTCTTTTAGAACTGAAGAGGCTTTTTTGACAGATTTGAATGACAAGTGCCTAGCAACATCACCGTCAAGAGTGTCCTCAGGCGTTTTCATGAAATGTTACTAAATTCTGATGGTGCACAGAAGCGAATTAACTTTAGCACCGTCTTTACGCAGATGTGTCCAGCTGAAACGAGTAAAAACTTTTTTGTGTATATATATATATATCACTAATGGATTATTTCAAATGAATATGCTCAAGTAAAACCGGAACTGCTCACTAAAAATTGCAATTTTATCCTTTTCAGAGCATCACTATAAACAGATAAAAATGTCCTGAGGCTTCGCAGCACCCTGTACTATTACTGGCTTGTATTGAATGTATTAAAATAAGGTTATTTTTATGGCATTAGCATAATTTATAATTTCAGAAGCAGGAAAAAAAATAACCTTTAATTGGAGTACTTTATTCATTCACACTTACTGTAAGCCTCCCATGGTAATTTAAAAAAAATATTATTTTTTTTTATATTTGGTGATAATTTCAGCTATTTAACAGGTTGGGGCATAAACGTCATAAATTATTTTGTTTTTCAGCTTTGATCCATCAATGTTTTGAAAAGTTCCACATACTTAACCGCATATTTAGGTATTTCTGTCCTTTAAGTGCATATAACCGAGGCAACATTTTCATTACTCCTCTTGAAAACATGACAGAAAAAGGAGAGCAGAAGGATGCATGTCTAAAAGCGTACCATCAAGAATAGAAGGATGGACTTTCAAACAACAAGGTGAGCAACACCGATTTAATTGCGTCAGGGTTTCTTATGTTTTGACCAATATTCACATTTAACATCTTCGTCGGCAAATTTTCCCAACAGACTTGCAATGAAAACTGAAGTTTTGTCTCCATTTGAGTATAGAATCATTTATGATATCATGTTTGCATTTAGTTTTCAAGAAAATAGTAATATTTTGATGTTTCAGGCACACAGGTCGGCACGATTTTCTACCTTTTTTTCGCTAAAAAAAGTAACCTTTAATTAGAGTACTTTATTCATTTATTCATTTACACTTACTGTAAGCCTCCCATGATGATTTTATTTTTCATATGTGGTGAAAATGGGCTTAAATTTAGCCCTTTAAATTTAAGTCCAAATATTTTTAACTCGTGGAAGCGAATTTTTTTCCACAAAATTCCAGAAAAGGGAATAAATAAATAGCAATTGCTGACCAATCTAAGACTATTTATTTTTACTTAAATTGATTATGTTTCAGGGATTTACTGCAACGAATAATGGAAAATGACATTTAATCAAATCAGTTAAGCTGGCATTTAAATGGTTAAATGTATGTCAACCTTTGCAACTCAAGAAAAGAGCTACGCGCATAAACTTGTCCATTTTATGCGCATAAAGTTTTATCAGAAGCACCAGGGACTCTGAACGTCTGGAGCTGAACTAGCTCCAGACGGCTAGACGCTGGCAAAGTGAATTGTTCATTAAAAAATGATGGAGGGATATTTTCTGCCGCGTTTCTGGAAAAGGGCCTCTCTACTGGTGGGAAAAGTGAAGGATGTGTGATGCTGTGGGCCTGTTTCCCCTGCTAAGGATGTGGGATCACATAAAAAAACAGAATTTTGAATAAAATCTGCCCATTTTCAGCAGAAACTGAATTATTGGTTTAGGAATATAATCTCAGATTCTTTTCATACCATATAAAATTTCTAATTTTAATCTTTTTTCTCCACTTTTTTGTGAGAAATAACATTTTCAAAAAGTGTCTCTCATTTTATTCATCCCTACAACGGCGCATTAGGGTGAGACTACAATACTTTTTTTTTAATTACGAGAATTTAGTCATTATATTAGCAGGATAAAATTACGAGGAAAAAAACTGTTTTAATAAGGTAAAAGCTCGCGTAATTGTTGATGTTTTTTGTGGGAAGGAGCTCTCATAAAATACCTACTTCATTCTCCTAATATTGCAACTTTATTCTGGTAACATTGACACTTCTCTTATCGTTTTGATAAGTTTTACTACGACTGTATTCTTGTAACATTTTTACTTCAGTCTAGTTTTAAAGAAAAAAAAAAACAAACTGCCTGACCATCATATTTTGTTGAACATTTGACCTGAATTCAAAGTCAAAATAAGTAGAAGCTGCAAAACACAAACAAAAAAAAGAAAGCTAGTCCAACTAGATGGTGGGCTTCGGGCATGAAGGGTGAGGTATTGTTTTACTAAAACCAAACAAGAATGCATGCCGAGTTTCACTTTCTGCTGTGAATATGAAATTAGGCGACTAAAGTTTAAAAGACAAAGGCATTGTGGAGATGAATTTTACCTGATCAAATTCTTTACTCAGGCCAAAATCTGTCAGAACTATATGACCGTTTGAATCCAGTAGAATATTCTCCAGCTTTAGGTCTCGATAGACTATTCCAAGCTGCAACGAGGCAACACAGCAGAGGTTACACAGATGACGCACAGCATGACGATTCTCTTCAGATTGAAAACACAACACACCTTATGTAGATGTTCTAGTGCCAAGACAATTTCTCCGCTGTACAGTGCTACTTCCTGCTCCTTGAACCGCACCCTTTGCACCAAGTGCGTGAAAAGCTCTCCTCCATTTACATAATCTGTGATAAAAAATAAAAGAAAGTAGTTTTTTTTTCTGCTTGTTTTTAAACATAAATCAAAGAGAACTTTAAAAGGCAATTCGCTCCTTGTGTGTCCTAACCGAGAATGAGGTGCAGCTTGGTGTCGGTCTGGAAGGCGTAGTGAAGCGTTATGAGGAACGGAGACTGGCGGATGTGCTCCAGCACCTGCCGCTCCGTCCGCGTGTGTTCGGCCGTCTTTGCTTTCTGGACGATAGTCGCCTTCTTCAACACCTTCATGGCGTAGAGCTTCCCGGCATCGTGGCCACTCACCTTCCTCACCAGGAACACTTTCCCGTATGCTTTTGGGGTGAAACAAACACAGAGGGTGAAGGGTTAAAAGAGAAATGATTCGCACGACATGCCCGTTCCAAAGAAAACGGGCAATCTGCAGGAGGGTTAAGTTCAATATTTTCTGCTTGTGTTTTAAAATCGATCAAAAAGCGCTAGGCAGCAGTCATTTCATCAATGTGAATGCAAAAAAAATAACAACAACATTCCTATGAGAAGAGAGTCTCCACTGCTGCACCTGTACTCTGAGTGAGAACGGTCAGTGAGACTCACCTCCTGTGCCCAGCACTTTTAGTAGCTCAAAGTTTTCGATGCCCACCCTCTCAATGTGGCCTGTCAGGTTGGCTGGAGAGAAAGACCAAAAGAAGAAAATGATCTATGTTACTATGTTATTCTTATATCAAGATTAAAAAAAATGAAATGTATCTGAAAATAATAGCAGTCTAAAAAAGATTTATGACAATAAAAAGAGTTTAGGATTATTCATTTGATATAATTTATTAGAAAAGGACTTTAGACATTGTTTAATACAAACAAATGCCTTCTGGTCAGAAAAAATTAAATATGGAATGTTCAAAAACAATTTGAAGGAAGGAAGGAAGGAAGGAAGGAAGGAAGGAAGGAAGGAAGGAAGGAAGGAAGGAAGGAAGGAAGGAAGGAGGAAGGAAGGAAGGAAGGAAGGAAGGAAGGAAGGAAGGAAGGAAGGAAGGAAGGAAGGAAGGAAGAAAGGAAGGAAGGAAGGAAGGAAGGAAGGAAGGGAGGGAGGGAGGGAGGGAGAGAGGGAGGGAGGGAGGGAGGAATAGTTTTACAATTCCTTGACAATGTCACTGAAAAAACAAAGCCAGTTTCCTTCCTTGTCTCAGCAAGCAGTGCCTTAAAACTGAAGACATGAAACCATTTCAGTGAAAGCAAAGATGACTCCACATTAAAAATAATCAAAGAAAACAGAACAAAAAGTCTTGATTTGACTGGTCCTGAAACTCTGCACCAAATATCCTAGAGGAAAGGAAGTTCCTACATGCAAATGCAGGCAAACAAGCTGGATTAGCCAGCAAAAGGTCATTACCCTCCATCAAAGAGCTTCAGTGCATTCAGCAAAGCCACACATCTTCCTCAGTCACTGTCACCCAGCACAGCTGACTGAGCATGGCACACTTTCAGATACGCATGTCCATTGTAGTGAACACATTCCTTCTGTCTCCCGGCCTGAAAATAGCCATTGATACGGCTGATTTCATCTCTTTTTTTTTCTTTTTTACGCCGACTTTTTTTCTTTCTTTTTACGACGCAGGAATAAAATGCAAATCAAATGCGCTGTAACCCATTTGAAAACAACAACACTGTCCTTCCAATTGGAGGTCAGGGATCCTGGTTGCATAACCTCCTTGTCGAGCACTCCCTGCCAAAGCCAAGTTTGATTTTAGTGGTTATTAATAGACAGACAGAAACGTCCAACCAGACGATGCCTTGCTGCGCGTCAAGGGGAATCTCATCAAATTACTGGAGGGGAAGGTTCTCACAAAGATTAAAAATATATATATCTGAATATGGATTTGGTTTGCTTTTTCACTGCTTATCCGACAGGTTTACTTTTTTTTCTCCTCATAGGAAATAAAATATTCTGTCTACTAACTGCGTAAACACTCATTAAAACCACATTTAAATTTTAATTTGTTCTCATAGCAGAGTAGACATGCAATCAAATGACACACATAGAAAAAAAACAACAACAACAAAAAAAAAACAGGAATCGCTGACAGCTAGATGCGCTGCATGCTCGAGGCAGGGTAGTGAACCGGAGTGGAAGCACAGTCATGTTGCAGCTTGAACACTGTCATTCGAAAACAACTGTAACTCAAGTGTGAACCTTCTGCACTAAGTGGCAGAGCTCTACACACCCATTACTGATGCATGTCAACACTAAACGTAATTCATCTGTGACTACTGCTATTGCGGGAGGAAGGAACTTTTAAGCTGCAAACACCGTGGACTATTATAGCTCCCGTCTCACACTGAGTTTCTTGTGATCTCGCTATTTTTCTTGCCGGTAGGCTGGTTCCTGGTATCCATCGGGCTATGTCAAGGTTGAAGCAAAACAGTTACTTTCAAAACTGCAACAATTTTCTACATTTCCCTGTGTTTTTAAGTCCTCTCAAATGTCCATGTATCAAAATACACATAACTACACATCCGCACTTGTTGCTATTTGACTCACTGCCAGTTGACTTTTTTTTCTTTTTTTTTTTTTTAAAAAAAAGACAAATTTGGGTGTTTAAAAATATTTTCTGGTCCCATAAATGCTGCATTAAAACTACAAACATCATGTCTGGTCAGTGCAGTCGGCTGGCTTTGTGGAAACAACCTTCATCCAGATAAACACAAGTAATCAGTAAATGTCACACACAATATTACTATGCCAGTATATTTGATTATTTATAAATGTTGCTTTTTCTAGTCTTGAATAAAATTTCCAAGTTATTTATTTATACTTGCTGTGTTATCATCTTACAGTGAATTTAATACACACCTTAAACAACAGGCTAAAAAAAGCAACACATAAAAAGAAAAGTGAAGTGAATCAAGCATCATTTAGACTCAGGATGACAGTGTGTTTGAGTCTATAATTAGAACAGCAGTGACAATCGTTCTGTTTATTTATTGGCCTTTATAGAACCAACAGCTGGAGCCATGTGCAAAGTTACTGAAACACAAAACTAGTGATAAAAATGCATCTAGGGTGAATGCATTCATTTGTCCTTTATTGTCAATAAAGGCAGCTTATGGTTGCAGTTACATGACTCATAGAACGTCTTGACATTGCAAATCATTTGCATCGCAGCTGCGCTTTCTATTAAAATGTAACAAGCATGTTTGAGGCGATAAACTTAGCATAATCTTGGCGGATGCTCTGATTTAAGCTGACAAACACGCCGTCAATTACCAAGCAGTTTAAGCTAATGTTATTACCGCGGTTGAGGACGGGGAAGTTACGCTAGCAGTTAGCTGCAGTTTCTGACACGCATAGAGAATGGTGGTGTGCGGGGGGTCTGACTGGGGGTTTTAGTTCAAACGGCAGCCTGACGTCGCTGGTCTTCTTCTGCTGTCCCCGAGTAACGTCGACGTTCATGTTAGCGCTTACTTCAAAACGCCCAACTGACAGCGACGGTTGACTCCTCCAGGCTAACCTGGAAACATTCCTCCTTCAGCGGCTGTGTAGGTAACATATGCGCGTCTCTATGCACATTAAAAACGCACTGCGTTGAGTTGCAGAAGGCTGACAGGCTGACTTACCATTTTTCAGCTCATGTTTCACAGTAAACAGGTCACCTTCTCTTGAAGATCCCTCCATTGGGGATGGCATGGTAATTTCGTGTCCCTATTATGTTCGGAGCAGATTAGGCTCGCCTTTCAAACGAGTGTGCGGTACTATCATGCGAAAACAGAAATGGGTCACCCACGGTGAGCTTGACTGATAAATAAGCAAGAAAAAAAATTGCCACTAAACCCAGCCACGGTGAAGCTCAAAAAAATGAAAGCTTGCTTTCTAGCACCGACCTTTGCAACCAGACAGTCCCTCTTCGCTGATTGGAGTTGCTATGGAAAGAATTCGCCTCGGATTGGATGGCCATCCTGTAGACCCGCCTTCCTCAAATGACAGATGCTGCATTCAAATACCCCCCGTACACTCGAATGTGAAAGGTCAGAACTACAGCTAGAGTTAAATGTATTCCTTAAAAGTAGTTAAAAGATGTTAATAATAACAGAACATATGGTGGGGGGGTTAAATTCACAGATTTCTGCAGTCTGTAAATTTGTAAAATACAGTTTTACACAAGATACTGCTAAACTGCATTAAAAGGGTTGCATGGTAGATTTTGAGCAATTTGGGTCTTTCCTTTGTGAAAAAGAAAAAAAGGATGAAAATGCAAGTCAAAAATTATATGTAGCTCCACATGGTGTTTATATATTGACCGAAAGACCTCTAAAATGTTTCATCACACCAGACACAGTGAATGTTGAGCAATAAAGGCAGCATATCGTGAAATGGATCAGTTCCTGTTGATGTAGAAGCAGTTCCTCTACCTCCAAATAATCAGACCATGAAATCAAACTCAGTCAAAAGCCACTTATCACATTCAGAAAGGTAGATTTGTTGCGAAACTAGACAGCTTTGTTCATTGATTAACAAGCGCATTAAATATACCTAACAATGGCAAATCCTAACATTAAGATTTATTGAATATGCTGGTATAGCATGATGTAGAGCTGAATCTGTTTCTACAGACTCCTGCAAACTACTGATGAATTGCTACTCTGTAGCCAAATAAATAACGTTTTTTAATCTAAAAAAAACTTGTAATAACAAAAATACAGCACTTTATATAAACCTAAAACTTATTGCTATTTCAAGCTTTACATTGGGATAATTTTTTGAAAGAGAACTCAATCTGGATTCTGCCTCCATCATGTGGCATAATATTGAAAATACAATTATTTGGATGGCATTTTTTGATATGTCATTGCAATCAAACGGTATCAAAAATAAAATATACAGATATGTGTTTTTATATTTATATATTATTCATTTAAGTTGTAAATAATTGACCTTTTCTTAAGACAATAGCAAGCTTGAAATAACTACAAAAATGAAAAATAGATAGATAAAGTAAATACAGGTTTTGAAAACAACGCAATGTCAAGAGCAGCAAAATGACAGCTCTAATTAATTTAAGAGGTATTTAAACTGGGAATTTAGAAAAATCCCATGGTGAAAAATCAAGCTGAACAACATCCAATAAACTACGAGGTTATGAACTCGACCAACGAGATGCGGGGTTTCAACAACAGCCAATCAGCTTCTTGTCCGATGGCTCCGTCTCCGGAAGTAGAGTAATGGTTATCTGACAGTGAGCGAGTCCTGTTAGCAGCGCTCAGTAGCTCCTCAAACTGACCTCCGCTCCCAACATGGCTGGTGTTCGAGCTCTTGGTGTTCTCTCAAGATTGTCAGCCAGACGATATGGTCTTCTCTCAGGTGGAGTACACCTTTTTTTCAGTGTTGATCTCTAACGGAAACAAAAACTGTGCGAAGAGTTATATTCTAAACACCGGGCTCAGCTAGAGTGTCCCTGTCGAGTAATTAGCCTGTTTGGCTAGCTGCTAGCTAGCTCACATCAAATATGTGGAGCTGCATGTCACGACACGATCGTTTTGATAGCCCAACGCATATCTTTATGAGAATCTACACAGACACTTCTTGCAGATATGATTTTCTCTTTATAACATTTTTATTTGAGGCTGCAGAATTTTGAGTCAACTAGCAATGCTAGCTAGCTCAATGCTAGGGAATCAATGGTGTGATTGCATCCGTTTACGAAAAGAATAGTCGAATGACATCATTTTGTTTAAAGCTGTAACGCAATGCCGTTGGCAATTAAGTCTGGATAGTTTGGAGCTGAATTTGAAGCACTGTGCCATTCATTCGCCATTGTGATGGCCTCTGTCACTGTGTCTGGTAGGCGGAGAATCTAGGTGAAGGGTCATTCTCACATAGCACGGCCACGACGAGGTCAAGACAGTTAAATCTCAGTGTCTCCTGCACAGACTATACATCTATATAAAGTCATTAAATATAAAACTAGAGGAAAAACAGCACAGGGACAGATCAGATATAAAACGTGAAACTGGAGGGCGTTTCATTGAGTTTTCAAAGCAGTTTTGATTGAAAGAGCCGATAAATATAAACATCTTAGTTTATATTTATCTTAGTATTACAATCCATCGGGAGGATGGATTGTAATACTGTCATCTTTTCTACTTTAGTTTGCCATCTTAGTTTATATTTAGTTTATATTTATCGTGTTTAGGTGCAGAACTAAGAAAATTGCAGCATTTTAAGGTCTGACATTCTGGGTTAATCTGTTCCGTTCAGTTCACAATAAAACATGAAGAATTGTGATGTCTAACCTACTTTTCAATTTAGAAAAATTGCATTATTTCTATAATTTTAGAAATAACTGCTAGAAAACTTTCTGCAAATTTTCTTGGATAACTGCTTCATCTTATGAGTAGTGGATTAAATATTGACCGCAACATTAAACATTAATAATGATTTATTAATGTATTTTCTTCTTATAACTTCCAACGACTATATGTTTACATAATTTAACATCATAAACTGAGAATTTTGTGGCATGAAACAAAACAGAAATTCTTCTTGAATACTTTTTTTTTCTTTATGCAATTGTAATAATGTTCCAGTTCCACTGTTTCCCTTCTCAGGCAATACTTTCCGCACCTTCTCAGTAGCTCCTGCCATGCTTGGTAATTTATTTTCTTTACACACAGAATATGTGAATAATTTCCCCCTCGATTACATTGAAACAAATGTGCTCCTGCTTGTCTGATTTCAGCCCGAACACACGTCAACTACGAAGTCAAGGATGACGTCGCCGTCATTCGGATCAACGACCCAAACTCCAAGGTGCGAACTCGTTCCGATTTAAATTTAACAACTGCACGTATCTGAATTATGCAGACAAAATGTGACTTTTGTCGGTTTCCATGTCGACTTGCAGGTTAACACACTGTCAGTTCAGATGCAAAACGAGATGACGGAGGTCATGAATGAAGTGTGGGCCAACGATGCTGTGAAAAGTGCTGTTCTCATCTCCTCGAAGCCAGGATCCTTCATTGCAGGAGCTGATATTAAGTAAGTCTCCAGCGGTCAATAATGTTCTTAAATATAACAGTTATGAAAAATTGTCTCTGAACTTGTCCTTCTTGATAGAAAACCCCTCCCACAATGCTTTGTGATCCGTTCTTGATAAGTAAAACATCAAATTGAGTCTTAAGCAGTATGTTCTTTTGAATATATTGCTTTAAAAAAACAACTTTGTTTTCCTTTTAGTATGATCCAGGCCTGCAGCAATGCGGAGGAGGTAATCAAACTCTCTCAGGCAGGACAGCAGATGTTTGAACGGATTGAACGATCTCCTAAACCCATTGTTGCTGCTATCAATGGTTCTTGTTTAGGAGGAGGCCTGGAGGTAGGAAACGTAACTTTTAAACCTTAAAGCTATTGCTCGGGAGGATGGATTGTAATGCTGTCATCTTTTCTACTTTAGTTTGCCATTGCCTGTCAATATCGAATTGCAACAAAAAGCAAGAAGACGGTTCTTGGTACTCCTGAAGTCATGCTGGGCCTTCTGCCTGGAGCTGGTGGCACACAGAGGCTCCCCAAAATGGTTTGTATTGGAAAGGTTTTCCAAAGTCTGATTTGCATTAAATGTTCATTTCGTGGGCATCTTATCACCTCATAAGCACATTTACTTTCATCAACATTTACACATTTACTGTATTCAGAATTCGGTCATTTTCATTTTCAGTGAAGTGCTGAATGTTTTAGAGCTCTAAGGTTAAACAGAGTCCAGAAATGCTACTTTGTTTTTCACAACATCATTTTCTGTCATATAAATATATTTTTTTTACTTTAAATTTTTCTTTGAAGTCATTTTAATACTGGGATATTGGAAAAAATTATAATTAAAATGAACAAAAAAATGGAATACATGCTTATTCGAGATTTGGATATTGTTAGAAACTTCCCAACCAGTATTGTTGTGTTCCAGATACATATTCAAATATCTAGGAATAGGCATAAGCTCTGAGTCACAGTCCAAAACTGGATAATAAACTAGTATCCATTTTCCCTGATGGTCAGAAAAACTCATATATTCCTCCTTCAGACACTCATTGAGGGAACTGAAAGGTCTAGTAATCTCTTTCACTAAGAATGACGATATAAAGGGTGAAAACATCTAAATTGTGTCTGAAAACCCAGATCGGCTGCCTCTCCTCTTGCTGGAGGCCCAGCAGACATAATCATTTTCAACAAGTAAAATGTTTGTATCTAATAAAAAAAAAAGACCCCAAAACGTCCCAAGTGTGATGATTTTTCTCTAGTTGTTTAGAAGTGTTTAAGAAACAAAAACTGGCTCACCAGTTAGTAAATGTCTGCTGTTGTTGTTGACCTTTAGCTTGGGCTTCCAAGTGCCTTTGACATGATGCTAACAGGAAGAAACATCAGACCAGATAAAGCCAAGAAGATGGGGCTTGTCCACCAGCTTGTTGACCCACTAGGTAAAAGTCTGTTTTTATACACTTTTTTATTTTTTTCTCTCTGAAGTTTTGAACGCTTTACTGACTTTAGGTTTTGTAAGATATTGCCTTTTCCTTTCCATCCCTGAGTTGGAAAGATGATTTACTTTTTTGCTCATGCTTCAGGGCCTGGGCTGAAAAGTCCAGAGGAGAGAACAATGGAGTACTTGGAAGAAGTTGCTATTGAATATGCCAGAGGGATTGCCAACAAGAGCATCTCTATTCAGCAAAAGAAAAACATGATGAAGAGTAAGTTCTTTTTCCTTTCATTTGGTGTTTTAAATCTGATGTTTTCTTTCATCACAAATGGAATTATTCGTCTCCGTCCACAGGAATCGAAGAATACGTGATGAGCTTTGAGTTTGTACGAAATAAAGTTTTTGAAACTGTCCGCAATAAAGTCATGAAGCAGAGCAAAGGACTTTATCCAGCACCGCTGAAGATCATTGAAGTAAGTAAAACACAGCTCAGTCCCAACAGTCTGCTTCGTCTTTGAATCCACATAAATATCTTTAAATTTGTGTCAATTTTGACAAATGGTAAAAAATTGAATTTAATGAAAAAGGCATCAATCATTTGACCATTTAAAAAAAAAAACTGAATCTGTAAAATTCTGACAACCTGATGCATATTTCTATTGATTCTGGTTGTTTTTTGATTTGTTTTTAAAAAGCTGTAATTATCATAGTTCAAAATGTTTTTACTTCCTGCATAAACTGAACATATAACCAAACAGTGCAGTACATTTCTTGTAAGATTAAATGAGAATTACAGCGCTGCTCGTCTATCCCGCATTGCAGTAAAATCCTTCAGGTTGTGAGATGAAGACGTTTTTTAGCCATTAGCTAAAATAGCGCTACTGGAGAAAACCTTCATTTTGTACATTCTTGAAAACAGGCACCGCAGAAGATGTAGGGTTTTTTTTTTTCTTCCAAATTCAGAAAGACAGAGGGATCTCGTCATCCCACTCCACAGTTAAAGCTGCAGTGTGGAGCTTTTGCAAAAATATGTTTTTAAAATATTTATTAAAGCTGCCACTATGTTGTGACTGCATAATCTGAGACAGGTAATCTGAGAAAAGATTGAGCTCACTGTATATTTCTGAAGTTGCCTGCAGGTTCATCGGGAGAAGGTGGAGGAGTTTGATTTTATTTACTTTATTTTTTTCTGTCTCATACTATACTGTAAAAAATAGTGACTGTTTTAACAAACAAAAAACTTTTTCTAAGTGTTACTCTTGGTGGTATTTTGGGATAAAGACAATTACTACCGTGTTTGACATTTAAACATAATGTTTTGTTTGCAGTTTGCCCAATTGTCATCAAAAACTGTTTTTCTTTACAGTAAGCAGACTTTAAAAGAAAAGAAGAAAAATCAGTATTTTTTTTTATCTTTATCTCCAGTGTGTGAAGACTGGAGTGGAAGAGGGCCCCATCGCTGGATACTTGGCAGAGTCTGTGGTAAAGTGTTTTTTTTTTTCTTGCATCATTTGGACATTGGTTTCGTTTTACTGAGCATCACATCTCTTCATTTGCCCCAGAACTTTGGTCAGTTGGCACAAACCCCAGAATCAGCCGCACTGATCGGCCTGTATCACGGTCAAGTAGCGTGCAAGAAGAATCGCTTCGGAACCCCGGCGAGACCGGTGAAGTGCGTGTCTTTAATTTGGGACGGTTGCTGGTGATGACAAAACTATTTGTAGTAAAAGGTGACCTGTTTCCTGTTGGTTCCCAGAACTCTTGCCATTTTGGGAGCAGGTCTGATGGGAGCAGGCATCGCCCAGGTGACCGTGGATAAAGGCATCAATACAATCCTCAAGGACACCACTGTGGAAGGACTGTCCAGAGGAGAGCAGCAGGTTTTCAAAGGGTCGGTGCAAATGTCATGTCAGGAGGCTCAAAAGCTCATCTGATTTCTGCAACTTTGTAGCAATTTTGAATGTTATTAAATGCTATTAAGTTTTTTATATATATATATATATTTAAACCAGGCTCAACGATAAGACCAAGAAGAAGAGCATCACCTCCTTTGAGAGGGACTCCATAATGTCCAACCTGACCGGTCAGCTGGATTACAAAGGGTTTGAAAAAGCCGACATGGTTATTGAAGCCGTGTTTGAGGACATCAACATCAAGCATGTCGTCCTGAAGGAAGTTGAAGCCGTAAGTATATTCACTTGCTGAGATGTTACTTTTTTCTTTTTGAAACACTTTCTGGTAAGAATCCAGCAACATTTCAGTCAATCCTATCCACATCTGCCGGCAGGTTATCCCCCCTCACTGTATATTCGCAAGCAACACCTCCGCTCTCCCCATCAAGGACATTGCTGCTGCCAGCAAGAGACCAGATAAGGTTGGATCTTGGAAATGTTGTGAATACTAACTGAAAAAAACATATTATTTGCAAGAAGAAAAGCTGAATAACTGTCTCGACCCTCAGGTGGTTGGAATGCACTACTTCTCTCCGGTGGACAAGATGCAGCTCCTGGAGATTATAACCACTGATAAGACCTCAAAGGACACGACGGCGTCCGCTGTGGCGGTCGGCCTGAAGCAGGGCAAAGTCATCATAGTCGTCGGCGTGAGTTTTAGGGCTCTGTCTGTCTTCTGTTTCTTTCGATATTAAACAGGGTGCTGGAAATCCTGTAAATTCAGTCAGGTGTTTTCAAGGTTTGGAAAGAGCTTGAAACTCAAACTGCTCGGTTTGGTAATGAAGTTGTAGCGAAGTTTTGTGAGAAAAGACTCCTTACCGAAAGTCGAGTGATTATTTAGGTCGCGTTTAAATATTTGATTTTATCAGGAAGGTCATTTAACTTAACACAAACCGATTTGTTCAACGCAAAGAGTTTTATTGTTGCTAATGGCTCAATGAGTCATCGATCTGTGTATTGGCAATTATACATTAGTTATTAAAATTGGGGGACTTTTTTTGTTAAATTTGTGTTTAGTTCACATACCAGACAATATTGTGACAGAATTTTTAAAACATAAAATGTCATATTTTAGCTTTACTTTTGTAGAATATTTTCATTAAGACATTATTAATCATAGTGATAAATGATGTCATGTAATACTGAATTGAAACTATCCCCTTTAGATTGCATTGGTGGTTCTGGAAATGTTTGAAAACTTAACCTGAAAATGAATTGGGGGAGGACAAAGGAAATGTGATTAAAAAATATATATTGTTTGTTTATATTCTCAAGAACTATGACTCTTAATTTCTTCTCAGGACGGACCTGGGTTCTACACAACCAGGTGTCTGGCACCTATGCTGGCTGAAGCAGTGAGAGTACTTCAGGTTAGTCGTTGCTGCAAAATCCAGCTGTAATGTTTCTCTTCACGGACGCCGCAGAATCTCATTGAGAATTTATTTAACTGTTTTGCGTGCTTTTTGCACGCAGGAAGGCGTCGACCCCAAGAAGCTGGATGGACTCACAACAAGCTTCGGGTTCCCTGTGGGCGCCGCCACGCTGGCCGATGAAGTCGGCATCGATGTCGCGGCTCACGTGGCCGAGGATCTTGGCAAAGCGTTTGGCTCCCGCTTTGGTGGCGGAAATGTGGAGGTTTTAAGGACCATGGTGGATATGGGATTTAAAGGTACGGGGGGGGAGGTTATTGTTTCAGTTTTGATTTGTAAATGCACCCATTGCTCCTTTTCGCTCACTTTTGAAATAAATGTTAACTCTGAAGGACGGAAATCAGGAAAAGGCTGCTACATCTACCATCCAGGCCGCAAAGGCAAAGATGTCAACCCAGAGGTCGGAGACATTCTGGAGCAATTCAAAATCACACCAAACCCAGCCGTGTAAGTCATAATGAAACTATTTTACATGCAACAAATGGAAAATAACCTCTTTAGTCTTTCACTAAATAAACATGTGGTGCTTGTGAGAAATGTAGATACTCGCCTTGTATAATAATAGTCACCTGTTATTATGATTGTAGGTTTTTAATTGAGCATTTGAACTATTTTATTTGCTTGTCAATTAAGCTGTTGTTCCTAAATTCTTTCTGATTGTTATAACCAATGTTATTTAATCTAAAGGTCACAGTTTGTCTCCAGTGTTTAAATCTGGTTACAACATGCATTCAATTTTGTTTTCAAATGGATAAAGCGGGCTGACATTAAGCCTCTTACAAACCCCCCAACTTAACTCTGACTGAAAATTTCTGTTGCATGTTTGAAAGCGAGGTCTGTGCCAGGAAGCCGGCTATTTGAAACTAAAAACCCATTCTGCCAATGAAAGCGAAAATAAACATTCAGTCAGAATTAAGTTGAAATATTTTTCAAGGCCACACAAATTAGCAACTTTCTATGTGGTATTTTAAGAATGTATGAATGTATTTAAACTTCTTCTGGGGAAAGTTTTCAGATTACAGAAAATCCATAGTAAATCCAAACTTATTCTTAATTTCATTATGTTGTTTACTGAAGTTGCCTATCATGTTATCAATTTGCACTGAAAAAGCACTAAATAAATGTTAAGTTTCAATAAACATTTTACTACTTATTGCTAATTTAAGGAGCTGGTTCCATGTAGCTTTACTACTTAACCTGCATCTTTTTACAAAACCAAAGCCACTATTATCCTGTTGCTAGCTAGAGGTCAGATATGATCTAATAATGATGCTGTGAGATCGTCTGTGGGTTGTTTTTTAGACTCTTGCCGATAAAGTTGTTTTGCTTGTGAATGCTTTGCAGTTCGTCGGACTCCGATGTGCAGTACAGACTCGTTTCTCGATTCGTCAACGAGGCGGTGCTGTGTCTGCAAGAGGGCATCTTGAACAGCCCGCTGGAGGGAGACATCGGCGCTGTGTTCGGACTGGGATTCCCCCCTGTCTCGGCGGTCAGTCAACCTGTCCCCGGTGAAACTTACACAATCCTTGATCGTGTTTACGAGTTTTGAAAAATGTCCCCTCTCCGACGCTTCCAGGACCTTTCCGCTTCGTAGACACGTTCGGTGCCGACAACCTGGTGGACAAGATGAGGAAATTTGAAGAAGTGTACGGGAATCAGTTCACTCCATGCCAACTCCTGCTGGATCACGCGAAGGATTCCAGCAGGAAATTTCACAAGTGACCGACTTGCCAGTAGCTCCTGAAAAACTCCAGTTTGTCACTTACAATGTGCCTAACATCGATTAGTGAGGAGGGTAAACATGCTGACGGTACACTTTGACCGGTTATTAGGTGCAGCTAACCTAAACTGATGCTGTCTGATGCAATAATTCCTAACTTTCATGACAGTTCGGATTTTTCACTTTTGTGTTGACTGAAGTGAAAACCCACAGATTGCATATATTTTAGGTTGGTGTGCCTAACAAACTGGCGAGAGTGTGCATAATGACGGCAACGGTGGAAGGCTGTTTTAATTTTTTTTACATTACATGAATGTTCATTTGATGTATAGATTAAGGGGCATATGGACATCAGTTATTTACACATTGCATCTGTAAAGACATTTGCAAAGAAGAAGCACTTGATGCTGCCAAATGACTTTAATATTCATGAATGTTGAGGTACATAATGATTCAGCAAGTGTCTTGTTTTCTTTGTACATTAAAGGTTTCCTTGCTTGGTATGGAGAAATATGTAAATGTGAAGCTACAATAAAAATGTTATTGATTAGCCTTTGGTTTTGCATATGAAGTTTATTTTTTGTACAGACGTTTCTCGGGGTTAAAGAAGAGCTTCTCACTAACGGACGTAAACAAACCTAAAGATGGTTTCCTTCAGTGGAGGAGACTTGCTTTTTACCCACAACAGATCAATTTGAAGCTAGCTACATATGGAACAACGCCAATTCTGAAGAACGATTATTACAATTCATAACCTGAACTTTGCAAGCCTTTCTGAGTGTTGGTCATTTGTTTTAAGTGGAATATAAATCTGGATTTACTTTATAAATCAGCTAACTCTTCAAAACAGTCAATAATTATTATGCAAAGGGATTGCCGATCAGGTACATTTCAAATTAAATATAGCAAAAATAATCTAGTAATTCATTTCAAAATGTATTTTTGTACTGTAGATTGTACGCCTGTGTGCCTTCCTTACTGTTTTTCATTCCACTAAATTTCCCATTAATATTCTTTTGGAAACAAAAGCTGCGTGACCTCACCAATGACTTGTTGTGGCCAAGCATAACAAAGCATCTCTATATTGACTAACAGAAGAGTGAAAAAATTGATTTATGAAGCTATTTTCACTTCACAATCGGAATTCCTTAATAAAACTCTTGAGGTATTTGCTTAGTTGATCAGTGCAAGTTGTTTGATCTGTTGTAATGATCAATTACAATTACTTTTTTTTGTTTGTTTTGTTTTTTTTCTCGAAAGATGTGTCATTTCCACAATGTGATCGTGACAAAATCTCGCTCAAATCCAATTCGTCGCGCCGGGTCACATGTCTGGTCTCCATTGTCCGCAGAGCAGGGTGTGTGCAGCCGGGATGCTGCGTGGTCGGGGCGTGGGAGTAGCCGGATGAGAGGCTGTTTTCCCTTCAGCAGCGTCCTGATCACACATCCCCTTCCGTCGCTTGCTTCCCGGGAAGATGCCCGGGCCGGAGGAGATGAGAAGCGGCCCGGGGCTGCCTTAGACGGGGCGTGTCTGTCGGTTGTTTTTGCTGCTGTCATCGCCGCCGCACCTGCGTGGAGGAGAGGAGCGACTGCCTCGGTTCCAGAGACCGGCGATGTAAACTCGGTGAGGGGCATCAGCGGCATGAACAGTCGATGATCAGAGAGAGAGAGAAACATGTCTGCGGGCAAACACTGCGAGGCGATCAGGGTGGTGGTCCGCTGCCGGCCGCTCAGCAGGAGAGAGGAGGCTGGGGGGTGTGAGAACATCCTGGAGGTGGATGACAGGCTGGGGCAGATCACCATCCGGAACCCAAAGGCGCCGCCTGACGAGCCGATGAAAGTCTTCACGTTTGACTCGGTGTACGGCTGGAACTCGAAGCAAAGGGACGTCTACGACGATGCCGTGAGACCTCTGGTGGAGTCTGTGCTCCACGGCTTCAACGGCACCATCTTCGCCTATGGGCAAACCGGGACAGGCAAAACCCACACCATGCAGGGGGTGTCCAAGGACCCGGAGAAGAGGGGCGTCATCCCGAATTCGTTCGAGCACATCTTCACCCAGATATCCAGAAGCCAGAACCAGAAGTATCTGGTGAGGTCGTCCTATCTTGAGATCTACCAGGAGGAGATCCGGGATCTCCTGTGCAAGGACAACAACAAGAAGCTGGAGCTCAAAGAGAATCCAGACTGTGGGGTTTACGTGAAGGACTTGTCTTCGGTGGTGACGAAGAACACCACCGAGATCGAGCACGTCATGAACATTGGAAACCAGTCCAGGTCGGTGGGCTTCACCAACATGAACGAGCGCAGCTCCAGGTCCCACGCCATTTTCCTTGTGACTGTAGAATGTAGCGAAAGAGGCCCAGACGGCGAGGACCACATCCGCGTTGGAAAGCTCAACATGGTTGACTTGGCTGGAAGCGAGCGCCAGAGCAAGACGGGTGCCAAGGGGAAGCGTCTGAAGGAGGCGGCCAAGATCAACCTGTCCCTCTCCGCACTGGGGAACGTCATCTCAGCCCTGGTGGATGGGAAGAGCACCCACGTCCCGTACAGAGACTCCAAGCTGACCCGCCTGCTTCAAGACTCTTTGGGTGGCAACGCAAAGACGGTCATGATTGCAACAGTGGGGCCCGCTCACAAGAACTTCGACGAAACCCTGGCGACCCTGAGGTACGCCAGCAGAGCCAAGAGGATAAAGAACAAGCCTCGTATTAATGAGGACCCCAAAGATGCCCTGCTGAGGGAGTTCCAGGAGGAGATCGCGCGCCTGAAGGCTCAGCTGGAGGAGCAGGGGATGCTGGCAAAGGAGAGGCGCCGGAGGAGGAGAGACAGCAAGAGACTGAGCAAAAGCCTGGCGGGTATGGAGGAGGACATCCTTTGCGAGAAGGATGGAGACGTGTGGAAGGCGGCCGAGGAGGCAGAAGAAGACGGGAAGCGTTGCCTGATTGAGGGAGGTGACAGTGCCAAGATTCTGACCTGCCAGGGTGGCAGTGAGAAACTAAGGAACCTAAATCTGTACAGAAGAAGTCTGGGGGACGTGCAGTGGGATCAAGATGCGGTGGAGAAAATCATCGAGAAATACAAGGTGTTTGATTAAGCTGATAAATGAGACACGAGTTAATCAAAAGGAACGAGCATGAATAATTCACTGTGTTTTTGTTCGCAGGCCATGGAGAGCAAGCTGTTGGTCGGTGGAAAGACTATCATTGATCACACCAATGAGCAGCAGAAAATACTGGAGCAGAAAAGACAAGAAATAGCAGAACAGGTGAACATTGCTCAAATAGAAACACACCCCTTGCTGCATCCTGGCATGTCGCATAACTTTCGTTTCGATTGTATCTCGATTGTTTGCATTTAATCTCGATCGCTCGGTTCGCAGATAAGAAGAGAGAGAGAGATCCAGCAGCAGATGATGTTGCGAGATGAAGAGACCTTGGAAATCAGAGAGACGTTCTCCTCCCTGCAGCAGGAGGTGGAACACAAGACAAAGAAGCTGAAGAGGGTGGGGTGACTCTCTCTCTCGTGTGCACAGTGGCACAATCTCTAAAGAAGTTGCCCGTTATTTGAGTAGTTGTAGGCACTGAAAAATGTGCTGCAGCCGAAGTTCAAATCCAGTTTGTTTTGCTTGATGATAGCTCATAGAAATGTTTCTATCCATTTTCTGCAGCTGTTTGCTAAACTCCAGCTGCTGAGGGGAGAGATGAAAGACATCTTTGACGAGCACATCACAATCCGACAGGAACTGGAAGAGACTCAGGAAGAACTAACCAGAGAACTCAAGTACAAGTAAGACATGATGACTTTTGATACTTTTGCACTTTACAGATCTTTGGCCTGCATGTGTGCAGTGGGCAAAATCTGTTCCATATGCATGGCGCGGAAAACTTATAGCTTGCAAGTGGCTGTGTAAAAATCAATACATTTATTGACCGATTGAATGTTGTAAAACAATAAAAGACCCTTAAACATCTCCTTTAGTTTTGACCTCTGGGAATAGTATTTAGCTTCCTTCGATATTAGGATTTATACTAAATGAAGGCACCTTACAGTTGCCTACTGCTGGCATAATAAAAATTACCTAAGAGCTTTCAACTTAAAACCATAACTTTTACTTTAATATGCTGTAATAACTTGTTTGTACCCAACATAACATCCATTGCAATTGGTCGGCATTATGCTCCTCTGTATTCATTTTAAGGTCTGCAACTCAAGCCTTGATTATCTTGATATATTATAAATACTGGTGCTAAATTTTGAATACTGATGTTTAGATAATTTTTTTCCATATTGGGTTTTTTTTTTTTATTTTTTTTATTACGTTTGCACAAGTTTTGTCAGTTTGGATGGACATTTTATTTTGTGTGTTACAGATATCTTCTGATTGAGAATTTTATTCCCCCCGAGGAAAAGAACAAGATCATGAACAGGCTGCAGTTTGACGGCGAGGAAGATCAGTGGTGGCTACAACCAGTTATTCCTTCAGAGAGGTCAGTAAATCAATTGTGCATCGACCTCGGCACGTACCACTGCATCTGCTGAATCTGCCGAGTCATGCAGGGCGTATAAATCGAGCGTGATAAAAGTCAAAACCGCAATAACCCTTAGAACTGCTCGTTGAGTTCAGAGCCTTGTGGGCTTACGCCTCTCCTGGCAATGAAAAAATGTGTCAAGCGCGCGGCAAAAAATGTAAATCATCTCCAACATCATAAGATGCCAGTCAAAACTCCAATTGTGTTTGTTTTCAGGATCTGTGCGCCATTACAACACCAGATTATTTTCGTTTGTTTCCAGAGGATCTGTATGTAAATCTAACCCCGTCTGCTCTGATGTGTTCTCCCAGTACACCCACTCGGGTCAAGAGTCGGCCTCTTTCTGCTGTGGGATACAAGAGGCCAATCAGCCAATATGCACAGATGGCTGTTGCCACCGCTACTGGGACCCCATTTAGATACCAGGTCAGTGCTCAGATATTTACACCACAAGGCCAGATGGCAGACAAGGAGCACTAGAATGATCTGACGCTACTGCAATATCATGCTCAGAACAGCCTTGTTTGTGAAATGTGAAGGCCTCAACAATCTATACACAACATTGCTTTTTTGTTTGTTTGTTTTTTCATATTAATCTGGAAAATAACTGGTGCACTGGCACAGCAGATTTTGATTTTGCCTTAATGCAGATGCTATGCATTGCATTGCAAAAATATTGTTATTGCATAAATGGGTTTAAAGTATTTAAAAATCTGAAAAGTGTGGCATGTATTTGCATTGAGTCCCCTTGGTTCTCATGCCGGTAAGCTAAACAAATACCAGTGCAACCAACTGCTTTCAGAAGTCATCTAAATCCTGAACGGAGCCCACCCCTGCGTATTTTAATCGAAATAAGATTCTCCCCATCCCCACTGTAAACATGGCGGTGCTAGCATCATGCTGTGGGGATGCTTTTCCTCTGCAGGGAGAAGGAGACTGTTCAGAATTGATTTTTTTTTTAATGATGGAAGTAAATATAAGTAATAGTGGAAGAAAAAAATTGTAAGACTGCAGAAAACTTTCTACAGGAAAACAACCTGGAATATAAAACCAAAGCGACAATAAAATGTTGGTTTGATGTGTCAAAGTCCTGTTCACTGATATTATCGGAAACAGCCCGTCATAATTGCATTGTGAGCAGTGTCGTCTGTTCTTACAGGCAGAAAACATAATGCTGCTGGAGTTAGACATGTCTCCACCAACCATGTTCACCTTGAACCTAAACGGCGAATGCCTGGAGCGAGCCTTCACCCCCAGGCTGCTGCCGGATCTGTCGCTGAACGTGCGTGCATCAGGCGCGTCGCCTTCAAGGGTCAGGAAATCCCAGTCCTGGTAAGTGAACGACAGAAAAACAGAGGAATATTTCATTTTAAATACTTCATAGAGGCAGTAATAATTGAACTCTTTACCTTTTAATCTTTAAATTAACATGGTTCCTTTAAATCTGCAAACAAAAACAGTATTAACACATGATGCTGGTGCAAGCCACGGGAGCATTGCAGTTAAATTGCTAAGAATGAGTCACGATTTCTAATGCATGTCAGCGCAACTCACAAACCCTATAAGTATCGCATCGTTGTGGTGTTTTTTTTTTGCAGTTACAGACAGCTTTGTTTTCTTTGGTCTGCAGGTATCAGGCACCACAAGCTGCGTCTGTCAGATCATCCTCATCCTCCTCTATTCTGACATCAGAACCTCAGAGCTGCTCTCCCTCTCCAAGGCAAAGACCATCCTCTGCTGCATATCTTTCTTTGGGAGGCCCAGTCCAAACAAGCCCCTGATTTTCTGTCACATTCTGTCTGCTGGCCTTAGTTCTTTCTGTGCCCAGTTAGAGGTTGCAGTTAAGGAGGATCCATCTATATTAATTCATTTTGAAGCTGAGTTTATTTTTAAAAAAAGAAATAATAACAATAAAAAAAAAACAGTTTCTGTAACTGAAAATGTTCTGATTTCTTAGTTTCAGTATGGTATGCCGGAGCCTTATTTTATTTGGCTGAGTAATTTTTGCTGCACATCTCTTACAGTCATGATAAAAATGCAGGCGCTTTTATGCTTAAGTGATCTCAGATGAAAATGATCAAATACTGGTCTTTTCACCCCTCTGGCACTTCATTTATTTATTTATTTATTGCCTTTTGGGTACAAAATGGTGCTGTGTGCTGCAGGATGTCTTTGTACCGGTTATTTGTCAAGTTGTACCCGACAAAGGGATGTTTTCAGTCCACTTATTTGTGGGCTGAAAACCCACAAATAAGTGGGTTTTCAGCAACTCCCAAAAAAATGACTCCAAAAATCACTGCTTTGTAGAATGGGGTCGCCTAGACCCATTTTAGCTTGCTCAGGCAGCGTAGGGGTCAGATGACAGAAGAATCAGCTGAACTACACCGGGATCAGACCACAATGAATGGAAAAGGAAAGCAATCCAAATTTGATTAAACTTTACTTTGGATTTACTTTACATGAAAAATTTTCAAATTGTTTGATCTGAAAAAATGTGCAATCAAACAAAATGTACGATCAGACAAAATATTTTATTGCTTACTTGGTAAAGGTATGTCATAGTACGGACATACCTTTAAGTGTGCCTAAATAACTAGTCATCAGAAAGTCTGACCTCCTCCATTAATCATTATTATTTAAAAACAATTAGAAATGTTTTTGCATGGTGACCAAGTGGAAAGATGCTAATTGTAATCTTAAAGAAGTAATTGTTGCTTTTGTCAATCTAAGAAAGATATAACAGCGTTTTCTTGACGAAAAATAAAAAATAAAAAAACAAAAAAACAATGACAAACTTAACATCTCATAGTATCTAGATTACAATCCCTTTTAGATGTGTAACTGTTAAGCATGGTGGTGGAGAGGTGATGATGTGGGCTTGCTTGTTGACGTCACATCTCGAGTGCGCAAACCTGCGTCCAAACAGCCCATCAAACGTCTGGAACGAAATCAATCCTTGCCTTAAATGCTCCCAAAAAGAAGAAGAAGAAAAAGTCACGCGCCTTTCAGTAACTCTGTAGCAATGTTTTTAAGATGCACTCAATGCTTTAGCATTCTGTTTTAATATCCGTTTCATAAATAATGTTTAAACTAGTCGCTCGTCTCAGATTGTACTAACCAAATTTTTAGAGCCAGTAAAAGCTTTTTGACTTTTGATTTTCTAAGTATGATTGTTAAAATCTTCAAATTGAAAGTCTGTACGCTCACACAGTTGTAGAGAAAGGAAAAGATGGCCAAGTCTCTGCCAAACACATCCAGGCTGACCGAATGGGAGAACATCCTAATGTAACCTGTGTGCTTTACGATGTTTTGCTGCGGTTTATGGCTAATGTAATTGTGAACCAAAAAAATGTGAAGAAAGCTTGCAGTGCCGTCTTGATTAGCTGCCTTACTTTTTCATGATTGTGAAAAGTTGACTTGCTTACATAACAAAATAAACACTGAATAGTCTCAAAGTGCCAATGTTGTCATTCTTCATTCAAACCTGTATTGCACTTCTCTTAATGAGTCTCATCATAGTTGCAAGTGACAGGCAGTTTGTAAAATCACAGGGTGTCTCTTACCATGTCATGGTCTGTTTTTCTATTGATTTCCTTGCAATTAATTTAATTCAGATAAAACCTGCTCTCTCAAAAACATTCTTCCCTCCTCTCACGTCATATACCGCCCAGCAGATTGATCAGCGTTTTTCTCAGTACGCACTTGTGTGTTTTTACTTTTTTTTCCTATCCAGTCACCTGCCTCCCTGTTCCTTATTCCAAAATTTTTGCTTGTATTTGGTATGGCTGGAGCAAAGTGGCGGAGCGCTGTTTAAGAAAGCTGCATTGGTTTTTAGGAACATTCTGCAACATAAAGTGCCATGGAAGTGGTTTTGAAGTTCAATGTAATGTATTAAAGTTATTAAAAGTTGAAATTAATTCAAGAAAATTTCAAGTTAGGTTCTCATTCTTTTTTATTTACATACACATATTACTGATGAGATCTGATTGGTGAACTTTCACATAAAGTCCAATTCAGGCCAAAGTTCTTTCTTCTCTGATCCAAAATAAAAACTCCTAGTTAATAAGTTATTAATACATTCATTTCACAACTTAAATGAGTTCACCTCAATGATTGATGATTTTAAAAAAAAATTTAAATAAAATTGTGACACCTCTGGACTTTCATAAAGAAAAGGACGGGGCCATACTTAAAAAGCCAATAATCAGATTCTATTAAGATAAGGGCATCGTAGCTATTTACAAATGCCACCTGGCCCTCCTTATGCCTCCTATGATGTCATCAACCCAAAGTAGAGTGTTGTGTTCCTTGGCGCACACTTTATTTACTGTACTTTGTAAAATCCCACACAGCCCTACCTCATTATCCAACTACGTTTTGTTAAGTCTACGTTTTCTACTTAAAAGAAAACACACCACTGACTAGTATCATTAAATTACACGTGGGGAGCTGGAGGGTTTTACAGTGACAGCCACATACAGTACGAGGATGACGTTTCCGACGGTCACGTGACTCTTTACAGTAAGTCCAACATGGCAGATGGAGTAGGTCTTGCACGGTGACTAAAAAAAACATTTCAACAGAGACGGACAATTCAAACGCCACTCCGCCACGGGACATCCACCATGAGAGAGAGACAGAAGAAAAAGAAGGGCAGGACGTGGGCGGAAGCCGCTAAAATGGTACTCTCGGGTGTTTTGTCTTCCGTTTGTTGTGGTTGTTTTCCTTGAACGCTCCCACTTGTACAACTGTGTTGACGAGTTCATGACCTGCTGGTGGAGGCGAACGTTGCGCACACCGCGCGAGGCCTGTGTTGTCGGTCCAAAGGCGGCTGCTGTCACAGGCAGGGGAGCCGACTCCCCGTCCGCTCTCTCTGAGGAGGAACGCGGCTTTGTTACCGTGACCCAGGCACACCCAAGCACGCCTCTGAGCCCACCGTTCGCGTTTCACGCAAACGGTCGGACTGACAAATCTTTATCGAGCTGATTCGGAGAAAGTGACCGCGTCAGGGGTGCGTTATTAGCCAGGTTAGCATCGGCTAGGTCGCGCTAACTCCGTCAACAAGTTTGATTAGTTTCGAGTAGACTAAAACCAAGACGTCATTTTCAATAAAGTATTATTTTGTACTGTTACGTTTATGTCTTCTTTACCGACGTCAAAGTATTTCGGGTGCATGCCAACTTGGCCAATGAGTGTTATTAGCTTTCGAGCTAGTTGGACTAGCTTAGCATGCTAATAAGTATTTAAATATGAAAACTCTCGGAAAGAATGTCACAAATAGAAAATCTTACCGAGTTGTTTGGATATTTGGAGTCCACTGACACGTGTTTATGTTCAATAAACTAGTTGAATTGTAAAGATGTAGGTATCTGACAGCGAGTACAGTGTACATAATAACTTTTTAATGCGTAAAATGTAAAGTCGCTGCAGGGTTGAATGTGAAAGGTTGCAGAGAAATGATGACAAGATGAGGTCAGCTTCACGCCGAGATACATATGCATATAGTGCCTAACAAAAGTATTCACTTTTCACATTTAGTCGAGTAGCAAGAAACAAAACCTGTCTTATGTTTTAGGGTTATTTGTGAAAAGTGATGAATGATTGTTCAATAGTTTGTTTATTTTTACAATTAAAAATCTAAGACGTTTGGTCATGCACAACCATGTTTTTGCTCTACCTGCAAGTCTCTACCATGTGAAGGTTCAACTCCTTCTTTGGAGAATTATAGACAGGTTCTCATTATAAAAATAAACTGCTTCTGTATTCATCCCCTTACTTCTGGGCTTTTGTGGTTAAAAGCTTTCATAGAGTATAGGTCAAACTCCGATTGAATGCAGTGTTTCTGAACATCGATGTTAAAATTTTTGCAACAAATTCCCAATTGAATTCTACATTTTGAGTTGATCTAAACCATTCAGTTGTTTTTGGATGTTGCGTCAGCCTGCATTTATTACCGTTCTGCTTCCCACACCATGATGTTGCTGCTGCCGCTGTGTGTCATGGTGTGGGGGATTTTTATTGTTTTATTTCAACAATGGCAAGATTTGTGGAATGCACAACTAATCTAGCAGCAGATTTCTTCCACTTTGGAATAAATTGCTTATTTCTGTTTGTCTGCCAGATAAAATCAAACTAAAATACATTAAAGTTTGTCTGTTGCTGTGTGAAAAAATAAGTGGAAAGGTGGATGAGACCTGAATGTAAGTAGAGTAGATATTGGCCTGCATGCTGTGAGACAAAGCATCTACAAAACTAATTTCTCTGAAACGTCGTTTTGCTTTGTGTGTAGGAAAACATGTAACAAATTCCATATCATTCAAGCCCTTTGACACAAAACTGTGCAAGAAAATAACAAAGAACAAGCACCGTAATGTTATTATGCATAAAAAAAATACAATGAAGCTAAATTGCTTTTTCTCTTAAAAGTTACTAAATCAATTAACCTTGCCACATCTTAAAAACCGAGCAGCAGGGGGCGCTGTAGATAGATTTCTAACTCTTTGGTCAGAAGTGCTGTCTGAGCTCTCCTCCAGTAACCAAGTGTTGCACTGACCAACAGATGGTTGCAGCCTCCACTACTTCCTTTGACTGTATCGTCGCATGAAGTCAAATTTGCACGTAGTTCTCCTGGAGCCAGAGAAGCCGCAGCCATTCTCAAATCTACAAGTAATCAAGTTATGTAAAGGATGAAAATAGTGGGAGAGAGGGTTTAATGCCGAGTGGAAGAGGAAAATGATTCAGTGGAAAACTAAAACCTATTAAAAGAAAAAAATAACTATTTGAATGAGGTGGAAAAGTGGCTGGTGGTTAAAACTCTCTGAACTTGAGACAGAAAAATGTTGGGACTCCTTTTTACTCTAAGAACTCGGTATCAGTTTGACTCCACCGATTTCTACTCTTACATCTTGCCCAGCCATATCCATACTTTTACTATCTTTTGAAAACAAACCAACTGTTTAATTGAAAATTATTCTAAATCTACATATGTTAACAGTGTCAATAGTGACGGACTTAGCAGTACCATAAAATTCCCTTGCATTTTAAGAGTCACCCATTGAATAAACTGAATATTATGATGAATTATGGCAATAAATATTACTAAAGTTATCATATCTTTTGTATTATTTTTCTGCAACATTTTGTATTAGCGCCATATCTCTGATTTAAAATTTACACAAGATTATTGACCCTGATCCAATAAAAACAAGGAGTAATTTCCCTGATTAAGAACCTGTTCTTTATTAATCATGTTATTTTGTTGTGGTTATTTTTATTTTAAATTCTTTTAGGTTTTGGAGAAGTACCCTAATACTCCTATGAGCCATAAAGAGATCCTGCAGGTGATCCAAAGAGAGAGGCTTAAAGAAATAAGGTAAACCCACATTTTAGAAAGCATTTTTTGTTCCTTTCCCGTAAAAGGCAACACTACCTGTCTCTCTCCCTTATTTCTTTAATTCATGTTTTTTTTCCCTGTTCATATTCACAGTTAGTTTAATCAATAACTGTTTAATTTCTTTTTGTTTCATTGTCACTCTTTTCATCCAGAAGGTAAGACAAGAAAAAGATGGCCTCCCCCACCCACCATCCCACCTTAACAACCTCACCGCATTTCCATACTTTGTTCAGATTTAAATCTTGCATGCTTTAACGACGACAATGTTGTAGATTCAGTGGCAAAAATAACTAACTCATAGTTTTAGTCTTGACACCTTACGCCCACACGCTACATTTATACATAACACAACTGCGCAACAGAAATAGATATAGCTTCATGTGAGCCTTGAATTTATTAAATTTTATTTTTTAAATAAATGTAATAGGGAATCTTATCACTTTTTTTTTGTTCAAAGTATATTATGTTACATATAATACCTATTTTTCTATTTCAGAAAATGTAATAGGTAACGTGAGTTGCTTTTCATCTTTAGCTCAAGTTAATTCAACTGACTGTATGTGAAACGCAGGGCAGATATCTCACCCTCGTGTTACTCTGATCCGAACTTATGCATGACGGCACTCAGATGTTTGATCAGCCTCTACCCTTCTTCCAATGTTTATTTTTTTTCTTTTTTACTTATAGCTGCTTGAGGAATAGAAGTCAATAATCATAGTTCATGGTTTTCTCTGATCACTCAGCGGAACCTCGCCGCTGGCATGCCTGAACGCCATGCTGCACACAAACTCCCGGGGTGACGAGGGCATTTTCTACAAAGTCCCGGGCAGGATGGGAGTCTACACGTTAAAGGTTGGTTAGTTAGTTAGACAACAAAGGTTAGTCAGTTGCAGAACAGTAAAAATGGTTTTAGTTCATGCATTGTTGTGGAGTCGCTGAGTCTGTGACGGCTTTTATCTGACGGACGGCAGTCATCGGCTTGTTGTGCCGTGTTTATTAAAGGTTTAAGGGGTGACGCAGGTCTTCTTTCAGTACAGACCTTGGTTTTGTGGTCACATTTCAGTATGGGAAAGTACAACAGGAAGAAGACAGAAATGCCAAACGATAGTTTTGTCTGAACTACATAAATAGCCTCCACAAAAACAGAAAAATTAACACCGTTGTTCGTGACGAGGCTCTCGGGCAGCGCCATGACGGCTAACCCCAGGACTCTTAACTATATGGGACGCAACGACGGATCTCTGTCAAAGATGAACAGTAGGTAAACGAGACACATTTTTTTGTGTGTTTTTAGGGAAAGTTAATGCAAGAAAAAGCAGAAAGCTCTACATTGATTTTTAAATGGAACAAATAGAATAAATGTTTTTTAAACATGAAGAGCCAATAGGAAGCACTGGAGCACTACTCTCCCAGAACCAGCACCGAACATGAAGAGCAGCATTCATGTTCTTCAAAACCATATGTAGGTTTTATGCTCCTCAAAGAGTTTGATGTTGGCATTTCTTTCTAGTTTTACAATATGTTTTGATGCTGTAAAGGACTTTGAACTGCTTCTTTACTGAACTGTACTGTACAAATGAACTTGACTTGAGTAGACACCGACTCTAGCACTGCTAGCAGCTAAAGGCTAGGCTGTTGCCGCACACTTTTCAAAGTGTTACTCATAAAAACCTCTCATGTAAAAAGTAAGACCTTTAGATTGAAGATGCAATAAAATAATGACCAGCTATTCTGAATTCTTTGCGCTTTATGTGGAGGGTTAAGCTCACAAATCCCCTGACAGTGTTTTCTATTTTCTACAGTTTTTCTCTTCTACTTCTGTTTTTCAGAAGGACATCTCAGAGGGGCTGAAGAAGCTGTCGGAGGAGGGCTCTGACGAGAGCAGCGACAATCTATCCGACTCCCGAAGCTCAGAGAACAGCGGCACCGTTCCTCCAGAGGGCAGGAGAGGACGCTGGATGCGAAGAGGTACCGTCCCTTACGTTCACATAAAAGTTTGAGAGTTTTGATCTGAATTTCACAGGCTCAATCTGTTTTTTTTGGGGGGGGGGGTTGCTCCAGCAAATCAATTTTGTGACCGTTTTCTTTTAATTGCGCAGAATTTACAAGTTTAATATAAAAAAGTATTTTTTTTTATGATATCAAGGAGCACCTTTCATCTTTCAACCTTAACTCTTTGCTCATAAAAGAACAGCTTTTTTTTTCTGTTTTATAACTTTTTATTGCCGTGAATGAGTGAAGTATCAGGATAACCAAAATCCTGGTCGTCACACAGCTCTTTATTTACTTATTTTAGCTGATTGGGCACATAGATCTCTTATGTCAGTGAGCGTTAACGCCTCTTCTCAACTGTTGTGAAGCATTGTTGCTCAAACACAGGAAGCCAGCTCATTTGCCTGAATGCAAGCTTAAGGAAAGCGGTTCTTCCAGAAAGTTAGATTGAACCTGTCGTATATTTCTGGGACACCCTGAGCGCCCAACATGACGGCGAAAGGTCGGTTTCTTTTTTGACTCTCGATTCATCAGCAACCTGTGGAATCACATCCGTTTTCTATTGTCTACCTTGTTGGAGGGGGGAGGGTTGTGTTTGCTTTATTGGCTTTTTATGTGTAAGTTTGGAAAAGTTTTTTTCTAGCTTTTTTTTGGTTTGGTTGTGTTTATTTTCTTTATTTGCCGCTACTTGAACATTTCAAGCGACTGTTGAGACAGGAAGCTGAATTTTCTCAGCCTGGCCCGTGACCACTTCCTCATTACACATAAGTTTGAAGCTGCCATAAAAAGACACTGCGTCTTTACAGCAGAGTGAGAGAAATTACCTTTTTGTCATTGAGCTAATAAAGGCACAAAAGTCAAATGCTGGGAGATCAGAGATCTGTATGAGAAAACACAAAGCTCAATAGAGCTCTTGCCGAGATGTTTAGCCCATTTTTCGTGAAGATATCTTAGATGGGTAACGTAAACCTCCCTCCTTTGTGCAAAAGATTGGTTTCAGTTTCATCAAAACAATTGCCCAGCTTGATTGTTTGCATACTCGCCTCAGGAAACGTAGATTTGTAACCGTTTTTTTTTTCTTTTCTATTTTCCAGTCCCCTCCAAGCTGCAGTCACAGCCGTCGTCTCCGCAGCCACAGTGCTCATCGCCTCCCGTCTCCTCCAGTAAACTCATCTCTCCCTCACAGAAACACAGCAAGAAAGCACTCAAACAGGTACGTTTCTTTTTTTTTTTTACGCTTTAAGCCTATTTATTTACAGTGCAGAGTGGTTGTTTCTCAGTAGTCTCTGTTTTATTAGTTAGCAGTGTAACATGAGATCTTGCCACGCCCTCTTATTTTGATATAAAGATCTTTCACTCTACTCCACAAAATAAAAAAATACATGCCGGTTTGATATGTCCATGGAATCGTTCTGGTGTTATTTGAATAAATATAAAGTTTTGACGCTGCATGTTTGTTTTACTGTGTCTCCTTGATTCTTTCCGTTTTGTTCAAAGTCTTGTGATAACGTTTCATACCACTTGAGCTTTTCCACATTTTGTCTTTGTCTTTCTTTTAGTGTATCAGGCTTCCAGTGCGCTACTTAATGTAAAAGCCTCTTCCTTCAGGTACAGCTGAAGGTTGTTTTTTTTTTCCATCATCTCTCATCAGCATTTCTAAAAATCTTCCTGCTGAGTCTCAACTTTATTAAGGTCTGGGCTTTGACTGGGTCACGTCGATGTGCTGTCTTCCAGACGTTTATCTCTGTTTTCCTGATGGAAACTCCGACTCGATCTCAAGTCTTTTGCCACCTCTAGCAGGTTTTCTTCCAGGACTCGCCTGTATTTAACTCCATCTATCATCTTATTGACTGACTTGTTTCTTTCTCCCTTTTTAAGGAATATTTCCTTAACTAGATGCTGCCACACCACGTTTCCAGATGATTACCCAAAATCATATGCAGTTTAAGTTTCCACCTCACATAGTGTTTTGCGTGTAGGCCGGGGAAAAAAAACACACTTCTTTTTTTTTTTTTGTCTTACACGGTTTGGTGTTTGTTCCTTCTTCTGCCGTTTTTCTAGGCGCTGAAGCAGCAACAGCAGAGAAATCAGCGCAGACAGGGTGGTATGCCAGCCATCTCCAGTTCCAGGCTGCTACTAAAGACCATCAAAGACATGGCAGAAAACATTACAACAAAGTCTGGTAGGTTTCAACACGTATGTTGCTACAATCAGCTTAAATTCATCTCAGTACTATTTATTAGGATTCTTTTTTTTAGGTTTGTTTTGCACCTGCATCATTTTATTCATATTTTAATATTTTTTTTCATTGTGAAAATAGAAAAAAAAAATTTCAGCTTTTTGTTCTCCATTTGAACAGAATGGCTCAATAGTTTAGAGAGCAACAACTTTTTAAAGATGCGTGACATTAACTCAATTAAAATCTAGCCTGAATTTCTTTACATTTGATATTGCTCATAAATCCACCACTGCTATGTAATTTATGCTAGTGCTATTCACATGCCATATCAATAACCTGGTAAAGGTATAAGTTCATTTCTTACTATATTATGCGTATGCATTGTCATTGATGAAGATTTACTCACCTCCACATGAAGAGCGCTTCAAAAATGGCCTGAGCAGCAGGATTAATTCAGTCAGCATTCGAGCATTAAAGATTTAGCTGTAGGTTGCGACTCGTGGAAAAAGGCTAGAGTCAGGTGATCATTTGATATTGAGGAGTAACACGTCATACAAAAGGAGAGGAGATGTGTCACAACAAGTGATTCGTTTCTTCACTAAAACTCTTCTCCCCTGGTAATGAATAGGAAACTTTGTGATTGTAGCTTTACAGTTAGCCGTTCTTCAAATTCACAAAGGTTTTCTTCTTTTGTCCAAATAGAGTTATGCCACCCTGTCGTACCCAGAAAAGTCACTCAGAGGTCCGATCGTCTCAGTGCAGGTAGGTCAATCAGCAGGTGTAACTTTTTATTTATTTATTATTTTTTGGATTATTATTTCAATTCTATTTTTTGGGTTGGATATATTCTATACACCCGCTGGAATCGGGCACCAGCACACTTAACCCCACTCAGGTTAAGTGTGTAAAGATAATGTATTGACGTGCATATTCTATGAAACAGAAAAATGGGTCTATGGTAATTTACAGTCTACAACATTTGTAGCGTACCGATCAGAAACTACTAGAACATTTAAATTAGAATTTCATTATTCATTATTTTTATATTTTTCATTATTTGGATAACTTACATCAAACAGCGTTCCTTTATATCTGGTCTAAAATTCTACCTGTTTAGAGTTTTCTTTGATGAGTAAAAAGTGGAACATTGATCAACTTATTTGATATATTTGCTAGATGAGGACATTTGACAAAATATACTGTGCATCGCTTGTTTCATAATTGGCGACTGTATGATGTTTTTAAACTCCCTTGTCACTGAAATGTGCTGCACAAATTAAGCTTACTTGATTTATAGGAAACAAACGATTCTTTAGTGAACAAATCAGCAAGCACGTCGATTGTTCAATCAAAATCTGTTCTGCTAATTTCTTTCTGTCTCGCATCTATTCCAAGGGCAAATAAAACGCACTAAGTTTAAAATAGACGTGGAAACGCCAGACTCCATTTTGGTTAACACCAACCTGAGAGCCCTCATCAACAAGCACACCTTTTGCGTCCTGCCTCCCGACTGCCAGCAGAAGCTGGTCAAACTCCTGCCTGAGGTCGACCGACAGGTGAGTCTTACACCTCTGTGGCATTGGAGATCGATTAACGCACTAAAGTGTCATATTGCAGCACACCCGTTCGTCTTAGTTGATTCATATGAAAAAATTCAGCAGTGTTACATAAAGCAGAGGTTTTGTCCAAAGCTCTGAATGTAGTTTACTAACTCTCAAATCTGCAATCAATGTTCCAGTGACTATTAAGAGATTAGTCATCGCATTGTGCCTCTTCTCTCCAGGCTTGCTTGGACGGCCTTCTGAAGGTTACGAGCTCGGCTTTAAACAACGAATTCTTTGCGTCGGCAGCGCAGTCGTGGAAGGAGAGGCTGGCTGAAGGTTAGTCGCTCGGCTCCTGGTTGATAACGACATTCATTTCTCGTATAAAGCAATAAAATATATAAAAGATATCTCCAAGGCGATATCGTGTTGCTTTCTCTTTTTCTAAATCGAAATAAAACTTTCTCCTTTCGCAGGGGAATTCACACCCGAGCTGCAGGTCCGAATGCGTCAGGAAATTGAGAAGGAGAAGAAAGTTGAGCACTGGAAGGAGGCTTTCTTTGAAAATTACTACGGGGAAAAGTAGGTAGAGTTGTTCATAATCATGCAGTTGTCAAATCTGAAGGAGATTTTGATTGTTTGGAAAATGTCTTCAGTAAAGTTATTCAAATGAATGCCGTGTGTATAAGTGACACCTCTGTAGCTCCAAAGAAGATTAAAATGCTGTAAATCAACTATCCTTACCTCACTAGTAGGCATGTATTATATACCCATTTTAAGGTATACCAAGGCTTTCAACAGTTTCATTCTTGCTGCACACTGCTCATCAGCTGTTTGAAAAAGCACACTGCTTATAAACAAGGACCGATTTGACTACTTCCAACTTGTTCTTGTAAGAGAAAAAATATTTATGCTTCTGTCACATTAGGGTGACAGAAGCATAAATATGCTCTTATATAGTTTTCCTTAGGTCTGTTTCAAAAATCATGTCCAAAAATACAGTGCAGTTGTATCCATCGGATGATTATTGACCACGAGAGCCAGCTTCTGAAGGTCGTCGCTACAGAAGCTGGCTGTTCCGATTGATGAAAAAAGCACTACAAGTGCAAAATAGATGAAAAGTTGAGTGGAAGGATAAAATGTAATAGGAAAAGATTCACAAGCAACAGCTCCAAGAGGCCCACCTACCCAGATAATGCACATCTGGGCTGGATGGGAAAAGAACTGGGGTTTTGTGCTCCAAAGTTGTTGTTTTTTTTTTCTTCTTAGGAAAATCAGTTGTGGATTTCATTTAGAAATCAAGGTCAGAGTCTGGAGGGGGAAGGGAAAATCTGCTCATAATCAATTCAGTTTGAAGTTTTCACAGTGAAAAAGTCCATTTATCACCTTCATGCAATAAAACCTTGATGCAGTCTGTGTGCTAAATTGAAAGTACTTTTCTTATGTAGCATTCAAAATTTCTTAGAAACTGAATGTTGTGTTTTTATTAGTTATAAGTCATCCAATTTCACAGAAATAAACACTTGAAATGCATCACTCTGTAATTAATCAGTTTAATGAGTTTGACTTTTTTCTTTGTCTCTGTGAAATAAATAAACTTCAGTGGGTTTCCAAGTACCAACATTAAGTGCAGAATTGCTGCGAAGCGTCAAACCCTCAGCAGATGTTCTCAACCTTGAATGTGCCCAAAAAGTTTTTTTCTCTTTTTTTTTTTAACATTCATAAGGACGTCACAAATCAAGAATATTTATGATTTAATATTTGAGATAAAAACGTCTTTCAATTTTCCTCTTTTGTACAGTTCGGGCCTCAGCTACGAGGAGTCCAAAGAGCTGATAAAGCCCGATGGGAATAAGGAGCCTGCCAGGCGCCGCTCTCCTGTTTGCCAGACAAATCCAGCTGCTCAGCCTCTGGAGGACAAGAAGAGCGCCAAGGACTGCGTCCAGACCGACGCCACCACGAGAGACGAGAAACCAGCGGAGAAATCCCCGGACCCTCCGAAGGAGCTGCCCCGACACAAAGAGTCCGTCCCCACCATGGAGCCCATGAAGACGCGTCGGTCGCAGCAGGCGGAGGATCGAAAGCTCAGCGCAGCCGCTCAGGCCGGGCCGTCGCCGATGGCGGCCGTGAAAACACTGGAATCGGAGAAACCAGCCGAGCGGAGCCCGATCAGCACACTTCGTGAAAAGCAACAGAAGGAGGAAAAACAGGAGAAGAAACTCCCTGAGTTGTCTGTGAAGAAGAGCCCCCCACTAACACCCAGTGCGGATGTAAACGATGACCAGCTGGTGACGCCAGCGAGACCTGCTGCGGGTGACGAAGAGGTGGCGTCGGAGCCCAGCGCCGCCTTGGAGCCCAGCGCCGCCTCGGAGCCCAGCGCCGCCTCGGAGCCCAGCGCCGCCTCGGAGCCCAGCGCCGCCTCGGAGCCCAGCGCCGCCTCAGAGCCCAGCGCCGCCTTGGACGCCCACAAGAGGAAAACCCTCAGCGGGACGGAGGGGGAGGTGACTCCAGAGAAAAGGCCCCGTTTGTCCTCCGTTTCCTCCGTGTCGTCGGTCTCCTCCGCGTCATCCATTTCCAGCCCGGCCACACCGTCTCCGACAAGTCAGAGGGTCCCGCCTCTCAAGGTGAGAAATGCGCACGCTTTCCATTTAACGATGGTTTTCCTCATTTGTCTTCTTTAAAGAGATTGGTAACTATAAGTTCACTTTTTCACATTTTATCACGTCATAACCACGGATTTTATGTTATGAACGAACACATTGTAGCTCAAAATTATAACAAGTAAGATAAATCTGCAGTTGTATTCAGCTGCCTTTGTGCTGATACCCTGAAGTAAAACCTTGTGCAGTCCTGTTAATCTGTGTTTAATTCAGTCTGAATCAAGCCACCATTTTTAGGATCTCGGTGAAGAAACAACCTGTAAACTAAATAATTTACCAGATTTTGAGTGAGGATTCGCAATTCATCTGAATATGGGTGGAGATAACTACATGGCAGTCATGAATGGGAACCTGTAAGATGTTAAAGACTTTAGCATGGGTTTAAGGTTAATTTTACTGCAGGACAACAAGCCTACATGTAAACCAAGCATTGCCACAAACATAAGTGAATAAAAAAAGTCTTGATCTTAACTTAGTTGAAGATCTATGGAAAGACTTTAAAATTTGTCCTCACATTTTCTCTCCTTAGTCAATCTGACGGAACTTGAGTTATAGAGGAATTTAATCATTTTATTGGCTCTTTGCAATTTGTGGTGATTCATTGCATAAAATCCTAATAAAATACATTCATTTGTGTAGTTGTAACTTAAAGAATGATTTAACAGTGCAAGAATAAATTTGCGAAGCACCGCAGTTTGGATTATGGCGGTTTTCCTTTAAGGATTCGTAAACTTACTCGACTTTATTCCCTGTTAAATGTCCCAGTGGAACTCCAAAAATTGTCAAACATTTCTCTCTTTTCAGATCCCCGTGTCACGAATTCTTCCTGTCCCTCTGTCACCAAGCCAAGTCTCACCAAAGACTCCCCTCCAGGGCCCTCTCAGCAGCCCGGGCCACACCGGAGCTCGCACGCTGGCTTACATCAAAGCCAAAGCTCAGCTCGCCCGAGCGCAGCGCGTAGCGGCCGCCGCCGTGTCATCCGCATCGAAGGGAGCAGTGCCGGGCCCGGGACCGGGTGGAGGTAGCGGTGGTGATCACAGGCAGCCATCACCCAGCCCCAGCCTCAGCCCAATTTCCCCTCAGACCTACACTAGATTACCAGCCACCACCACCACCAGCAGCAGCAGCAACCAATCCATTGAGCTTTCTCCTCCGCTCAGCTCAAGACCAGCTGATGACAGGCAAAGCAATCATTTTACCAGTACAGTCCAAAAGAGCTCCAATGCTTCAGTAGGACATTCATCAGTGCATATTGTAAAGGATAAAGAAGCCCCAGCAAGTGCTGCATCACTAACCAGAACCAGTTCTTGCATTCCAGCAAACAACCCCCTTGTGACACAGTTGCTGCAGGGAAAAGAGGTTCCACTGGACGAGATGCTCCCAAAACCCCTATCCAACACGGAGATTCGGGTTTCGAGCCAGGCTTCTGGAAGTAAGGGGAAAGCGACCCATTTCATTGATCATAAAGGGGATAGTCACGTGTCTCCGCAAGCCAATACTGCCGGACGAGCCGCAGAATGCACAAAACATCACCGGGAGCTTCCTGATAAGGAAACCCAAGAGCAGATCCTGCAGACGCTGATGCAGAGGAAAGCTCAGCAACAGAGCCAGCCGCCTGGAGGCGCAGGGCCGTTTCCCGCACACCACAGGGTTCCGCAAATGCTGCATGCACAGGAGTGTCGGGAGCAGTCCAGGGTGTTGGTTGGCTTTCTGGGCCGGAGGAAGATCCCCAAGCCGGCCATGACGGGGCATTACCTGCTCAACGTGTCCACATACGGCAGGGGATCAGAGAGCAGGAGACTGCAGCTTTCAGTCTGCCCCAACAAGTCTGCTTTGAAGAGGGAAGGCACAGACGGAAAGGAGACGGCTAAGATGGAGGAACCAGTGAAGAAAGATCTCACGTCCATTACTAGGGTGAAAACTGAGCAGCAGGGATGTGCAGTTACCAGGGCCGACGACCCGGCAAGTTTTCATCATTACTCTGGCGTAAAGACTGAGCCTGGATCTGAGAGCAATGGAGCCAGCGGTGCCAACAATAAGATCACCAGTGCTAAAGCCAAAGACTGCAGTCCATTTTCTCCAGCGCACCGAAGTCACCTCGAACTCCGCAATAACAATCAAGGAAACTCTGAGCCATATCTTTCCCTCATGGACCCTGGTCACCAGCAGCTGACTGCCTTTCAGAGGACGCTCAACAATCAGGAGTCGGCGGTAGCCTCCAGCTACGGCGGCACCATCAGCATGTCTGTACCTTACACTCTGAACCACAACGCCGCGAGCACCGCCTCTTCCGCGTCCTCGTCGGAGGTCGACGGCGGGGGCATCTGTGGGAGCGTCATGTCGTTCTCGGTGACCGTCACCACGATACCAGCCGGTCACGCGCTAGACCACGGCCATCAGGGCGAAACCTCGCGCGAGCAGTCCTCCTTCATCGAGGGCGGCAACATGGAGGACGTTCAGTCGAAATGCTATTGCCGACTGAAGGCGATGATCATGTGCAAAGGCTGTGGAGCCTTCTGCCACGATGACTGTATTGGCCCTTCGAAGCTGTGTGTGTCATGTTTAGTGGTACAGTGAAATGGAGTTAAAAAGAACTAAACGATGTGAGGGTTTCATTAGGCATGGGCCAGTATGTGCAACACAATATCAGGGTCACTTGGAGAATGAATTGAGAAAAAAGGGTTATTTTTTTCCCTCTGTCTGTTTTAAAAAAATACAAAAAATGTTCAAATGTCCTAAAGTAGTTAATACTTTAAAATGCTAAAATGCCATGGAATAGGTCATAATCCATTTTCAAGAACAAGTTATAACAAAAAAAGCTAAATGTCAAGAAAAAGTCAAAATACTTTTTCTAAAGATGAAATTAAAAAAAAAAATTCCAGATTTAGAGAAAAAAAATAGAAATTTTTTTTATTTCCAAATAACTTTTTCAAGAAATAACTTTGAGATCTAATATAATTAAACATTGGATTGGGACAAAGATAAATTATAATTGCAGTTTCAGCATTTTGCCATCTTTTAAGTATTATCGGTACATTTAACATTTTGAAAAATGACAGAAAGCAGACTCCAAATCTTGTGTTTCTTCCATTTGACCCTTGACATTTTCACACAGTAAACTTGAGTAAAAATATCAAGTTTTTATTGTACCACAAGCTTCAACTATTTTAAAGACAATAATCCAGCAGCTTTTATTAAAAATTGAAACAAAAAAAAATCTGCTGCTGGTAAAATAATATATCGACTTTAATACATTGTAAATAGGATGCATAGACATAGTAACTCACCTAAACTTTAACTCATTATGAATCCTGCGTTAAAAATTAATTGAAGTTATATTTAAACCGTTATAGATTTACAAATTTATTAACTTTGTCAACTTAAATTGGTGTTTTAGAGCTCCTGCATCTCACCTGGGTTATACGACCTCAATGACCCTTTAAGGGGAACACACATTGGTGCTGGCCGTTACTCTGAAGCGCGCACACACACACGCCACGGATCGCTGAACTTTAACCAATGATGATGTTTTTGAACTTTCCTCAAAAACATCAACATTTTTAAATCGAACTGTGGAGTGGCGCCCAGACGCTGCTATTATGAATATAAGTTGTTAAAACACTAAAATTCTTCTGTTTTCCTTGAACTGATATTGGCGACGAATTTTAATCAACGATTGAAATCCCTGTTTTCAAGCCAAATCTTGTTGAATCTAAAGTTTTCTGTAACGCAGGAGCTGTATGGATTAACAAGAGCGTTTTGATTTAACTGGAAGCTCCATGGATGTCTGACAAATTGATTTAAGCTGCTTAACTAAAGATATTGTCAGCCTGAGTTATATGGTGTCGCAGACATTTAACATTTTAAAATTAGCTTAATTTTGAGCTGCACTTCTGTAGTTTCCAAAATATGACTGTAAGTATTTTTGCGCGTCGTGAACTCTTTCAAAACAGCCGAATTTGTCTTTTATTTTGTGACGTGAAACTTTACAGCATCGCCGTACCATACGGTCCATTTCGCCAAACATACTTGGCTCTCACTCCAGCTATTTTTCTGGCATCTCATCGAAATGCAATTGAAACAACAAATCAAGTAGATTTTTCTTTTTATTATTATTATTATTATTATTATTTTATATTTGGTATGCCTCAATACCGGCCCATGCCTAAGCTTTACATGCCGTCCAGGCACAAATATGGCATTAGGTTATGTAGAGTGAATAGAAAATGCGGCGCAGTATCTTAACTGTTCTACACCTGCGACAGCCAGGATCTGATCACTGTTGGAAAAAGCAAGAATTTACACTGGACGGTCTTGTTTTTTCATCCACACCTCTGTTTTCACAGATGCCAATCAATTTTCAATCAGTTTAATACTCAGTCAGATGTGTGAGAAATCGCACAGTCAACGTTTGCACTCCGCTAGATTAGTCTATATTTTTATATAAAACATATATACATGTGTGTGTATTGTTTTTAAAGGAGGGAAAATGAATGTTGCTATTTTTAGGACTTCATGACTGTTCTGTGTTGAGGCTGAACTTTTTATCATAGGGTTAATTGGGGTTACTATCGAGAAAAGGCACTAGAGAAAATCATGGGTTGTACAAAACTTCCTGCCTGGATTTTTATGCATGTGTGGCAGGGAAGTAACAATTTTATATATAAATACATATATTAAAAAAAGAAAGGTACATTAATACAGAGCACACTGATATTTAAAAACTTTCATGGATTTATAGGTTTATTGAGGAATTATGCATAAAATGTTTTTAAAATCTGCCCATGTGGATTGCACATAAAAATCATGGCGTCAAATTATCTGCAAAGGATCATGTTGTAAAGATGGAATTCAGCGTAGCACTTCAATTGAAATCTTTTTATATTTTTAATAGAAAGTGGTTAATCTTTGTTGTTGTTTTTTTCATATCAAGTAAAAGTTTGACGTAATCTACTACTGTTTTAAAGCCACATTTTCCCTCCCTAAAACTGTTTTGTCGCTAAAGCGTCCCATAAATTGGAGTAGTTTTATTTTCTGTACAGATTGATAACAGTTGAAATGAAAACACTCAAAGTAAAGGGAGAGAATGAAGACCTTTTCTTTTCACTGTAAATACTAGATGTAGGTAGTCGATATTTTCTTTGTGCAGCACACTTATCCATTTTTGTTACTACAAAAAGATATTTTACAATCGAAAGAAAAATATTACACGGTCAAATAATTGTAGGTTTTCTAAAAATGATCTGTTGGTACAAAAAGTGTCAAATTTATAGATGAGTGTAAACGTTTATCTCTGACCTTCCCAGAAAACGAGAATCTTCCATTTTAAGGTGATATGAGGTATCGTAAGCCTAATTATTCACAATAACCATTGTGACATAAAGTACATTGTGATATTAACACAATCTAAGTGCTTACTTAGCCCCACCTTACTTTTCAAAAGGGTCAGTGGAAAGCTGTTTACTCAACCAAAAAAATAATGAAATAAAATATTTTATAGTATCCAGCACGGGTGAAAATGTTCCTGTTTTTTAGCCGTTGTTTTCAAGGTAAAATGCCAAAGCCACCTTAAAAAAACAAAATAAATAATCAGAAGTTGTTTATAATCTCAGAATTGTTAATCAAAGTAATATATTTTAATTAATATATTTTAATATAAAAGATCTATTTACTATTTTTTGGGACAAATCAACAGGGTATTTGCTATAGTAATATATTGGCTGTCCGTTTTGTTTTAATTTTTTTCCTATAACTTGTAGACAGGACAGACCACCATAGGGAATGATTGAACTTTGTATCTGAAATGGCCCATATATGTCTGTGTGAACCAGTCTTTGCAGTCAGTCCATTTTCCTAAACGCTCTTTGAAGATTTTGTCTGTGTGCATCCTGTGTCTACAATAATTCTTTTTTTTTTTTTTACAAACTATGGCTCAGTCTAAATTTTAAGTTGATCCATTTTTACCTGTATTTTTTTTTTCTTTTTATAGCTGGATGGTCATGTCTGTTAAATTTGGGTTTCAGAGTAGTATTAGGGGAAAAAAAAACTTTTATGCAGTTAGTCATTTCAATGTGAATAGCACGTCTTACATAGAGGAGTAGAATCAGAGACGGCTGTATTTACAGTTAAATTTGGGGACTGGAACGCACTTCAAGAAAGGCAGCTTGACGAAGACTGTAACGTGCATCAGGCGGCAGTCTTCATTTTTACTGAAGCTACCTGTTTGTGTAAATTTAGATGAGTGGTTAATCGAGAACTAGCCGGGTTGAGGTTACTATGAGCAATCACCATGTTTTTTTTTTTTTTTTCTTTTTCAACTGTCTGTCACCTTTGTCACTAGTTTCATTTGTTACACTCGTCTGTTTCACTCTGTGTCCAGTAAAACTCCAGTGAATGTAACATGGTAATCTGCACTTGTAAACAAAATGTATTTTAAAGTTATAATCTATTCTAAATAAAATAATTTTAAAATATGTCTTGTGGATTTTTAAAACCAAAAATAGCTGAAAATTATTCTCTGGAGGCATGAGGGGTAACAGCTGAACGCTAGATTTTCTTCTTAAAATCCTTCAACATGGATTCATGTTAATTATTGGTCTTTCTAAAAGTGATAAACATTTTAGTTCCACAGGGCGCAGTTTTTGGTCCCCTTCTCTTTGCCCTGTGTTTTCTCCCACTTTGCGTTGTTTCTCACATTATGCAGATAATTTTTATTCTGATTTATTCTTACTGTCTTGAAGACATGAAGGGCCTGAACGGCTTTCAGTTTCATCACGAAAAACTTCCTCATACATTGGTATTAAAGTAGATCCTAAATGTTTACGTTGAGGTCAGAGTAGACATTGGATCAGGCTGCTGGCCAAAAAGTTCCTTTTATGAAATCTTTTGAGACATTAGTCAACACCTTTTCAACCACTTAGTGGGATTATAGTAATACCCTTAACGTGCAGATTTATGGTTATAGCATAGAATATTTCAACTCTCACTGATCCAACATGAACACATATCCCAATGTTTGCTTCACTTTAAGATATCTCAGGATCATTTTTGAACATTTTTGCTTGCTTTTAAAAACCCTATTTGATAAAGTCTTGCCCTACCTCCCTGTGCTTCTGTGCGTTTTTTACACCCATCCATTGACTTCTTGTTTAGCCTGCTTCATGTTTCATGTCAAGTTCTATTGAAGGGATTTCTTAATTAAACAAGAGCTGACATTTAGCAGGCCACGGTAGTCAAACTGAGCTCATCAAGAGCCAGGTTGCTTTGGATAATTATTTCCTTTCAATACACTACATAATTTGAAAAATGATTTTTCTATTTACTCAAATAGTTTTAAGGACATCTGTAAGTGGGAAAATACTTTTTAATTATTATTATTTCACCATAGTTGTACACCTACAAACAGGTGCGTGTCATTTATTTGTTTATGTGATCTTCAGTTGTTATTTCCTAAAGAAAAATAATTACACAATAATCAAATAATTTACCCAAAAAATAAATTATTATTATTAATAATAATAATAATAATAATAATAATAATAATAATAATAATAATAATAATAATAATAATAATAAATCGATTATTTACACAAATGGCTTACCATACACTAGTGTGCGCGCATGCGTAAAACAGTCGGCGTTCGCGCATGGCATCTGCGCGCCTGCCTGCGCTCTGCCGTCCCCTGCCGCTGGGTCGCTGCTGATGCCGAGCGGCGGAACGGCTCGGCTCGCGCGTCTCTACGTACGGCCGCATCCGCAGTCGCCGAGCTTCAACGGCAGAAGAAACCGGAGGGCAGCCCGAAGAAATGCGATGACGGCAGGTCCGAGCCGTTCCTCACCCTCCCGGCAGCTGTAACGTCGGCGGAGAACGCTCGTTTTGTCCGTCGGACGGACGGACGGGAGAATGCGGCGGTGAGTCACGGAGGAAATACCCGCGGACCCGCTCCGCTCAGCCTCTCCATCTGACTCCGACGGTGACGATGCTCTAAACGCAACCTGCCTGCGGTTCACCCCGGTAAAGGCCGTCTGTCTTTAAATACTGTCGAGGTTTGACAAGATGCAAGATTTGCATTATTTAGTAATCAAGAAAAAAAGAAAAAAAAAAAAGAAATAGGAGGAGGAGGGAAGAAAATCAAATCATCACGACACACAATTCTCATCGCGAAAATAAGATAACCTAAATAACGAGTAAAATGGCTGCGTTTCTTTTTTTGTTGTTGTTCCTCCCGGAGGGATCTGCGCGGAAAGAACGGGAGAAATGAATGATATCAGCGGCGAGGAGGGACTGCGGTAGTCCTTCTGCTCGGATGTTGTCATGACCGCCGATCCGAAGGTGCGGCTGCGCTGACAGACCCGATGTCAGCCCGGTCCCACTTATTTAAAGAGCTGTCTGTCATCTGCTCCTGCTTCTGCCGCTCTGCTTGTGTGCAACCGACTGGATGCAGTTGGCTTCAGATGCCACGCGTTGATTTCTAGTCATCCCACCAGAAGGGATCTCGATGTGCCAACCTCTATAATGTATTCCTGAGAGGAAGAAAAAAAACCCCCACAACAACCAACATGTTCCTGAGCAAAGGATACTGTATTCTGTATGCACCAGTAGAAAACCTCAGTTGTCTGAACACCAGTCCAAAATGAGTTTCTGGATCAGATGACGTGTTTTGTGTTGTTGTGCCTTAATTGGGCTTTGACTAGGAACCAGATGCTTTTTCACAGGGCTTCAGGGTTGTGTCTGATTGAAGGTTTTTCAAATTATGTCCTTACTGGGTTTCTCCGGTCAGACTGTTCACAATTTATGTTTGTTTTTGGAATAAAGGAACAAGATAAGTATAAGAATATATGTTGAGATTGTAACTATATATCAGGTGCTGTATCAAGGACTTCTGAGCAGAAAACAACAGTTCTTTTACAAAATGTATGGAAATAAATATGTGCCATCAGTATTTGAATTAAAAAATGCCTTAAATTTGAAAGCTGTATACTTACTTTTTTAGTGTATAAAATATATTTGGACACTAAAGAAAGAGAGTACAAATTGTGCAAAATATGAACAAAATGTGTCAAATACATTTTAACACTGAAGAAACTAAGTACAAATTTACAACATTCAAATTTCAGAGGTATTTTTGATTCAGCTCTTGATGGCAAATATTTACTTCCATTTGAAGGAGTCATACACCTTAATTTTGTTGAAGGATTTTTTTGTCACATATTAGTTAAGTAGTTAATTTTATTTTTCAGTTCTGGACTTTGACTGGGCCGCTCTAATCCACAAATATGCTTTTTCATTGTAGCACCGGCTTTAAGCTTCGGGTCATTGTCCTGTTAGAAGGTGAGGAGTCTTCTGCAGCCGCTAACAGTGTTCAGCTCTATCCATCTTCCCATCAACTCCTTCTTTCAATGCTGGCTTTCTTCTTGCCCACTCTTTCACAAAGACCAAACTTGTACTGAGGTCTAATCCACGACTTCAGTGCATGTTACAGAAAAGACAGAAAAAACACATATTCCAAGCACTGTTACGGGAAAAATTACTCAGATGGGTTTAACAATATTGTGTGCATGATATGAGAACTTAGAAAATCAGACATTCATGAACATTTGAGAGTAAAAGCTCTGTCAAAACAGAGTTGACGCTTTGTTCTTAATGCCAAGGACAGAGAATCACAAAGATACATCTGCAGAGAACAAACTTCTCCGGCACAACAAACCTGTGCAGCTCAGACGGCAAAAACCTAACATGACATTACCATCAGCGCAATAAAGTCATGTAATACAATTTCAACTCCAGAGTTACGATGAGCCTCTTGTTCCTTATCCAGACTGTCAAATTAGACCACTGCTGTTATGCTAAGATGAAACAAACAGGTGGACTCTATTTGCTTTGAGGGTGAGTTGCTTGCTCTGGATTTTATCGAGGGGTGTTGGAGTAAATACAAATGCACACCAGATTCTTTTTAGACTTTTTTTTTTCAAAAGTTTCGACGACCATGTCATCGTCGTATCGACTTCCTTCCACCTTCCACCTCTGCACCACTTTGTGTCTGTCCATCAGACAAAAACAAGAGTATTCTGAATCTTGTGTTTGCATTTTGTCCAACACAACTTTCAGCTTCCTACTTCTGACACAGAACGAAGCGTGGAGGTTTTCGCTCAAAACTCATTGCGCTTTGTCGAACCTCGGCACGCTCACCTGACCCGTGAAGCGCGCACATGACCCCCGCCCGGGGACGCACGGCTCTCGTGGTCCTGGCGTCCTCCCTCCGGGGACACCCGGCGCTGGTCGCTAATTGGCCGGCCTTAATGCGCTCTTTGTCCGTCATCGTTAAACAGTTCCCGTGCAGCTCTGTTGGTGTCATTAGCCCACAGGATGCCGGCGTTGCTGAGCAGGATGTCATGGAGAATTATCATTTGTGCGGACCACAGGCGCTGAACGGGTCCCGCAACAAGCGCACCCATGTCTCTCTACATGAGCGGAGAGGGGGCAACGACAGCCCAGATTGAGAGTTAATGAAGCCTTTGAAGGGAAGAAGAAAGGGAGGCTTTAATTACTTTTTTTTTTAACACACTAATACATTTTTGGCGAGATTAAGAAGTTGAAAATCTCCTATATGAAACTTCCACTAATGTTTCTATGTCCTCTCCTTATAGGTTTGACCTTCAAGGCATCACTTTGTGCGAGATCTAATCGTCAGCAGGTAAGCACTTTAGAACCGTCTGGTTCAGGAGTAAAAACAAGAGAAATGAAAATAATTGCAGCTATCCGGGGGATTGCGAAATTTTATGGTAAACTTTAAATGATCTCTCCATTACACTTAGTGTGGAGTTCAGACAAATAGACATAAAAATATGTTATTGAAGAAACCATAGCACCTTAATAACATCTTTCTACATTTTGTGTTTAAACGCAATAAAAACACGTTGTTGGCCTTTTCCCCAGAGCTCAACATTTAGCAAATTTTTCTGTTTTTTCTACAATTATTGAGTGTGTGAAGTTGTTTCCAGAGCCCAGATATATTTTGAAAACTAAAACAAGTTCATCTGCTATTTCTTTCACTGTCTCCAAACTCCGCTTGATGTCCACAAGATGGAACACAAGAAAGGAAAAAAAAATGTTTTCTATTTTTATTTGATTAACCAGTTTCATTGTTAAACTCTCCTAAAAAACAATCACCTTAAAATTGTCTGAATATTGTTAAAAATGTATCTACCTAATTGTCAGCAGTGGATGGACACAATATCATTTACTGGTGAACTATTAATTTATTCTCCAGTGGAAGTTTAAACTCCCCCGCAGGAAGAATAATATCCACGAAGGAGAAACACTGTCGCCTACTTTCGGCCAGATTGACGAGGCCAACTGTTCTCTGATCGCGTGGATTGAAACCAACAAATCCTTTTGAGTTTTGACACAAATCAGTGCAAATACTTTTACATCTAGAAACCCATCCGGCACTAACTTGTGTTGTAAAAAAGTCCTTTCAGGTTGGGGTGAAAAACCTCACAGTTCAGTGGGTGTGAACACGTTTTCCAAGGCATTGTTTCTGTTGCCTTCGAGTCGTAATTTACCAGAGAACTTTATCCATTTAAAAGCCTCCGCTGTGCATGAATGTGGCGCTGCTGACTGAACAGGAAGTGCTGCGTGCTCTTGTGTTTGATGTGCCACAGAATGATCGAGGAAGGCAGCAAACGAGGCAAGGCCATGGTCGAGAAGAGGCAGCTCTTCATGGAAATGAGTGAGTGCAGTCAACTCAGAGAAGTCTCTTTTCTCTATTCATTGTCACTGTTTGACCAGCTTGCTCTCTTACATGCAGTAATCGTGTTGAAATGTGCCTGCATTTAGCCTGTTTGTGATTGGAAAGGTGTTTGGGACTAAGATGGTTAATTCATATATTTTTCCATTATTGTTTTGTTTTTCAGGAGCACAAAACTTTGACGTTATCAGATTGTCAACCTATCGGACTGCCTGCAAACTCCGGTTTGTGCAAAAGCGATGCAACCGTAAGAGAATGCAGATTGTTGATTTTTTATTTTTTCTTGTCTTTTCTTTCTGTCAAATTTTGGCTCTGAAGAGACTTGCGTGGTGATTACAGACATGAGTACGCACTCAGCTGATCAGAGCGTGCGTCCCCGCGCTCTCCCCCCGCTTCTTTTCACAGTCCATCTGGTGGACGTCTGGAACATGATCGAGGCTTTCCGAGACAACGGCCTCAACACGCTGGACCACAACGCCGAGATCAGCGTGTCGCGGCTGGAGACGATTCTGTCTTCCATCTACTACCAGCTCAACAAGCGGCTGCCCACCACCCACCAGATCAACGTGGAGCAGTCCATTGGCCTGCTGCTGAACTTCATGGTGGCCACCTATGACAGGTTGGAAACATGCGGTCAGCACGGGGGACTGACACCACAGTATTGTAGCAGCGAATGAGCAGAGAACATACATTTTAGTAATGTCACAATGCAATGTCAGTTATTTGGCATCGCTTGTAAAGATTAGTAGACGCCCTTAAAATGAATTTCTTGTATATAAATATATTTGACTAGAGCTGCAAAACCAACTTAACCCTTGGAAAAAAGAAATGAAAAATCCTTTTTATTTAGCTGTTAAAAGCACAACAACCTTTAAAGATTGCAATCGTGCCCTTATTTCAGAAACTTCCATGAACCCCTAAGTAAAATAAAATATTTAAAGATGTTTCAGTCAGCTGAATTAACCCGCAGTCATATTTACCTACATTTCACGTTATCAGTGTGTTTGAAGGCACAGCAAATGCATTTATCATTGGTGATAACGTTCTCTATCACAAGATAAACATGTGTTCCTGATTGGATGCCTGCCCTGTCCATTCCTGGACCCATTTAGTTGGTTTACTTATATCTGTGAAGCCATTCTAGTCCTGCTCCATTATTAATTACGCTGCTGCGTGTCTGGGAAACTTTGAGTTAATGGCTGCGATTACAGGAAGCAGCTTTGTTATCTGTCCCTTATGTCCAATCTGAGTTCGGCAGGAGCACTATCGCGCTCTGTGGTACCTCAGGGCCGAAGAGAAAACAAATAAGCTGAAGTAAAACAGCTGAGCATTAAGAATGATGGCAACTTAATTACACAATCCTTTCATACCCCCAAACTAATCCAAGCTAAGTTTTGTGTCTCATTTAGATGCTTTAGATCGTCAAACAGACTTTAATAGCAGACGTAATTGAACCCAAAAGGAAGTTAACAGTAACTATCTCATTTATTAAGGCTTTATGGGAAGAAATAATTGCCTACCTTTGACCTTCTGAAGTCCTGAATTGATTGTGATTCACTTTTACCAGACACACGCAGCCCTGATCACTGCCACACTTGTAGAGTCAGGAAGCGAAGACGGCTTAAACATCTCGAAAAGCCAAACTTTCCTCGTTCAAGAACAGATAAAAGCATAAAAGTTATTGACTTCTTTTAGTCTGGAATGGATTACAAAACCATTTCTGAGGCCTTGAGACTCGAGTGAGTCAACGTGTGAGTCATAGTTCACAAATGAAAAAAGCATGGAAGAGTGGCGAACCTTCCCAGCATTGATCGCAGCTCAAATAGTACATCCAGGACAAAAGAGTGACCACAAAAAACAAGACAAAAGAAAAGGAAAACAATCTGATGTAGTGCAGGGCTCACTTGCTTCATTTATGGTAATTGTTTATGATTCAACAGTTTAAAAGAGACTCGGAGAGTGATGTGGACAAAATGTAAAACCTTAAAAGGCTCTCTCTCATTCATCTGAGAATATCTCGATGATCCTCACGACCTTTTCGACAATATTCTGTAGACTGACATGACACAAGTGAAACCTTTTGGAAGGTGTGCGAACATCACATCTGCTTTACGATGTACAGAAAGAGAAGTCAAACACGGTGGTGGTAGAGTGATGGTCTGGGGCTGCTTTGACCAAATCACTAATTCTGCTCACATTCTTGAAGGAGAATGTGCGACAAGCTGGTGTTGACATTAATAAACTCAAGCACTTTTGGCACGTTTGGTTTATGCAGCAGGACGATGATCCTCCGCACGACGTCTTGGAAGTTTTCAGCGGGGCCTAGTCAAAGCCTAAACTTAAATCCAACAGAGAGGCATCATGGATCAGTAATTATGAGCATTTGGTGCTTTCTCCTGTAATGAAACTCTCATTTTATGTTATCTTTATTTTAGTTTGATGATCTTAGACATTAAATTTGACACTAAAGCATAAACAGAAAAAAATCTTTTGGGAAGAAAATACTTTTTCACAACACTGTATACCTATTTTAGGCTTTACTTCATATTTTTAAATACATTCAAAAGATTAATATAACTGCTATTTATTTGTTTTTCTTCTTCCCCTTCAATTTTTGGTTACTTGTACCACAAGCCTTGATGTCGATGTCGCTATTTCTAATTATTAGTTTGATTTGTTACTCTGATAATGTGCTAAAACATATTTTTTGCTTAAACAAAGAAGTTGTAGCGACCAACCATCAACAGTTTTTAATCACACTGATGTTTTTGCTGACAATATATTTCTTCTTTTTTGTTTTTTCCTCCCTAACATGCAGTGAAAGTCATGGGAAGCTGACCGTTTTCTCAATGAAAGCCATGCTGGCGACGATGTGCGGAGGGAAGATTGTGGACAAGCTGCGCTGTGGGTACAATTTTCACTGACTTAACCGTTTAATGTCTGAGGATTTAGAAATTATTGCAATTGAAGCTTTAGACATCTTCCTTTCCAACTGTTCCTCATGCAGTTTCTTAATTTAAACACAGAGGGGCGCTGTTGCAGCACATACCCTTTATATGCTACTTGAATGAATCATGCATGTATTCAGGTTCTGGTGAAACTATGAAAAAGAGATCATGGAGCATATAAATAAAAAATTCTCCCCTTTCTTTTCTAACAATAAAGTCAAACAATCGCATGTCCCTCAGACGTGTTTTCACAGATCTCAGACTCGAGCGGACTCATGGTGTTCGCAAAGTTCGATCAGTTCCTCAGGGAGGTGCTGAAGCTCCCCACAGCGGTGTTCGAGGGCCCGTCGTTCGGCTACACGGAGCATTCGGTGCGGATGTGCTTCCCTCAACAGGTAGGGAGAGGATAACCAAAAGCTTTATTTATTTATTCATTTATCTCCATTTCTTTATGATTGGGGAGGGGAATTGTTTCATTGACGTGCGCCTGCTTCTCTCTAGAAGAAGATTATGTTGAACACGTTTCTGGACGTGTTGATGGCAGATCCTCCTCCTCAGTGTCTTGTATGGTTGCCACTCATGCACCGACTCGCTAATGTTGAAAACGGTAAGTCGCTACGGTTACGGCGAACGCTGACAGACACAGAAAGTTGCACACCTGCTTGCATGTGGAAAAAGAAGCAAACAATATGAGAACTATAAAGCATAACAATTATGTACATGCAGAAACAAATTTCTCAGGGGAATGAAAGGCCGCAGTGTGTTTTAGACTTTAAAGAAAATAAAAACATCCCCACAACTTGCTGGCAAACATTTTTCCCTTGTAAGTGGAACTAGTAGTTTTTAAATCAATATTAAGGAGTTATGGATTTAAAACAAGGATATATCTTACTGAAAAGTTACTTGTTATTTCAAGTGGACTAAAAACCAGACCAGAAGTGCTTGGTAAGATTTTTGCAGCATAAAATAGTTTCCCCAAAGTTTGCCCATCGACTTTAAGCATTACAAAGTAGAAGTTACTGCTTTGTTGCCAACCTGTTTTGCTTTCCAGTTTCTTGTTTGTTCAAAGTAACACATTAAATGAAAGCACACAATATTTCTATTACTTGTCAAATATTCTGAGGTATTTCAAGAGGAATGGCTGGAAAGGTGGACGGATTCTCACGCACCAATGCACAGAAATAAATGTAAATAAATGTAAAAAAAGATGTAATGACCGAATTTGTTTTTGTGTTTCTCTGAGCAGTCTTCCATCCGGTGGAATGTTCTTATTGCCGGAGCGAGAGCATGATGGGCTTTCGGTACCGGTGCCAGCAGTGCCACGGCTACCAGCTTTGTCAGAGCTGCTTCTGGCGGGGCCACGCCAACGGCCCCCACAGCAACCAGCACCAAATGAAGGAGCACTCGTCCTGGGTAAGGAAACGATCTGCGATCCCTCCTGGGTTTGCGTTGTAATTCTGCCGTCTCTGCGCAAATTAAAAGTCAGAACCTCTCGAAGACGGAGGAGTGATTTTATGACAGAACAGCTGTCAGCATGCGGTTAATGATCTTTCAAAACAATCTACGGGCAGGGCGGCGGAGGCGAGGGGTTTATGAGGTTTAGTTATTTTGGAAAATGAAACTGTATTGATTGCGTTACCGCTTTCCCTTGAAGCTCAATCATGATGTCATAAACTGAAAGCAGGAAAGGGAAATTACCCTGGATCCCAAATCCATTTCCCATTCTGCAGGAAAGAATAAAAGCTCATGTAGCTTCGGGACTGGAACACCATGATTGAAAGCATTAGACACAAAACACAAGTCTGATATGCCAAAACTGGGGTTTTTTTTTGCCACTTATTATAGGATACGTAGATGCATCTGTGCTGGATGTGGTCCTGAAAAGTGAAAAAGTCTCAATTTAAATGAGTCTGAAGCATCTAAGTTGCATTTAGGTACTGCCTCTCCTACACTGGCAGGTTTCCTATTGTAGAATGCCTCTTTTTCTATAGAAATAAATATTTATGGCAAAATCCAATTATGTTTTTATCCCTAAAAGCCTCAAGGTGCTCCGTGTACACAATACAGTTTATATTTTTATCATTGCGTCAAACCAATTTATTGTAAAATTGACTTTAAAGGCATTTCTATTCAGACTGTACAGGTCACTTCAAGAAAGTTTAGTATTTTGGTTAAATAACTTATTAGACGGAAATAAAATAAAGGAAAACCCGATTTCAATGGAGGAGTTTTTATGTCTCCAGATTTGATGGATATTGGTAAAAAGTTTAAATGAATCGTAACCGCAGGTGTGAAACAACACACACTGCAGATTCTACCAGCTTCTGGAAATGGAAAGATTAAAAGTTCTATTAAAAAAAAAAAAAAACTGAGTGCGATAAAATAAATGAAGATATGTGCAACATGCATCAAAAAGACAAGAAAGACGTGTACTTCCTGTAGTGTGTGTTAAAAGGAATGATAAGGTTTGAGGGATTAAGTTCTTTTGTAAACATATGTGGATGCATAAAGTGTCTCTGTGTTCATGGTTGCAGATTTAACAGCAGGAGATACAAAAATGTACATTTGGTGACGAGCAGCTCACTAGATTAGCTTCCAGAGTTCCTCATCAATACTGCAAAAACACAACATTTTACCAAGTAATTTTGATCTGGTTTCTAGTTCAAACATCTTAAAATAAAATAAAATAACAAAAACTAACAAGTAACTTCAGCAAGATGTAGGAGGAGCTTGTTTTCAGTCAGTAATTCCTCAATTGTTTGTGAAAAAGTACATGTTCCACTGGCAGATTATTTCACTTAGGACAAAGGAAAAACATGTTTTTATAAGTGAATTAATTTGCCTGTACTTTTCCATCAATATTAAGAAGTTATTGACTAAAAACAAGCTCCTATAGCTTGCTGAAAAGTTACTTGTAAATAAGATTTAATCTAGAAACCAGATTAAAATTACTTGGTACGATTTTTATGTTTGAGCATTTTTAGAGAGTGCACATACCTCTCAGACGTAAATGATTTGTGAAACAGCTTAAGTTTGAGCGTACAACATCATAATCAACCGATCAGGCGAGAGGTGACACTGTTTTTCCTGCCCGCTATCACAGAAGTCTCCGGCCAAAAAGCTGAGCCATGCGATCAGCAAATCTCTGGGCTGCGTCCCCATCGGAGAGCCGCCGCACCCCGTGTTCCCCGAGCAGGCCGAGAGACCTCAGGAGCTCACCCATACTGTGTAAGTGCTTCTCCCAACATGTCGATGAACAGCACAGTAGGAATCAATGTTCTTATGACACGGAATCCATTTCCATCATGTAACATTTTCCATCGTTTCGCTACGCGATCATCACACGACTTATGGCATCTCGACTCACTAAGACATCCAGTCCGGGTTTTTCTTTTTTTTATAACGGGAACATGTGTGATGCTGCGCAGGATGCTAACAACTCAGTCACCTTCATCAATCTGTTGGCAATGAGACCAGGACGGTGCCGTCCGTCTCACATTCCAGCGTCCTGGAAGTCGTTACAGGAAGTGCATTACATTCTGCTGCCGTCTTAAACTCTGCACACTCGTCTGCATCGCGGCTGAAAAACCAGAGAGTTTCCGTAGTCAGTCGCACTGCTGCTGGGAGTCAGCGCACATCGCTGAGTTCCCCTTCATGTTTTATTTCTGTGTTGTTTCTCTGCGACTCTTTTGCTTCCCATATAGAAAAGTTAAAGCAACTAATGAATTGTAAACAATTAATCTATTGATTATTCTGACAGTTAATCCATTAATCTGACTTAAAAAGTACCTTTAAAATTCTGTGGACTTTTCATTTAGGATTTTATATCTATCTATCTATCTATCTATCTATCTATCTAGATAGATAGATAGATAGATAGATAGATAGATAGATAGATAGATAGATAGATAGATAGATAGATAGATAGATAGATAGATAGATAGATAGATAGATAGATAGATAGATAGATAGATAGATAGATAGATAGATAGATAGATAGATAGATAGATAGATATATAGATATATATATGCACATTTTTGGGTTAACTACTGTATGTTGTTCTTTCTCCAGTTAACAATTAGTCGGTTACTAAATTAGTTGATTCATTCATTTTAATAATCGATTCATCACGATTAATCCAATTAATCATTTCAGCCCTAAATTTAAGATTACAACTTTAAAGACGTGACAAATGGGTTTCCGAACACCAGGCACAAACCGGAAATAGCTCAACTTTCCGACCTGACTTTTCAACATTTCCGATCGCTTTTTGCCGTAACAGGAACCTCCTTCACACGCGGTGCACGGCTATCAATCTAAGCTGTCTTTTTATGCCTCTGCTCCAAGCAAATGTCAGTGAGTAATTGATTGAGAGTTGCATTTTAGGAGAGCGTAGCTCAGTAAATGCAAGGGAGACAGACAGACAGAATGATACATTCCTTTCTGTTTTCCCGTTCTCTGGCGTGATGGATACTATCAGCTCCAAATGAGTTCTCACTCCCAGGCTCCTCCCACTGGCAGGAAGTTTTCTCATTTTTTTTTCTGCACTGTTGAAATGTATGCATTCAAGATGGATATGACATTTGCATACATTTACAATTCATCATGTCGACCTGAGGGTTTTTTGTACATAGAGACGAGGCGATTGGATTAGGTTGTTCCATGTAGGCTGTGCAGCATGAAATTACATCACACAAGAAGATTAATAACGATAAAAAGAAATACGATTTGCGGCCGAGACAATGTCGGATTAAATCTTCCCAGTGCCCTCAGCACACATTTATCTATTCTGTTCCCGGTTATTGAGCTTTTCTCTTTTTTTTTTATGATGTTTGTTTTTTACAGGATTCGCCCTAAAAGAGTAAATCCTGCCACAGAGTCCTAAATGCCCCTCAGCATATGTTTTTCTTTATCTAAATTGTTGTTTTTCTTGATGAATTACATAGTCACACTGATACCTGAATAAGATATTTGAAGCTTCGTATATCAACCTGATAATTAGGAAGCAACTTTAACTACACACACCCTGCAATTTGCAATTTGAACTTTTTAATTCAGTTCAAATAGCAAAATCTGCTGTTTTGTTTTTCTCCGAAGGACACTTCAGTTGTAGATGACATTTTATCTTTATATATGTGGAGCGAGTGGGTATTTACTGACTTTTAGAAAAAAAGGATGTGACAGTTGCCCGTTGTTACTCGTGTCTCGATCCTTTTGCCTCTGTGCCTCGATCTGGAGCGGGTGGGGGGGAACCTCTGCTTTTCTTTTGATTATAAATAAGATATTGTTGACTGCAAGAAAATGTATATTTGCATATGTACCCGAGGATGAATGAGTCAGTCATGCAGCCAAAGAAAATATGTTTAGTCTCTTTTTTTAACATTTTATCCTATTTTACAAGCGAGCATAATTTCACGAGTCCTCATATGTGAAACGCTGTCACATCCTTTTAACCTCCTCCTTGAAAATGTTTTCTTTGTATCTATCACAAGATCCTATAGAAAATATATCAGTAATTAAGTAGTAACCAACCTGATATAAAGCTGATGACAAAATCAGCAACAAATATGCTGAAATATTTGGAAGTGCTCCAGTCAATGCATGTGTGTTTTGTTTAACTTTCAACTTCTTGTTTGATATTCTTAAAAGAAACATTGACAGTCTTTGCAGAGCATAGAGAAGGTCATTTGGGGTGAATCACAAACACAATGTGTTTCCCATTGTGTTTGGTATGGGTGACATTATGCATTAAACTCACATTGTGAGATTGTGTGGAGCAGCGTAGTCACTGCAGTGGTTGCTAATCTGCCACGTGTGGCTCAGCTACGCCTGCTTCGTGTTGCTGATCTGAGAATTACAAAGGAGCAGCTACGCTGCAAATTAATCGTGCGCTCACCAGGAGGCCATCAAGGTAATTTAATATTACTTTCTCGGTGGAAAAAGTGACATTACACTGCTCTGCCTGCAACCAAAAAGTACTTAACCAAGCAGCTGAGACAAAAACATCACGAGCCACATGCTAATAAATACAGCACCACGATCGAGGGGGAACGTTTAGTTATTGGCAGCTGATTCCTCCACCCAGAAAGACATAACAGTCAAACAGGAGCAGATGTAGCACCTCTGGAAAAAAAACCTGAAGAAAAAACATAAAGATAACGTCTTAAACAACAGCAGCGAGATGTAGAAGAAGAAAGTAGTAGAGTGAGGAAAAAGTGGTCAGTTTGTCCTCCAGTAGCAAAGTTTTGGATCATCTGAAGGCTTTTATCTACATTTTGTGGACGTCTTGATAATCATTCAGTCTTGAAGTAACAAACTACGGACTGGTGTTTCCCCTGTTGTATCCTGGAGGAGAAGATAGAGAGCTGACACATTTTAAAGTATTAGTGGGTGAATGGATAAGTAATCTCCATATCATTCATGACTCCTGAATCCTTTTCCTCCTACCTCGTTTGCTGAATCGTACTGATCCCAATAAGAGTAACAGTAGCAGCAACTACCGCCCGTCTTTGCCAAGTTGGATAAACATTGTCTTCGCTGAGCTGTCATTTCATATTATAAGTCCCCAACATATCTCAGGTGTGTGTGTGTGAGTCTCATCTTCACAGATGAGACTCAACTCATCTGTGAAGATTAATATTAGCTAGAGGCCAGTTGTGGCACTTTAAGCAATCTCCAAATTGATATCTGATTGAAACCGTTAAAGGAAAACTTATATATGTACAAGTTTGTGTGTGTGTGTGTGTGTGTGTGTGTGTGTGTATGTGTGTGTGTGTGTGTGTGTGTGTGTGTGTGTGTGTGTGTGTGTGTGTGTGTGTGTGTGTGTGTGTGTGTGTGTGTGTGTGTGTGTGTGTGTGTGTGTGTGTGTGTGTGTGTGTGTGTGTGTAGCGCTGAGAAAGCCTGTGTCAGAACGCATGGCAGAATCAGGCTATAGCGTCAGGTTTGATCAGCCCACCCAAATCGAACGGACAGATGCTCCCCTGCTGTCCAAACCCTCACAACGCCCTCTGACAAAGTGCTGCTGTTCTCGTACTATTTTGAAATATTTACCGGCGTGTGGAGCGACGCCTGACCGAGAACTGGGCTGTGAATTTTTCCTCCTGTCTCAAAGTGTCGGGTAGATTCTTGGGGATTTGTTGTTTAGAAGAGGTTGCATCGGTTTGGGAACCACCGTTTGTCTGAAAAACTTCCTCTCACAGATAGAGCCAGCTCCGCTTCTGTCAAAGTGACTTACGCAGGCGTTGTCTGTACTTTGCATTCAGATTTAATACATGCCGTAGTGTCAAATCGTGTGGCACCTTCCATATTCAGAAAGTACATTTCTCTCCGCTATAAATTCTTTACAAATTCATACAATTTTTAAAGCGTATGTCCCTGCTTTACAATTTGAAGTTATCTCCTGGGCAATGCAAAAATACGTCGGCGTCATTAAAACCAAGATATGAGGCGTGTAATTGGTCATCCTGAGATTTTCAGGATTAAGTTTTCATAATGGTGGTCTTGAAATTTTGGAGGCTGACGCTAAGGCCAAGTCATTTCAAGATTTCTAGTGTCTTGAAACAGTTTGAATCACAAATTCATCAACCAATGAAATTTCATCATATTTGCATTGAACAATCATTTACAAAGACTCAAATTACTGATTAGAACTGGAATGGAGATAATCAGTAACAATAAATCAATAACAATATATATTGATATAGACACATATGGTAATATCGATAGATAGATTTTCAATCATTTTACTGAACTCAGATTCAGAACCGCACAGCATTCTGGGAGATGTAGGCAGAGGAAGAGCTTTAGCTACACAACCTCTCATGGCTAGCTCAGCTAGCTGTGCGGCATCAGCTGACTCGCTCTTTGGTTACCTAGAAACAACCTGCGTAAGGTTTCGCCACAGTGCCTCACAACTACTTACGACTAAAAACCACCGACCTGAAGCGAAAACTGTGAATGAACCAAGAAACGTCACTTCACTAGTTTGGAAGTATTTCAAATATTGAAAACAAAACAAAAAAAAAACTCAATAATTATCGATATCGACCGATATGAAACAATAATATCGTGGTAGGTTTTTCAGCCATATCGTTCAGCCCCAGTGACAATAACTCCCATTCACTCTGCCATTCTTGTGCTACTTTCCTTTAACATGTTATTTATGTTTGTCGCCTTTTGCCTCATTTCCTACTCTTAAGTGAATCACACATCATTCTCGCTGCCATATTTGAATCTGCACAGTTATGGTGACCTAATTCTGCAGCAGTGGTTGTTGATGCGTCACGTGTTGGAGCATGTTTTTATGATCCCGTCACTTTGATTCGGTCTCATAACGTGGGGATCACTCACTGTGTCCTGAATGTGTGATAACTTTGACGTCAGTTGCTTGATGGTACTTGGATTGACAGAGCCAGGATGTGACCACTGTTTTCCTTCCGCTCTAGGTGAAAATATTTGAACTTAGTGTCTCACAGTCTAATGCAGCAGATAATTTGAATAGCATAAGGAGCTGGTGCTTTGACTTCTTTCAAGGCTTCTGTGACAGACAACAGAGTCACTTTAGTGGCGAGGCCACCTTTGAACCCAGATTGTTTTGTGTCAAGGAGGTTGGCAGTATTACTGTGATCTGTTCACAGACCACCCCTCCACTGGTTTTGGATGAAAGCAGGAGAGACTGGTCGGTAGTTCTCCATGGGTCTGAAGGAGAATATAATAGTCCCAGCATGTTTGAATCCGGTGGGAAATATACCTAATGTCAGTGAAGCATTAATTACATGTGAGACTGCTGCAGTTGCTATTGACAGGAGTAGATTAGTAGGAACAAGACATGTAGTATGATTACATGTCACACTTTCCTCAGTCAGTGGGCAAAATGAATAAAAGCAGCAGTTAGACACTTTTGATTAGGGAAGGTTTGGTTAGTTTGGTAAACTCTTTTCTTGCATCTGAATCTGTGCGTGGCACAGGGTTAAGTAGGCTTTTTTAAATTTTAAGAAAATAATTTCTGGGTGTCCAGAGAATGATGACAACATAGCAAAGCAGCTTGTAAGATCTGCAGGACTTTTTTGCTTTGCAGCTCGAACATTGTCACACAGTGACCAGAGGGTGTCATTGAGCCAACAGTGGGACTGGAGGATTGAGTGGGTTTGGTGGGTTGAAGACAGAGCTCAGGCAAGAGCTCAATGACTCTTTGGCATCAGTAACATTGAGGGAGGAGAATGTGCCAGAGGTTGAAAGAGCATGGGGTCGAAGCAGGATCTTCTCAGGAGACCCCTCAGACATCCATAAAATAGTCATCAGAAAAGTGCTAAATGAGATTTATCTCTTTGGTAAACTTTGTGAGTTGGAAGACTGTGGACCAGTTGTAGCTCAAACACGTGAAGTGATGGCTCAAAATTTGATGAGTCATGATTGCCGAGGTGGAAACTCACATCATCAAGAACAAGGGACAGAAGAGAGCAAAGGGTCTACTTCTTCTAGAAAGTCATTGAGTTATCCTGGTGGGTGATATATGACATACGATAAACAATTTTGACCTGCGCGAGACGGGATGGTGGTCCAAGCTGACCTATTCAGTTATGGGTGTCAGTTGGTCGTATTTCCTTTTGTTGGAAATTAGCAGGCCCATTACACCACCTTCCCAAATGTACTAGAAGGATGGGAGAATGTGTGGTACGTCATATCTTTGGTGGAAATATGCCAAAACATTGTGGTGCTGAGTTTTGTCAGGTGTTTAAAGAATAGCATTCATTAAGCAGTTAGTATCTGTCATATTTTCTGATGACAAAGCACCACCCTTCCCCTTCTAGTGATTTTGCTGTCAACGCTGGGGGCGAAGGGGCAAGAAGGCACGGAGCTGAATTAATACCTTTAATTCTGTGCTCTTAATTGCCTTGGCTGATGGCTCTTTTATTCAGGAAATTTGTTTCCTATTACTTCATTCAACCTTGTCTTGATAAATGAGTCATCAATACCAACGCTTCTTCAGAAGACATATTAAGCCTCCATTGGTGAAAATGATCAAGATATTAACTAAATCACAAAACATAAAGACACAACAGAAAGTGATTTTCCTACAAAACACTTAGACAATTGTTATCTCATTTCACATGATAACCACAGAATAAATGACAACAAACCACATAACTTAGCAATCTGGCACTCAATTGTTCATTTGGCTCAGACTCCTGGTTCCATGTCTTATATATCACTGGAAGCCATTTTGCTGCTCTGTTCACAGCTGAGATGTATTCCTCTGGTTATGTTGTTTAAATCTTATTCCTGGCCAAAAATGCACAAAGCAATAAAAAAATGTGCATTCTGGTTTTGAAAGACCTTAGCAGAGTTGCAATGTTAGTTTATTTAGTCAGTCAACAGTGTTCGTGGCTCAGAGCACCCAAAAATAAACTTAATCTCCCACCGCTATCAAAGTTTTCCTTTACAGATTAGATACTAACTCCTTCAAAATATTCTTCTGATCTAGCCCATTAGTTTCCGCTGTCTCGCTGTGCCACATGTAATGAATATATTGTACTGTTTGTCATTTGGGAGAAACGGGCCTTAGCGCATTGCAGGCTTTGATCTTTTTTATTGCCTGAAAGCTGACCTCTGAGACACCGGATGGAGGTCTGGGCTGGACGTCCTCAATCAACTTCATGAGCCATTATGCGAGAGAGTTGCGCTACATTATAGATTTGACTTATTTTAGATAAAAGTACTGACACCCAAATATAAAAATGTGCTGTTTCTTTTTATTACTGGACCCTGTTGCTACACATGTGTTGCATTAATAGATTCAAAAAGGGGCTGGAGATTATTTTTAGAAATCTCACGCTGAGGAGCTTTGATTTATGTAACTCGCTGAAGGTGAAGGGAGGAGTTAAGATATGTAAATGTAAATATGCTCGCAACCATAGTTGGCACAATTTTAAATCAGACCCATTTTGTATTTTTTTCATTTTTATTTTTGACCTATTAGCATTTTGGCTAAGCTAACGCAAATTACATTTCCCCATTTTGCAGCTTGTCTGCATGTAGCGAGGCGAAAAGACAGAGTCAGAGCCGAGCCTCAGAGAGGGAAAAGGAGCGTGAGTGAGACAGAAAATCTACGTCGTCACAAAGTCATGTGACTGCTGAGTTTCCTTGGAGACAGCAGCAGTGTAGTACATTGAGATGCTCGCCTGCTCAGTTGAGGACAGATTAGGCATCTGGCAGCAGCAGCAGCAGCAGCAGCAGCAGTGGTTGGATGTGTTTTGCCACCGAGGCAGGTGCTCTCTCTCCCCGCAGAGGTAAGTCAGACCTCGTCCTTTGACCCCAGCTGGTTTTCAGGCGACTTGATGACCGATAAACCTTATTTTCATGCGACTGTTTTCCATAATGCTTGCTTGTTTGTTTGTTTTCTTCATGGAGGACAGAAATAGTATGGTTGAACACTCACACTTTTACTTTTGCTCTCCTGATGCAAAAATAGTGGAAAGTTGGAGCAAATGGCTTTGATGAAAGAATAGAGCAGATGACTTACTCGTGTGTTTTTCTATTGTGCAATATCAAGTACTTAAACAGAAAATATTAAACGGAGATGATCCTATTTAAATGTTGTTGTTTTTTTATTTCTGTTTTGTTTTTAAAGTAGAATAATGGGGGGAAAAAACCCCTGCATGATGCTATTAACAACAGTATTCTCATATATCAATAAATTTACGTGTAGACGAGTCAGGGCAGAGGAGTTCTCCACAGTGCTCTGCCTTCTGTGTCATAGCGAGAGATGTAAATAAAGTGAAACAGTATCGAGGCTAATAACTACAAGCTGCAGATTCAGAGGATGCAAATCAGACATGTGCAGACCTCCGTGTGTTTGTGAGCGGCTGCTGTTTTCAGAGGGATGTTTTGATCCGTTAATGAGACTCCGTGCCCTGAGAGTTCGAGTCCCGACACGAATCCAGACACCATATGGGCCGCATTGCTTTGTTTACTCTCTCAAATTACCTCCCGCAATGTCACCTTCCTCCGTTTTATTGGTGGCGGGTTTTTTTTTTGTTTTTTGTTTTCTGACTTGTGGTTTAATTAGAATCCTTGTTGGTTGTGTTGGGCCTGTTGTTTGTTTTGACTTGTGGTTTAATTAGAATCCTTGTTGGTTGTTGTCGCTCTTGCACTTGTTAATTAGAGTTGGGCTAATTGCCTAAAAACATCTAAATCAATTGCTGGAAAGTTGATTATATCACAGTAGCTCCACCGTGCTGCCCTTTTTTTATTTCTTTTTTCAGTGCACCACATTCTGTGCGTTTTAATGATTCCTCTTCCTGCCTCAGCTCTTACTTACTGCTGGACGAAGCTGAAGTTAGAATAGCTTGATTTATGATTATTAATAAAAATGGAAATTGTTCACCTCCCATTCCTGGTGTCAAGCAGCACAGAGCTCTGCGGCGTAGCATTAAAAACCTCTAATCTTGTCTTGTTTTAGTCAGCCGAAAGCAGCGACCAACAACATGAATGACACAATGCTCATGTCCTCTGGTGCACCCACTCCCACCAAAAGGTAAGCTTTTTGAAGATACGACTGTCATCTCCCCCATGATTGACTGTACAAGGACCAGATTTAAGGTACTCCAAAGTTTTTGGAGAATTTCAAACCTGATCAAATATTATGTTGTCCCGTTCCTGTGATCCTTTCACTGCAGTGCCAGACCAGAGTTTTCTCTCTCAGTATGCCTTAAAGAAACATAGCATCCCGCTGCCTTAACCAGCCAACTGGCTAAAGAAGACTTAGCCACAAATGAGGAAAACATTTTTAAAAAGTCTCTGTTTATTTCCAGAGAAATCTCTCATTTTAGAGAGATTTCTCTGGAATAAGAAAGAATGCCAGAAATAACAGTTCTGGCATTGACAACGTCACTTATTGAGATAACTAGATATATTAAATCACAATTGACAATCTAGGAGATTATCTGTTAAGCTAGTTAGTTTCGGCTAGTTAGCCACTGGATGCATATGACAGTGTTGCAAAGGCATACGATCCAACTTAAATGTATTTTCTTGGGATATTATGTGATAGATCAACACAAAACAGCACGTAATTGTAAATTTAATAGTAATATTGAATGGTTTAACATTATTACAGAAAAAAATAATAATAAAATGTGTCAAACATAGAGCATTTTGAACACGTGATCCCCAAGCTAAAAGATGGTAATGGCAGCATTATGCTATGGGGATTTTATTTTTTTATCAATTTTTTTTTCTGTTTTACTTGCTATAGAAAAAATTACTAAAATGTGTGGCAAAAGACACAACGGCGTCAGGATGGCTGTTTTTTTTATGTCAATTTATGTCGCAATGCACGACATCATGTCCCAAAAAATCTTATTGAAAATAAAGTTTGTGATTGTATTGTGAGAAAAAGTCAAATGTTCAAGGGTTATTATGAATACCTCTGTGGCACTGTATCAACTTTTTATGAATGCTTGAACTGATCAGCAAAATTGTGTGGTAACGTGCTCATAAAAGCAAGCGAGTATAAAGTTTTGCTTAATTTTATATCAGAATGCCAAAGTCGATATCATGTTTTTGAAGCAGTGGGAAAATTCAGCACTGCGTCTTATTTTTTTGTCAAATTTTAGTGTCGATGGTATCGAACCATCATTTTTTTGTTTTGTTTTGTTTTACTCACAGTTACTATAAAAAACACGATCGCAGTCCTGGCCCTGAGACGACAAATTACCTCCATATATTGCCCAAAAAAATCCACATAAATCCTTTTTAATCTCTCCTGATTTGAGGCCGCGCTTGAAATAGACGACAGATTGTCTCTGATCAGAATAAAAACGGCGAATCATACCCCCCTTTGCACGTATTTTTGCCTCTGTGCAGCGTGACCTTCCGGGTGTATTTTTAGTTAGAAAATGCTGCTCTGCTGTCACAGTGTGTATGCGATCACATCTACCTAACAGGATGACTTGACAAAAAGATTATGATGGAGCTGGATGGTGCCTGGTCGGCTTAAGAGCCTCCTCTCATTTCAGTCCATATTGTGTGAGAGCCTGGACTGTAGCATCATTCTTTACTCACAGCGGGTAACGAAGCTCTGTGGTTATGACGGCGGCGAAGGGGAAGAGTGCTCTGACGGAGCTGCAACGTAAACGCATCCTCTCCCTGCAGGTCTAGTTTTTCCTCGTCTCGTGTGCGCTGTATCGCTCCGGCAAATCTTTCCGGCAATTTGTGCTCCCGAGATCAGAGCCCTGAGAGACTCGGGAGCTCCTGTGGCGCGTTAGTCAAGACGACTTTGTCGGAAATCTGGGGGAGACCGTGAACGAAGGGGGTGTGGAAGGACTTTGTCAGCTGAAGGGCAGCTGGCTATAAAAAAGAATCCATTAATTTAAAATGTGCTTTTTTTTTTTTTTCTTCTCGTAATCTTTAAAATCTAACCATCAAGCCAATCATTTATGACTCTAACATTTGATTGAGATGAACAGCAGTAAAGATTATTTCTCACGGCGCATTGCTTGTTTTTGGCTGTCTAATGACGTCACGCGTCCATGGAGGTCAGCGGATGGGTTCATGTTGCAGCTCCAGTGCGAGGAAAGGCGATACTCTCCCGAGGTTTCTCTCACTGTGGCGGTAACGAAGAAGCCCAATAACCTTTGCCTTGACATTTTGCTCTGTGAGTCAGCGCCGCTGTGTGAAGATGACACTCGCGGAGGATACTGTTGCCTCGAAGGGGTCAAAACAGCTGCCATTTGAAAGGCAAAAGTAGCGAATGAAATCACACGGTAACTATTGTATCGGTAATTGCTTCGATTCTTATTCATTTGCTTGACTAATTTGAGTAATCTGTAGTCTTATTCTTAACTTCTTAAACCCTAAGCAGCTCCTAACATCTGTGGTGTTGAGAAACTTCAGAAAAAAACCAACCAAACAAACAAGAAGCACACTAGAGCAACTAGCAACTAATATAAGAAACGTTTGAAGAATTGAAGAGACTACATGAAGGACTTAGGACAGACAAGATGGCGGAAACTATGTCTTCTCTCATTTATCACAGGGATTATAGAGTCCCAAGCAAAAGGGATGACATTGAAGTGGCGATGAGAACGCAGCAGGAATCCTGGGGAAGCATGTTATGGATTTTCCTAAGAGATGGGAACAAGAACATGCAATCGCCCTTGTAGGCTTTTTTCTGCAGTCAGTCATGACACAACCACAAGCTTCGGTGCATTTTATTAGAGTTTTACCACATAATTCTGAGTAGGAAGGAAAAATACATTTCCCTATATAGGTTTTATTTAAAAAAGTATGTCATGCGTTTGCATCAGTACTTTGAGAGAGTAAGTTTTTGCAGCAATTGCAGTAAAAAAAAAAAAAAAAAAAAAAAAAAGACCTCCACCTTTAGAAACACTGAAATGTTTTGTCATTTCTTCTTTGAAAGGGAAATTGGATTGAAATCATCTATCAATAGGACTTTTCATGTTTTGCTACAGATTCTCAATTGGACTCAGGTCTGTACTTTCACTGAGTCACATTAACATCCTCTGAACAAAACCTTTCTATGGCAACTCCAGCCCAGGGAAATAATCTACCAACACAACTAGAGCTTTCAATCAATATTCCAGAACTGTTAAGTAAAACCTACATCTTGCTGAAAAGTTACTTGTTAGTTAGTTTAGTCTTATTTAAAGTGTACTAAGATATCTACACCAAACGTACTTGGTGAGATTTTGTGTTCTTGCAGTTCGGTTCAGCCCGGTTGAGTTGTTCCCTGTCTTCCTGTGAATCCACTGTTAAGATTTCCCATCATTCTCTCGCCTGTTGTCACATGAAAGGCCAGTGAGTCAAATGTGCTCCTGCTGAATAATGCAAAACTTGTTGTCACTCTGCTTCAGCTAAAGATGTCCCCGTCTCCACCGCCATCATTGTCCGTTGGCCTTTTCCGATTTCATGTTTTAATTGGGTGAAGAACAAAGTGCGATCACGGCGAACCGACAGACAGAGGGGTTTTTGTTTGGATTGCCAACTCTTGAATTTCAGAAACGGTAGATTTTCAAACCTGAAAAAGTTTAATCTTTTACTGAGACATTTTTCAAAAGCATGCAGACTCCATGCATGCTTTTAAAAAGACATCTTCTCTGTTGACATGGCAGCCCCTTTGTGCCTCTCGGAGATCAGCACGCCCTCCAGGAACACAGTTTATTACCTGTTAAGTAAATGACCTCTCCTCATTTCTTACTTTTTATTTTCATTTCAAGTAGAGATGAATGTCACGTCTTCTGCTCCCTGTGGGGTAGGGCTGTTTGATCGCAAGGTGAAGCGGTGAAAAAAACTCCAAATAAAGCACACAGCTAAGTTGATATTGGCTTTCTGCCCCGGCGTTCTGACTTAATCCGACTCTCAGAACTAGGAGTCTGGCAATCTGGTCCAGATAATACTCTGAATAGCCGTGCCACCAGTTTGATTCTTCAGAAATGGAGTAAGCAATGGGCCGTTTTAGGCTTGTTCAAAAGTATGTGGGAATAACGTGACATCTGAGAGAACAAAAGAAGTTTGAAAAAAACAAAAGTACAGCAAATGTACCAGATCAGGAAAAAAAACTGAAAGGTAAATTAGTTTGTTTAGGTCAAAAAACTAGGACAATGTGGACGTAGCATGAGAACTCCAGAGCAATTCCCTGATGTGTCGCCGTATTCTGACAAGAAACATCGGTATCAGAGAGTCTGTAAATTATTCAGAACGAGACCCACTTAGCAAGATGTTTTTTTAATGTCCCGCTCTGATTGAGTTCCTTTACATGTTTTTTTTTCCTTTTAATTTGACACAACATTGAGCGGGTCAAGGGATCTGACGGATACTTCAGCCATTACCTCGGTTCATTCAGGGGTCGTTCATGCAATGATAACAAAGTAGATAAATTTGCAGTTTCCCCGGTTATGTTTTTTGAAGGTTTCAGCTCATAAAACAAATGTATATCTCCAACAAAAATACCCAAAGTGAGCAAAAAATGAATAAATCAAGTTTATTTGTGTGGCCCATTTCAAAATGAGTCACATCATAAAAATATGTAAACAAGCAATAAACATAAAATTTTGTCAAATGTCATCACATCAAACATATTCATCAGTGTAACACTTACTCAAAAAAAACTCAAAGCAGGCTTTAAGCTTTGATTTAAAGAAAAATGCAATTTTGAAATTATTACTTCATATATTGAGTACAAAATAGCTATGCAAACTAACCTCTATCCAGATGTGTGTTTATATATATATATATATATATATATATATATATATATATATATATATATATATATACATATATATATATATATATATATATATATATATATATATATATATATATATATATATATATATATATGTTCATCTTGTTTTACACATTTACTTTCTCTTTGAGATAAATAAAGTATTTCTGAATGGAGTTGAATTGAATATGAAGATGCGAAAATCGAGATGCCGAGAAAAAAACGACATTTATGGCGTTTCAGGTTTGAAAACCCTCCAATGAGGTAAAAGCAAAAAATATGCATTTGTTAAGTTTAGGGAGATGTTTTTGCCTGGATAAAATAAAATAGTTATTTGAAAAACACTGTTTTGGATTTCCCCAGGCTATTTGTACAGGATGTTAAAGCTCCTTTGATGATCTGAAGCCTTAAATTGGCATCAAATACTTAAGAAAAAAGGCACAAAAAAGCCACTTTTTGCTGCTTTCTTCAGCTTTGTTTCTAGAAGTTGCTTAGCACTGTTGGTCGATGCAGCAGCTTTACAGCCACACTGAGTTTAATTGCCGGCTGCAGGTCGTCCTCCAGTCGGAACTGGAAATCATCTGCCCACACCATAAGTCCCGCCCGTGATCCTTTTAACTACTGGACAATATTTGAAATCTCTTTTCTCGGCTGAAATGACCAAAGCAGATACTCGTAACTGCCATATAACCATCCTGCATGCTGCTTATCCAGTCATTTCATTCTTTTTTGCTCATTTTCTGGACTCCTGAATTATTTATTGAAATATTTTTTCTGCATGTCAGATTCACTGTGTAAGTAAGTGTGTGTGTGTGTGTGTGTGTGTGTGTGTGTGTGTGTGTGTGTGTGTGTGCGTGCGTGTGTGTGTGTGTGTGTGTGTGTGTGTGTGTGTGTGTGATGTTTTGCTCTGTGTTTGACTTTGGTCAGTGTTTTGGAGAGTCCCAGTCGGTTAGATGAAGAGCACCGGCTCATCGCCCGATACGCTGCGCGCCTGGCAGCTGAGGCAGGCAACTCCACAGTAAGTGAATTGTTGTTGTGAACTTCTCTGAAAATTTGTGTTCATGTCGGATCCCAAAGTTGGGAGCTCGTTTTCCTGTTAAAACCACAAACCTCAGTGTAATCTGGGGACTTTTATTGAACAGACCAACACAAAGCGGTGCATAATTATTAAGTGGAAGGAAATGACACGTGGTTTTCATATTTTTGACACATAAAAAATTGAAATATTATGGTGGTAACCCAAATGAAACCCACCACAACCAATGTCCTTCAGAAATCATTTAGCTACTAAATACTAAAGTTCAACTTGCAGATTATTCAACTTAAAACAACACATTTCCTCTTGGTTCAAGTGAAAAATGTGCAAGTGGAACTTTTTTAAACTGTTCCACTTGCACAATTTATGTCAATAAGCAATTATTGACTTAAAACCGGCTCTGTTACGTTGCGTCTGAAAAGTTACTTGTAAGTTAGTTTTTTTTCAACCCTCTATGGTCGTGGAACTCTAACACACTTATAGTCCAAAAAACTCATCCAAAACACTCCTAGTAAAATCCAAAACGTCACAGCGCTTCTTTCTCATCCCGTCTCCAAAACTGTCTTCAGAGCCTCTTTCACCACGTCTCTCACGCTAAAATACAGACAAAAAATGTTTCATTGCTTGTTTTAAAAATGTACATTTGAGAACATCGAGAAAATGGCTGTCACACTTCATTCAAGCACTTCCTGGTCACAAAATGTTCACTGAATGAGCAGCAAATGCAAAAAATGCACATCAAATCATGGCAAAATTGTTTGATCATAAGTCTGGTTATATTTGGAAGCAAAAAAAAAAAAAGCAAAACCAGTATAAAAACACTAATTTTTTTAAGTTGGGTGTTTGTGCTGTCCCACCAAGTGGAAATGAACTCTCAGCCATTTTTGTTGCAGCAGCCTTTTAACATCCAGGACGACCTTCGATGGTATTGTGAAGTATTAAGATATCTGCACTGAAAACTAGACGAAAAATTCACGGTCAATGACTGTGGTGAGCTGAATAAAAATGTACACCACACTTTTCAGATTTCCATTGGTTGGAAAGGTTTGAAGACCCATATGTCAGTGTTTCCTTCCACTCTTCAGTTCACATCTGTGGCTATTTCCTAGCAAACTGTCCAAAAGCCTGAATGCTCTTGCTGTGTTTGTAACTTTCCCCACTGGTTTCATTGAGAGGTGTTTTGCGTTGCAGCAGCAGTGTCCTCCAACAGACCTGAGTTTCAACTTCGATGCCAATAAGCAACAGAGACAGCTGATCGCAGAGCTGGAGAACAAAAACAGGTCCGCTTCATTATCGAACCTAATTCAGTTTTCTCGTTGTGGGGGGTGAAAAAAATGTTCTGTTGCATATTAAACATTTTCCCCCAAATCAGGGAGATCTTGCAGGAAATCCAGAGGCTTCGTTTGGAGCATGAACAGGCCTCCCAGCCCACGCCAGAAAAAGCCCAGCAGAACCCCACGCTCCTGACCGAGCTGCGACTCCTCAGGTATGAGCCCACCACTGAAACGACACACGATGCACCGTCGCTGAGCTGATGATAACAGGAAGAAACACGCAAGTAGAGGGTCAAAACATGCCTGAAAACACCTCTGGTCTCTCCTCTTTTTCTTTCCTGAAATAATTTTCTGTGGTGCCGCAGAGGGCAGATATTTGCACAACGGCAATATTCAAGATTACGTTGTTGTTTGTTTGTTTTTTATTCTTTTAAATCTTCTCTGTTCCCTTATTGATCTGCTGCTCTCGTGTCCCTGACAAAATACCTGATTCAAAATATCTGGAAATATGCAGTTACACACTCTAAACAGCAGAGGGTGCTGAAAAGCCCCAACATAAATAAAAAACTTTCAGATTGCCACAAATCAATCAAAAGCTTTCAGGGTCAACTTCCCTTTTGTTGTTGTTGTTGTTTTGGTTTTGCGCTCTAACTAGAACACAGACCGCAGTTTTCACCTAAAATCCACGCGCGAATGAACAAACCTAAAATGTGAACCGTGTTGCCTGCTGTCCACAGACACAGGAAGGACGAGCTGGAGAGGCGCATGTCGGCCCTGCAGGAGAGCAGGCGGGAGCTGATGGTCCAGCTGGAGGGTCTGATGAGGCTGCTGAAGGTAAGACCACTTCCTGATTCAAGAAGATATACCTGCAGGCGGGAGGATGAGACGCCCGACGTAGGAAGAGCGTCAAACGTCTGGGGTCAGCTGCTCTTCTTTGGGTTTTCTTACTGGTTCGTTGCTGCTAATCTCCCTCCGATAATTGGCATTTGAATAGATGAAATGTGTCTTCCTCTCCAAGCACAACAAACTATCTCGATGTTATGCCATGTAAACGTGTGCCATGTGATGCATGCAGAAGTCACCTTCTTCTTTTTTTCATTAATTTTGTTGCTCTCGCTCTTCTCGCTTTCTCTCTGCTCACCTTTGTTGGCTGATAGGATGAGGAGCAGAAGCAGGCTGTAAGTTGCTCTCGACTCGCTTTGCAAAGTGCTAACAGTAGTTGATGGTCTCTGCGTTTCCCCCTGTTCCTCACAGACACAGTTTGAACAGGTTTTGTGAAATCCACTTAGGAAAAAATGTCACATTTTTCATTGACATCAACTCCTGACTACTGCACAGATTTTATTTCCCGTTGAACCTGAGCATGAAGGTTAGCGTCATCCTGTTCAATGACATGTTCGAACCAATTCAAGAATACTGCGCTTTTATTAGGCCGGACTCAGCACAGGACCCGTCACATTTATTAACCTCCTGATTCTGTAAATGAGTTTGAATGAGAGAAACCCGAGCAGAGCAGCATGAAGAGGAAACTCAGAAGAACTGACAGTAAACATCTGTACATGCCCGTACATTTAAATGTTGAAGTTATGGACATTTCTTAAGTATTTCACGTCAGCTCTGACAAACTGTGTCAAATTTACTTTGCGTGACTGCGTCAAGTCTTAGTGAGGAAATGTACTCTTTGCTTTTTTGTCTATACATATTTAAGGTCTGACCATCTTGAGCTGGAAGTTGAACGTCCATAAGTGTCCATTTTTCTGCTCATGGAAATAAGTGAATTTTCCTCGGTGCAGACAGACCGTCTGCGTTGCGCAGTAGAATATGAGATTCAGAGGTCATTGCTGCAGCATTTGATTTGCTCGTGTGTGTGTGTGTGTGCTCTGTACCTCTGTGCAGCATAAATGCCCCCATTGAAGAGACATTTATGCCAATAAATGAAGAACAAATAAGAAATTTAGACCAACTTTATCTGTTTTACTGAACTTTTCTTGTCATTAAAAGATGCAGTGCTTTAACATTTACTGTTTAGTATTTATTTTAGGTTGTTACGTTAGAGCATTTGACTTATGTGCGAGATTTACTGTTTTGTTCTTTCACTTATCTGTTTTCTATCTGCCTGTAAGCTAGCATTGCAATAAAAGAAGAGGTTAACAATGCAATAAATAGGTTATCTAAGTATTTTTGACTGATTTTTCCTTTTGCAGTCCCAGTCCGGAGGCTCCCCTCATTCTTCTCCTAGTCACGGTGCCGGCTGCTCCATGCCCATGCCCATTCGCTCCACCTCGGCCGGGTCCACCCCGACTCACACACCGCAGGACTGCCTGGCAGGCGTGGGAGGAGACGTGCTGGAGGCCTTTGTTCAGGGTGAGTCGAATCCAACTCATTACAAAAAAAACCTTAAAAAAAAAACACTGATGTATAAACCTGCTGAGAATCATGGAGCTTCCAAAAATATTGAAGCCAAACTAGAGAAAATCCAAAAACGGTAATGCAGCTGAAAGGCAACACGTTGCAAAGCTGAGCAGAGCTAATAAAGGTCTATCTTCCTGTTCCTTAGGAGTACCCAGAAACCTTCGGAATGATCTTTTAGTTGCTGCTGACTCAATCACAAACACCATGTCGTCGCTGGTTAAAGAGCTCCACTCAGGTCTGTGTTCAAGGAATCCTCCCCTTCCATTCAACCCAAGTCACTGCGTGTGAAATGTTGGGTTGTGTTTGTTTTCAAAGTGGATGACGCGGCGGAGGACGACGAGACCAACATGAGGAATGGTGGAGACAGAGGTGGGTCCAGGTACTTGCTGATCCATTGGTCCTCTACCTGTACTAAAGTTAATAATGTGTCACACCTAACACTAAATGATTTTAGAGTTTTAACAAATAATATGTAAACGACCAAACCAGCAGTTAGAAAAGAAATATTGAAACTTTTCCGAACCAAAAAAGGGACAAAGCAAAAAAGAAAAAAAACAGTAAAAGAAAAAAATTATTACAATTTAAAAGACAAAGAACTAATTGCAGATTTTTTTTCTCATGACAAAAAAGTGAAATAGAAAAAATAAAAATTCATAAAAAAATGCAAGAAAACTCAATAAAAACAAAAAAATATGTAAATTGAAACAAAAAACAGATCGAATAACCACAGCATAAATAAACTAATCACAAAAAATAAAAGCAGAGAAAAAGTGATAGAGAACATCCCTGATGTACAGAGAATAGCTTGTGTTACCGAGTGATTCTCCTAAAAGGGGGGAGGAAATGATAAAGAAAATGAGAAAGGGTAAGAAAATAATTAAACAAAAACGGGAAAAAGGAAAAACGTGTGAAGAGAATAAGAGGAAGTGTTGTAATGTTCCGAAATGTTCAAGGGGTGTAAATACTTTCAGAAGATGCTGTACTTATGCTCACAACTGAATTCAGTTTGATTCAACTAAAGGAGGCACATAGAGAACATACATACAATAAAATACACAAATGGAGAAAAAGCAATATAAAGTAGCAAGAACCTCTTCATCAGCTTACTTATCCCAATGCAAATGCGCAACGAGATAAGTAAGTGGATGGAATAACTCATTAGTTATTAAACATCAACTCTAGAATTTATGTATTTTTTATATTTCTTCTTTTTTTCCTTTTTATTTTATGACATAATTTATCATGGGAAGAAAAAGTGATGCGTTAAGGGAAGCTTTTGAGTTAATTAAATGAAAGTAAGCGACTGCACTTCGCTAATGACTTCGCGACAAGCGCACTAAACACGAAAAAGCGAAGCGAACCACTTCCTGGCGCAGAAACGGCATCTGTTTCCACTAACGACCGTGCTGTTGCTGCATTTGCCTGCATGGCACCGACTCCGGCTAATAATGAACTCGCCCTGCTCTATTAAACGGTCTGCTGCTGCCTTTCTCGGCCCCAAACGCCGCTCTCTTCTTTACCAGCAGAGAGCGGCGCGTTGCCGCCGAGGCGGCTTTTCATTCGTTCGCCCTCCGGGGTTCGTCGGCGGCGCTGAACATGCTCTTTGTTTGTGCGTCCCAGGCACACTGAGAGTACAAAAGCACTGAGGGGGAGAGATCCCTGCCCCGGCCTGCGAGGACATCCGGTCATCGACTGGGAAGACTCGGCATCAGCAGGAAGCCCCTGGCATTAGCACGTAGAGTAATGCATGCATCTGATCTAAAAATGAATTTCACTGTGTGAAAAAAAAAAGGAGAAAAAAAAAAAAGAAGTCGTCACACCTTGCGCCTAGCAAGATGTGTCTAATTACCAAGTGTGTATGTTGTCCTGTAAACAAAACAAACGAAGAAACAAGACAGAAAAAAAAAACTGCTGTAAAATTACCAGAACAATTTCCCTCATGAGTAGGAAGAGCGGCTTGCTGTGCTTTTTTTCTTTTTTTTCTTTTTCTCCCATTCCAGCAGATCGTCCTGTACATAAACTACTGTAAACACACGGAGCCTTCTCACCGAGGAGACGTCCTGACGCCACCCGCTCTCCGTCACGGCTTTCTCTCTCTTTTTGAGTCGTTTACATTTATTTATGATGTTTGTTTCCTGTTTTTTTTTTGTGTTGTTTTTTTAGGTTTTTGCATAAAGTTGCACTCACGTCTGGATTTAGTTACTGTACTGTACGACGCTATGCCGGGTCTTTGTTGGTGTGGTGAAGACGGCTGTGGCGTCAGAAGTGTCCTCCAAATTCACGCGAGCTGTGTTTACTTGCACAGGGGAAATTCTGGCTCTTTGGGCTTGTTACTGTGACAAGAAGCTTGAGGAGGCGCTATTTATTTATGCTTATTTTTAATTATTGCTGTTTTTTTAGAGTTTGCTTTACTGCCATGATTTATGTGACGGAGCGAGCCTGCCAGAGGAATAAGCAAATGCCTGCTTGAGGTTCCTTTGCTGCTACTGTGAAACCAGGAACGTTTATCCCCCTCAACTTTCATCTTTTGATAAGTGCTTTCATTTTGGACTAAAGGATTGACTCCCTCTTTCAGCACAGATGGATCTAAAGATATGCTGGTGATTTTAACTCTTTAACAGAAAACAGAAAGGTTGGGGGTAAGAGCTATATTAAACTGATAACGCTGACTTGTGAAGTTGACAAAATGTACCAGCTCTGAATGCTTGGGACTGTCATACATAGGTTCCTGTTTTATTTTCTGGAATACATTTCTACCCTGGGAATATATTGTTACCCTTCTTTATCAGTGGAGACACAGGCTGGTGATGGCGGCCTAGTTTTTGGAAATGATTCCCGTAGTTCAAAGTCACTGACTGTAAAACTACCACAGGCTCTTGTGAAACTTGTTACCTCTGAAAACCAGCTGCGAAATGGTTAAAGTGAGATTAGTGACCGTCGTCACGTGAGATGAACTTCCTTCGAAACGCAGAACAAATGACAGGAGATTAAGGCCTGGCTGGCGATTGTACAAAAACTATCTCGTAAATCTTATGGCAAGAAAGCAAAACAAGCTAATTTACCTCAATTCTAAGCTCATCGTTTCAGGGAATAATGCAGTGCAAAAATTCTTTGACATTAGGGTTGTTGTTTTTTTTTTCCCTTTCTTCTAATACTTAAGTGTGAAGAGGCAAATAAAACCCTCGGCCGGCGTCCAGAATAACCTGTGCATTTGAACACGCTGGATGAGTCTCGGTACTACTCTGCTGCTAATGTGCTCTCAGAGAGCAACGCTGAGGGCTGCCGCCAAAAAAACACAACAAAACAAAAGAAACACAACAACAACTCCCAGTAAATCCCACCCGCAGGGCATTGTGAGCTCAACACAGCACGGTGCCTCCTTCAGGGTGTGAGGTCACAGATAACCAGGAAGTGCTTCAAATAGCTTTATTTAGGTGATGAAAGTGAGCAGAAAATGTTCATGTGCAATGACTGTAAATGTCCTCAGGGACTGCAGAGCTAACGATTTGCTGTCCAAGTCCAGAAATGTGAGAAATCCTGGGAGGTCGCGCTTCGTCAATAAGCGAATTGGACTTGCTCCGGATCACATTTGTACGATTTTATCAGGACTTCCCAAAGCGCATCTTAAGAGGAGCGTTGATCTGGTTTAGGTAGAATCTCTATACGCCTGTGCAGAAATCAATCAATCAATCAGCAAATAATGAATGAGTAATTTGCATTGAGTAATTTGTGCAATGGCCACTTTTATTGGCACCCTTCATGAAGACGGTAAACAGCCTAACAATAAAAATCACCTTTTGTTGCAGCTCTATAAACTGTCTTTTAAAAAATGGACAAATCCTCTTTTCAATTCAAGGGATTGTTTTCCAAGTTAAGAAATAAGTATGTTTAATTAAATCACTAATTATCTGTACTCCTAACAATCCCATTATTTAATTAATTAAATTATATATCCAAGACACTTAATACACTTTTTTCTTTTAGCTGATCAGTGTTTCGGGCTAATTCTGCTGATTAATCAATACCTTTTCTGTTTCGTTAGTTCATAAATATGATGACAGAAACTTATTCAAAGCCACACAGGTTCTCAAACCATTTAACCTTTAACATGTAGGTTTTTGGTTTGATTTCATGCTGTGTAATGTAGCCGTCCGTAAAAACAAATGTGCATTTTCTGGATCTTAATTCGGTTCGGTAATCCTTATTTAACCGAACAGCAGGAGATTTTGCTTTTTGTTTGTTTCCATTTCTGGTTCATGCACTAAGCCTGTGCTATAAGCTACACAAGAGGTTTCAGCGACCCGTTACACACTGTGTTGAGAGAAAAAACAAAAAGCGGCTCCTCTGTTGCTATTTCCCCCCACCCTCTTTTTTCCTCTGTTTTAATGTATATTGTCTTTTTTTTTTTTTCCATGATTCTGCTCTGCAACCTTGATGGAGCCTGGTCGTTGTATTGGGTTTATCAAAAACTGCTAATCACCTGGTACGCTATCATTTGAAAGCAGGGAGAGTCGTTTTAACCACTGCTGCTGTAAAACATGTTTCGGCCCACAAATTACATGTGAAAAACGCCGAGATTTGAAAAAAAAAAACAAAACAAACAAATGTGACCCTTTCATTCTGATCCTGCATTTTACTGCAACTCTTCCTCTTTCTGTTCTGTTCTTTCAGTTTGTGCCTGTCGCTGTGCTGTAAAGTGCTGTATAAAGTAACCATTCAGCAAACCAGATAATCTGTCAGCCTCTGTGTCAAGGTCTTAGTCTGTGACGTTGTAGAGGTTTTATTTATTTGTCAATTGCTTTCTCGTGTTATTTGGGGTGGGGACGGGGGGGAGGAATCTTACGCTCAGCCTTTACATTCGTGCCAAACCGTTTGCAGACGTCGCGTGTCATATAAAAACACAGGTATATATCAGAGTATATCTGCATTATTAGTCTGTCGTCGACCTTAATCTGTTCACTGAATGCCTGGGGATGGAAAGTCATCTGCTGCTGAAAAAAAAAAAAAAAAAGACGCATTTAAGAGTTCTACTATTATCAAAATGGGGAAATATATATATATATATATTCTTTATATATATATTCCAGAGTGATTCATTTATTTGAACCCGTCCTGAGGCAATATTGTATGCATCCCGCCCTGTCAGACCGAACTTGGGTTAACACAGCTGGTCACACAGAGGTGCATACACTGGAATCCTTTTTGGGTTTCTTTGGTTTTTCCCAGACACAAGGTGCAAAGCAGACAGCACAGCTTCCCTGATGTTATTTAAATATGTGTGTGTTCTGTACGCTTACGCTTCTTGTATGCATTCGTTCTCATGTTGATTTGACCAAACGTAGTTTTATGTCACCAAATCACAGTTGTTGTTTTTTTTTTGTTTGTTTTTTTTGTTTGTTTTTTTCTTTGTAAATACATCAAATGTGAGATATATTAAAAAGACTTAAAACATAAATCGTGTTGGTCTTTTCATGTTTTCTCTTCTGCTGTTGGATGGAAATGCTCTTGAGTGCCAATTAACCGTCATGTTTTTTGTTTTGTTGTTGTTGTTTTTTTTGTTCTTTTTTGACCGTGGGAGGAAGCCGAACCCGCAGGGAAAACATGCAACTGTGTATGCACCAGAATCCAAAAACATCATTTCTAATTTGACCCAAAAGCTGAATTTTTGCTTTTGGAGCAGGAGTTGGCCCTTTTTTTTTTTTTTTTTTTTTAACCAAACATTAAATTAAAAAAGGACATGAGATGAGACTCATCTGGGACTGGGCACTAGAGATGATCTAAGAACGGCCCTGTCAAAGTTCAGACCAACACTTTTTTCTTTTTTGAATAAAAATCTATTACATAGAATCTCAGTCAGGCTGAGATTGAGCAATTTCAAAACAAAAGTGAACAGAAAAATTCCAACAAAATTGGAAAAGCAAAAGTAAAAATTAGTAGCAGAAAGTAAAGGAAAATAATGTTTATTTTTTCTCTACTTCCCAAAAATGCACTGCTTATATGGATCGGACTATCAAATAAAGTCCATATATAGGCCTATATATATATGTGTGTGTGTGTAATTAAAGCACTGTACATTTCAACACTTTCTTCACCAATTACGTACTTTTAGCGACATAATCATGACTATACACCGTGTATGAAGAGTCACACACAGATCTCAACAGCAGGTGTCGCCAGAAGCTCATTTTGGCAGCATTCTTCTCACTGTTAGAAGAAAGCTGTTCTTGTTTTTGGCACTGCTTCTCTTACTCTTTTTACAACCGGTACAGTTTTCTTGTAGATCTCAATACATTGTATGTGGAGTCAGTTTATGTGTTACAGTCTATCCTGTAAACAATGTGGAATACAGTGTCCATTCATTCAGTCAGTAATGGACTTCTAACTCTATTGGAGTTGAATTCCCATGTTAGAAAATATTTTAGAGCAAATCACCAACTGAACACTTGGCTGACATTTCATATAGACAAATGGAACCAAGGCATGTTTGACACTTTAGCTTTACTTCTTTTTTTCTTTTTTACACTTACAGTATTTTATGATTTCATTTAGTAACCCATGACTTCTTGTTTCCGTGGGGTAGAAATATGATGTGACACAGAGGTGCATATCTTTGAGCCATATTGACCCATATGCTTTATGTCTATATGTGTGTGTGTGTGTGTGTGTGTGTGTGTTTCAGCAGTGATAACACAGAAATGACCACAGCTCATCTGAGACTGAGAGCCAGGAGACTCTGCTGGTTGTTGAAGGGTTCTGTGTGGGTTTCTACCAGGACCCGTCTCAGACTGCAGCTCTAGTTTCACAAAACAAATCTAACTGAATATCATTTTTAGATTTTCTAATTTCTGTCAGGTTCCCTCCCTTCAGCTCGGGGGAGCCAAAGTTCTGCCTGTGTAAGATATTAACACACCAAGGCGAAATGAACGTCTCAGCAGATGATCCGGCGACAAAACAACCATCTGAATCGATGACACAAGGAAAAGTTACAGGACTTGGGTTTTATTGTGTTCATCAGTATTACTGATTAAACTTTAGCTTTAATATAAATACATAATTTTAAAGTTTAATCAGTAATACTGATCAGTAATACCGTTATAACAAATTTATGTCAGATCATGATTTCTTGGTTAATGTCAAGTTATCATAACAAAGACATTTTGAATAATATCAACGTTGTATTAAAAGTCATGATTTACCAAATGACATTTTATGACAACAGTCATAAATATTCATGAAGACATACTCATGTTCATGACGGTGTCATGACAGTCTTATTCACAACCTGTCAAATACAGAGTTACTGAACTGAAACTACTACTAATCATAGCAGTGCTAGAAACTATTACTATAACTTTAAATCATTTAGACAACCAGCACAACAGAGACACAATCAAAACTGTCAAATGACTAATCACCCCGCGACAATAACTCAGAAACAATCCCAATTAGGATTTATCTTTATTTATTTCCTACTTACAGAACGTTTCTGTTTATATCATAGGTTTTTGATGCCTTTCTATCCTATCCTAATAAACAATAGAGAGAAAAAAACAGGCACTTTTTAGAAGAAATGTGAAAAATATGTCACCAAAGAACAGAATATTGTTTTAATTCAATGTCCCAGCATTCCAGTGTTACTTCAGGCAAACTAACATTTCTCCTTCCTAAAAACAGTCAGGATCAATGACAGACGATTCCCATTCACTGCACTTCACAGAAACCTACAACAACCAACAATGGAGCAATGAAGTACCTGAGTTTTTATTTCCATGGAAGTCTGTTTCTGCCACTCTGGAAAATATAAATATATACCATTTCATTTCATGAAATACTATATTATAGTATTTCATTATGTCTCATTAATATATCATGAGATATCGCATTATATCTCATTATAACAATGAGATATTATACAATCTCAATATAATGATAAACTTTCTCATTGTATTGAGATAGTATCTATCTCATGAAGATGATTATAATGCTATAATTATTATTATTATATTGAGATTGTATCTCATTCATACTATATCTCATTATGTAGATATGAGATACGACAATATAATATTTCATTATGAGATAGTAATCACAGTATCCCCCATCCTTTAATCTTCAGCTGCCTTCACAAATTCTCTGTCAGATTCAAGTGTGGAGAGGCTGAGCTGCTCCAAAACGCTCCGTCCTCTTCCTCTACTTGTCTCCAGACAGTATCTGGTGTGATGGTCCATTCACACAGGCGTCCATTTTGGACTCATACTAAAACTAGCGGTTTGAGTCTAATTTTATGTATGCTTATTATTTATCCCTATTATCTTGGTAGATGCATTCCCATGAAAATATGTAAATGAGACTTCTTCCCCCACATACAGCACAGTGTGGAGGCCAGTTGGTTGAATTTCTCTAATGAATGGCCAACAATAAAGAGCACAGTGAGCCTCCCTACTGGTCACTAGTTCTGGGTACTGCAATAAAACTCCACGTTAGTCCTAGAACACAAACACCACTACTGTTCAGAAAAGAACTGGACTTGATGACTGACCACAGTAGAGCGCTGAACAGACTGTGTGGAATCTACAGTTTCTCCTCCTTTTAAAGGCAACCAGTAGGGGGCGCCAAACACCACTCATTACATGACAACTATGAAACCCATTTTAGCAGAATTTAACCTGAACCATTTCAACTATATAACATAAAGATGTGTAAATGTAATTTTTTTAAATTCTCCTAGCAGTTAGCACTGCAGTTAGTATTTTCAGGTCTATGTGCAAGTTGATTTCTATTCCAATATCTGCTCCTTCACCATTTTAATGATCTCTGTTTACTGTGCTGTCAGCAGTTCTGGCTTCTGGCTCACCTGTGAGCCTTCAATCTTCAACATGTTGCCAACTTAATGCCAAGGATTGGTCACCTCCTCCACGTCTTATTCATTGTTTTTAGCTGCACAGTCCGGATCATTCTCTATCTATGTCATTAGTGCTACTGTGTGGCATTTTTCAAACAGCAGGTTGAATTAACATGTTCAGTTCCAGTGGTCTCTATGACATCAGCGGTTATGACATCACTGTGATACAACAAAGGAATCTCTCTCTTGATTGTAGCTCTCAGACAGTGTTTTCTCAGACCTGTTCCACAGCTCTATCGCGACAGATCACTCTACAAAGCACGCTCGAAATTTATCGAAGCTTGGAGGATACTATTACAAATCTTACAAACCTTTCAAACAACCAAGAATTTAATTGATGATAAACATGAACCAACAAGAAGATTTCCCCTCAGCGCTTTCCTGGATGGAGATGATAGAACAAAACATCCAGGTTGACTATGACGCGGTCCTTCATTTTGATGATGAAGAGGAATGCCCCAATGAGACCGAAGACAAACAAACTGAGAGTCCAAGATCATCCGACGACAAGGAGCAAGAATCAGCTTATTACATCTGGGATCTGACGAGGCAGATCGATGACTTGAAAAAAGAGCTGGATGAGGAAAGACAGCAACGGATGGCAAGGGAGAAAGAAGTCCAAGTCCAGCAGGAAGAAATTAAAAACCTCAAGAACTTGTTGGAAAGAGAACGTCGGATGAAGAAAACACCAGCCCAAGAAAGAAACATCAATGGTTCAGACAAAACTGGAGGATCGTTGTTGTCCGTTGTTACTTCAAAAGTAACAACGGACAAAAAAATTCTTCAGGAGCTGGACAACTTTAAGAGGGAGGCAGAGATATATGCCTCCAGAAACAAAGGACTGATAGAAGTTATGATGGATGAATACACAATCAAATTGAAGTATGAAGAACAACTGAAAAACCAATCAGAACATATTTGTAAATTAGAGGAAACAGTCACATCTTTGCAGGCTCTGGTTGGAGACCTGAACAGAAAGTTGGAACTTGATTTAAAAAACAATTCAAAAGTCTCCACCCAACCAAAGGTCCCCCTACGACAAGATGTCCCCCTTCAATCAGATGTCCCACAGCAACAAGATGTCCCCCAGCAACCAGAGGTCCCCCTTCAATCAGATGTCCCCCAGCAACCAGAGGTCCCCCTTCAATCAGATGTCCCCCAGCAACCAGAGGTCCCCCTTCAATCAGATGTCCCCCAGCAACCAGAGGTCCCCCTTCAATCAGATGTCCCCCAGCAACCAGATGTCCCCCAGCAACCACAGGTCCCCTTCAATCAGATGTCCCCCAGCAACCAGAGGTCCCCCTTCAATCAGATGTCCCCCAGCAACCAGAGGTCCCCCTTCAATCAGATGTCCCCCAGCAACAAGATGTCCCCCAGCAACCAGAGGTCCCCCAGCAACGGACCTACAATCAACCGCAGTGGTGCCACGCAAGTCGGGCCTCCAAAAAGCCAGAGAGGTCAGAGGACAAGCGGACATACAACCAACCGCAGTGGCGCCACGTAAGTCGGGCCTCTAAACAACTTGAGAGGTCAGAGGACAAGCGGACATACAACACACCACAGTGGCACCGCTAGACGATTGGTCTCCATGCCACCAACCTCCACTGGTTGCATGGAGGTCCATCATGTTGCCGTTGAAATGAAGGCCAAATGATGCCCGGCTCAGCCTTTTACGCTGAGCCACACCCAGGTGGTACTAGGTGATGTTTCACCAGGTCAGTGCCTTGACACATCTGAAATTTCTAACTCCAAAATCAATGGAGAAAACACAAAGCGGACAAAAACTAACAAAACAAGATACATTTCAGAATGAATGACAGCATCACAAACATTAAAGTTTTAAACCTATAAAATACTCTATAGTATTATATCTCATTACAACAATGAAATATAATTGCGGCACCACTGTGGTTGATATCTCATGATATCAAAATAGTATTATGTCTCAATATAATACAGATTTGTCCATCTGGCCTCTCAATTCCAATACCAAGAGAGGTCAAAGCATTCCAAAAATATCTCAATATATCTCATTGTTTTGAGATATATTGAGATATATTCTGAGCAGTTGTTTCCTGCTATATCTCATTACATAGATATAGCAGGAAGAAACATAGTAATGAGATATAATGATATAATACAATATATTTCATTATGAGATAGTTATCTCAATATGAGATCCTGTGATTACTATCTCATAATGAAATATTATATTGTCGTATCTCATATCTACATGAGATATAGTAATATATCTCATTATAAGAATGAGATACAATCTCAATATAATAATAATAATTATAGCATTATAATCATCTTTATGAGATAGATACTATCTCAATGAAATGAGAAAGTTTATCATTATATTGAGATTGTATAATATCTCAATGTTATAATGAGATATAATGCGATATCTCATTATATATTAATGAGACATAATGACACATTTTGTTCGTCACACACATTCCTAAGTGTTGTTTCATCAGTTTGTTCATACAAAACTTCAGCAATTAACTTCAGAGATTTTTAGTTGAGAAACTGATCAATGTCACTGACAGTGTCTGTATTGACAGCATTGACTTCACAGGATATCAGTTTCTGGGCCAAAGTCTCTCCGATGGTGTATGTGTCTTGCTTTGAGACACTTCTGAGTGACTCTGCACACATTTTCCTCTTCCTGGACTTTGGGGGTCAAATGTCGAAGCTGGAGAATTTTAACCCAGCTCTTTATTTACGGCAGTTCTTTCAGGCAAAGCATTAAACGATCCTCATACCTGAATAATCTGTGGTAGCTTCACTGTCGACATGATATTGCAATGGTAAACATGACTAGATCGCACTTATCTCGTTGGAGGTACACATTCATTGACGTTTATTGTATTTCTAAGCAAATATTCTCCTCTGATTCCATGTCAGATTTATTCTGCATAAACTGCCAGCATAAGAACTGAAGCAGTAAAGTTTAGCAGTTAAGTTAAAACCGTGATGCATTTCGATAAGGTCAGAGACAAAGGAAATTCTTCAGTTCGAACATTTGTTTGCGCTTCAGATTCAACAATGTTTCATAGATGAAGATGGATCCTCATCCTCAAATGACCTTTAATAAAAAGTTAAGCAATCAAAGAATCGCTTCAAATTAAACTAAATAACTCAACCTCCGCATATTGTTACAGACTAAAATATTCATACGTGTTGAAGTTTAAAATTATACTATTATTATTGTTGTTATGCAACCAAAAAAGTTTGTTTTTGACAGGAAATGAGACGTGTCAAAAGGTCATTAAAGAACAAACGGTTCTTTAATGTTTTGTTCAATTTATCCCCTTTTAAAAAAATGTATGAAAACATCTTTATGGGTATTACAGGAATCAAAAACTTTCTTCTGATATTTTGATGATTTATCACTGATGATCAGAATTCTTGTTCTCACAGTCTGACATCATAGCAGAACCAGCACTTCCTGTTTCAGCTCAGGGTCACACAGTCCCTACTGTGAAGCATGGGGGCGGCAGCAACATGGTTCTGATGAGGCAGAGGTTCTGGTTGGATAGAGGGTTGATGGTGTGAAGGACAGCACTGGGTAGAATGGGTGAAGGGTCAGAGTTCAACTGAACTCTATGAATTGAAGTCAATGCACTGTTCTGAAAAAGTATAGCAAGAGAAATCTGTGTGTAGCAGGTTCTTATGTCCTTGTGGGGATCTATTTCTGTCTACAATGAGGGGTTGTGGGGACCACTGCTCCTTGTGGGGACATTTTCTGTGTGTGTGTGTGTGTGTGTGGTTTTAACAGTTTATTAAATGTTGAAAGACGAGTCGTTTTACGATCAATGACCTGCCTTGATGTGAGAAGTTAAAAGTTTTATTGTTATGATCTATTACTACAAGATGCATCCTCCATCCACTATCATGAAGCGTGCGTCACATTTTCAGCCTGCCACCTTCCCTGCCAGGTTGTTACTGTAAATAAGAATTTGGTTAACATGTGAAGTTCATCATTTCTAAAATAACGTGAACAAGCACACAACCGTTTTCAAAACGGATGCTCCTTGGAGGTGCTGCCTCATTTCCAATCAGAAACAAACTTGAATGGACATTTATAATTGAAGGCTGGATTTTTTGCTTCCTCCTGAACTTTAAAAAAACCCTCATAATTATGAATGTGCTGTCTAGTTATTCAAGTATCTCATAAATATGGGATAGCTCAGGGCCGTGCAGAGACTAGTAAAGGGGCAGGTGCTCAAAAAAAAAAAAAAAAGGGCACATCAAATCACATTTCAGGACAGAATATTAACAAAGTCACACAGCTCTCAGAGTTTAATTAACAATGATAGATTATAAAATTGTGAGACATACAATCAAAGAACATCTGCTTGGGTTGCTGTACTTGCAGTGGAGATGAAGACGGTCCATTCAGAAAAGCAGAGCTGCATCAAACTTTAACGTGGAACTGCAGGAAAAAAACAAAAGCAAAAATGTAACTAATGCATGTCACTATGAGAAAATACTACTCTATTTGTGTTTTGGTGTATTTTGTAAGTACCTATGTACATTTTCTTCAATCTTTCCTCTTCTTTTTTTCTTGTCAGTTTCTCTTTTCTTTTTTTTCCTCATTGTCTCATCTTCTCTGTGTTGAGTGAAGTCTTATTTATTTCAGTCTCTTGCCAAATTTCAAACTTTTAAGCATTTTTTGCTGTTTTTGTTCTCTTTTGTTCATTGCAACAGTTTTCTGCTGGTCATGTCTTGAAGAATGTTAATAACCTCACTGTGAATGATTGGTACAGCTGACCCAGTTGGTCAACAATCCACTGCCTTTCTTTTTTGTTTCTGACGTCTCTCTTTACGTGGCGTCTTTGAACTGAAAAAAGCAAAACAAAGAATTATGATGAGAACACTATAATAAACCACACTACCAGTTCTTTACCGTTGTGTTTAAACCAATATGTTTTTCAGTCCATAGCATAACAATATTAATTTCAGAGAAAATGAGACCTCTCCTATGGAGTTCAATTTGTTTCACAATTATTCAATTAAAATACTAACCTCAATTAAATAATATAAAATTGTGATAAAGACATTTTGAATTGTAACATTTTTTTGAACAAAAAAATTTTTAACTTAATTTTTTTTTAAAACTGAAATCACAATTTTTTATCTCATGACTTAAAAAAATTATTTGCAAAACAAACAAACTTCTTTGTGCATGTCAGAAATCTTTGCTTGCTATTCAAAGTTTTGCTTGCGATTCTCAGATGACATCTGGGGAGAGCCTAAAATCAAAACCAAAGATTTCTGATGTGTGCAAATAAAAGTTTATGTTTGCCCCTTCATTAATGACATGCTTTATTGGACAGAAACAGTTTGATTATTACATACATTTAGCTATCATGGTAGTTCAGGATGAGTTATTTTTAATTCTAAATGAATATCCTTGTTGGACTTTTATTTAAATTCTCCTTCAAGATACATTTACCTAACGCTAGAATAAATGCAATATACATCATTCACCAAAGAAAATTAGAAAATCGGACATATATTCATTATGGAGATGATAGGTTTTGGACTGGCGATGTGGCCCTATTGCATAAATAATACCGAAGAATGACTGCTGTCATTAACAATACAGGGAAGCTATTTAGTTACCTTGCTTTGCTAGCAAAATCATTAGCTAGCAGCTAGCTCATAGCACAACAACAGCCTAATGTCTGATGATAAAAATACTGGATCGATAGATAAGAACAGCTTTTCCTCACCTGTCTGTCTCCTCCCGCTCAGTTTATTCAGAGAAAGGCGGACTTAGAGACTTATATTCTCTAAGACGCCTGTCTTGTTATATTTCATTTCTGCTTAAACCGCGACTCCGTGCTGAAGGAGAAACGATACAACATTTAACGTTTTCCGTTATCTGACAGTAGCAAGCCGACTCCAGTGTTTTCACCAAAAATAATTTTTTTCAGTTCACCAAAAGCTGTTTTGTAATCTGGAACGTCGCTAGCTTGAGCTCCGCAGTTAGCCGCTTTATCTCACGGCGGGAGAGGCAAGTGCGTCGTGCGTCACGGGCAAAAGGTCAAAGGTAACAATGTGACCGGAGGGCTTATTGTGTTGTTTTTCTTGCAAAGTAATAATAATAATAATAGTAATAATAGTAATATAGTAATAATTGTAGTACATGTGTAAGGAAAAAACAAAAACAAAAGGGCACTTGGGGCCATGGAGCAAAAGGGGCAGGTGCTCAAGCCCCAAAGCTCCCCCCACTGCACGCGCCTGGGATAGCTATCTCTGACACGTCCTGGTCGACGAGCAGGTACAACAGGGTTATGACAGGTTGGTCTTGTAGCAGGAGGGTCGCTGGTTCGAGGCCCGCTACGGTCCGTGACGAAAGACTAACTTAGAGCCGAAAAATGAAATTTCCAGCGCGAACTTACTATCCACAAAAATGATAGGTCACAGAAGTATCTGTAGAACCTGTAAAATGAAGCTAAGCCAGCTTTATTTGTAACACGACTGTGTTTAGGACCCGGCGGAAGCACGGAGCGGAGGCGTCTCCGGGCCTCCGTAGCGCTCGCTGCGCATCTGGAGAGGAGGTTCTGTCAGGCCGGGGGTGGTGGTGGAGGACGGGGGCGAAAGAGGAAGGAGGCTCCGGGAGCAAGCGAGACAAAAAAAAAAGGGTCAGCCCTGGGACTTGGGAAAACTGGGTAACGAACACACGGTGATTCACGCTTTTTCTCGAGACGCGTCGAAGCCGGTGACCGCGCAGGAAGGGTAACCTTTACGAACCAAAAAAAAAAAAAAAAAACAGAGCGGAAGGCGCTCGGTGGAAACGGGGAAATAGCGAAATGTGTGTGTGTGTAGGGAGGGGGGTCGCTTTCCTTGCGTAGGATGCTCACTGGAGACGCAGGGGTGAACTTGACCGTAATTTGGACCGCAGGACCGGCTTCGCGTTTCCAGAGCGACACCGCGGACGCGAGCGGAGATAACGGGGGATTTTACCCTTCAGCAGCAGCCGTGGCCCGTCACACGGCCACCGTCCCCCGGGTCGCGCCGCAGACTCCCCATGCTGCAGGAGATGTCTAAAACTTTGCGATCGTAAGAGATAGCCACCAGAAATTCAGATGCCAACCCTCCCCCCCCCCCCCACGCGCGATCGCTTATGTGGAAGCATGTGGCTTTAGATGTGAGGCTCATTAGGAGCCACTAGTGACCCCCAAATCAGCAAAAAAAAAAAAAAAAAACCATCTCACAGCACATTGTTTGGCTGCAGAAAGAGCTGAGTGGCTTATAAATAACATTTCAGACGATTGATCGTTTTGAATTGGTCCACCACATGACATGAAGGTGGCTATTCTTTATTAGAAATAAATAAATAAATCCCATTTCCACCAGAGCGACAGCGAGCTCCGGGTGTGCGCGCACTGCAGGCTGCTGGAGCAGTAACTTCAGCCCCATGTGCAGATGAAATATTAATGCACAGAAATACTCGCGACGTCCTGATGATTCCGCGGCGTTAAACGGTGCACATCCTGAGCGGCCCCGGCCATTCAGCGAGGACTGCAGCCCGGCCGCTCTGTGCGTGTGGCGCTGGACGGGCCTGCAGGCTATAGTCGCCATACAGTATGTCTATAGACGCCTGTGAGGTTCCTATAGCTGCGTGACGTGAACTCGACAAAGAGAAATCTGAGTCTCAGAGTGAAGCCAAGTTGAAGTGAGGAAATATGCAAGTGTGTCAGGGGGGCAGGGGGACGGGGGGCTGCTGCGGCTCCTCATGTTCTAATGCTGCGACACTAATGGAAAAGTTGACAAGATTTTGGCTTTAGAGTGAGAAAACTTTAAAAAAAATAAATAAATAAAATAAAAATAAATGAATTAGTTTTGCAGAAAAAAAAATGGGTCACAGTGCAAGCTTTGTGTGTGTGAGAGTGTGTGTGATTATTGTTAGAAATGCACCGATCGAGCTTCTTTTCCGGCTGGTTCCGATTTTCGGTTTTCTACCTGCTGATTCCGGTTTACGTCGACTCCATATTTTTAATATAAAAAAGAGCGAGAGAGAGTGAAAAAAAAAATCTGAATCGATTTCATTTCTAAACGCATCAACCAGAAAGTGAAGAAGCCGGTGGCAGACTTTGCCTTTCTTCGCTGTTTGGAGTTGCACCGATCCGAGGCAAAAAAAATTTGACGCGAGGTTGTTGCATCTCTAAGAAAGTGACGCTACAATCTCATGCGAATGTGGACTTTTCCCAGCTTTACATTTCCTTGCACCCTGAACACAACCCCACTTTTTACAGGTACTGGTCCACTCAGTAACCTGCCAGACGAACACACAGTCTCACTCCATCTCTGCTGGGACGCATTTCAATTTATTCACTAGTAAATAGAGGCCTGAAAATTCACGTTTCCCACCTAAACCGTCTTGACTCATCATCCACTGATCACAATACTTGGCGCTTCTTTCATTTAAGCTGACTCTAATAAACTCCTTGTCATCTTTTTTTTTTGTCTCCCTCTATTCTAGGAGAGAAGAGAAGAAGGGTCATCTCTAATTTCATCTTATTTTTTTCGGGTTCCTTTTTGAAGTTCATTCTCACTGGAAACTGCCCCCCACCGCCACGCACCCCTCCAATCTCACCGCCATTTATTTGACATCTGCCCCCCTTGGGTCCCCCACCACAAGCCTGTAAGACTCAACAATGCCATCCAACACTGTCACCAACTCCAACTCCACCTCATGCAAAGGCTCGGATTTCGTGGATTCACCCGGAAACAGAATGGTGAGAAGCGGCCGTGATCGATACCGTGTTTGCAGCTGTTGGCTTTTGCAAAAGTACAAACAGGCACGGAGACATTTGTAGATCAGAAGAGGCGCTCGGGAGAGTCCGTTCCCCGCCTCCCGTTCGCACGCTCATAAAGTGCAGGCGATACTTTGCTGGCAGATAATCAGTTATCAAGTAAAATGACAGATTTTATCGCGTCGCTCCTGAGATATTGCGCAGATAAATCCCCGACATTGGGAAATGATCGAGAGACTCCTAAAAGGTGGACGAATCCAACACCCTGCGGCGCGGAACGTCCCTCCTGTTCTGATAGCCGGCTGATACCTGCAGCATCAGCTCTGCGCCGAGCCCGCGGCGTCACCGGATAACGTGACGCCTGCAGGCGCAATGGTGGCGGCCGACGTGGGCGTTGGCTGCCGTGGGCTCAGTCAGAGCTGGAACGACTCCACAGCTCTCTTCCACCGGAGCGAGGTGGTGGGATGGGGGGGAGGAAGAGGAGGGGATGTCCTCTTCCTCCCATGTTCCCATTACACAGCGCTGCCCTTCATCTAGTTGCCTGGCAACAGACGTTGCCTTTAAATACCCGGCTACCCAGACGGGAAGCGGCGCGGAGACGTCGACGCCGTGGCGGGGTTCACTCCAGGGCGAGACCAAATTGCGTTGTAGGCTTCTTTCTATTTTTGTATGATTTATTATTATTATTATTGTTGTTGTTGTTTTTTTAATTAAAAAGAAAATGTTTGCAGGGCAGAGAGACAGTATTCTGATTTGGCTCAGTTGGTGTCTGCTCTTCCTGCCTCAAACAAGATCATGCGATCCACGAAAAGTGGCTCCCAAATGAGCCTGCACACCAGGCTGCACTCAAAACATGCTATTATCTATGCAAATGCTGCTGCCCCGGTAGGGAGATAGAAAAAAAAAAAAAAAAAAACTGAAGCACCAGGCACTCTATTAGAAATCACACAATAAACTGAAAACATTTGGAAAGCACATGCAGACCAACCCCTAATCGCACGAGGCCAGAGGTCTAAAGACCTGCTGGGAATGGCTGCATTACTCTCTGGAATAGGTAGATTTCCTTTCATTCCTACCGATTGCAACACGCAGCAGCATCAGTCAGTCTGATCATCACACGCACGTCTTTATGTTAATTAGTTTATCCCCTTGGGACTGTCACGGCTGATGGATTCATCTCATTTCAGCGGCACAACGTCGTCAGGCTGCAAAGCGGCTTGACTTTTAAAAATCGCCCCGCGTGCATAAAAACCAGTTCGACGAGTGAAAGAAAAAAGTGTTTTGTCTGGACCCCTCACTGTGTCTCCTCAAGAAGTGTTTTTTTTTAATTTTTGCCTTCCAACTCAGGTGGAACGAGATAATAGTGTGAAGCATCATAACGACTGGTCAAATTTGCATTTCATTTCCAAAGCTAAACATAAACCTGTCTATACATTACCAGTCATGCTCAACTCTGATCGCCATGGACATATTTAAAAGTAGTAATGTGGAAGTAACGCAATTGCTAGTCAATAATAATATTGTTTAAAACCACGCAACACGCCTGTTTTTACTTTTATTCTTTTTTTGTTGTATTTCATAGACGAGACTTTCATGCAAATGTGCAAAAACGTCATTTTTGAGCAGAAACGTTTGGCTCCAGGCGCGTTCTGGACTGGGAAAAACGCCGCCTCCTGTTTGCTGGCTGCTCCGGCCCAGCGGCCATTCATTGATCTGATCAGCTCAGACTTTCTGTGATGCCGACAGATGTTGTTCTGTGACAGACAAAGGTGGCAGATTCCTCGTCTGATCACCTGCAAAATGTGATCGGACGCTGCAAAGGATTTCTCTTATTCTTTCCCAGACCTATCGATAATTGATCCCAAAACTGTAAGGTGGTCTCATGTCTAAGAATACGTTTTGTACAACCCTTTAAATCCAATTTTCTTATTGTTTGTCTTATATTTTTTAGGAATGTTAGGGAGTTCGTATTTGTTAACAAAACATGAGGGATGCACTTGATCTTAGCAACAACAGAAGAAAAAATAAAATCTCCCTAAGGCTTTTTGAGTTGCTATTCTGGGGCTTTTTGTTCAGCTCACTTGATGAAGAGCTAGATCAACTAATGTGACAAGTTAGTAAAGTCAGGAAACCAGAGTTCTCGGCTTCTGTTTCTGCAGGACGGTAAACATCGGCCTCTGAGAGCTTTTCTTCCTGGATCGCCTTTTATTTAGCTCAACTCTTTGCAGTCGTGATCTCATTTTACCGGAGCGCCTTCTTCTTGATCAGGGGCGTCAAAACTTCATTCTCATTTTGCCCAATGTCAAGGTCATGAGCCAAAGGGCCGGTGGTGGCAGAAGATGCTAACAAACTGCTAACGTATTAATAAATAGCTGTCTTTGCATTTGCTAAGTACTTTTTAATTAAAGTGATATTGAACAACTTTTCACACGTGTGAGTCGCGCTTCAAATTTGTGACTTATTTGCAGTTAAAGTAATAAATTTTGTGGAGCTACTTTAGAAATATTTGTGAGAGATGTCCTCCTGCAACAATGGCTGAAGTAATTTTTTGTAAAATATTTTTTGGTTAAAAAAAAATGAATAAAATTTTTTGGGCAGAAACGATAATTTAGACAAAAAAAAAACACTTGGCAAGAAATGACAGGGTGCTAGTTTACAGACGTGACAATATGACAGTAAATGTGACTTTTTGTTACTTAGGGTCAAGTAAGCTGAGTGGCAGAAGTAAGAAACAAAAAAGTGTGGGCATTTGTTGATTTTGTGCAAATTTCGTGGAATCAAATCAAAGCAAAAGCTGCTTTTCTTCTTTCCTGTTTTGCTGTGTGCTAAAAGGCCAGTTTTGCTCTACTAGTTGTTGTCCTGTTCACAGACTCTCCCACTTTAGCCGGCCGCTTCAGCTCTCCATCCCCCCACCGCCCCGCAGTCGCTCCTATTTGCATTCGGACTTGGCGCTGGCGTTCCCTTTCAGTCAATACCGAACTCAAAGCCTCGACATCACGGCCGTCCTTTCTCTCGTCGGCCTCGGAGCTGCCGACGTAGAGCTTTGTTCTCGCGGGTTGACAGTTTGTATTAATCAAAGGGAAATTGCAGCAGGGGGCACATGGGGGGCAGGTCAGCGTGTTTGTAATGGTGTCAAGAGCCAATTGTCTTGAAGGTCAGCGCCGCATTCGCAGAGCTTTCACTCCGGCCTGACTCAAGAGAGCATGTCATTGGGTTTCTATCTGTCTCATTGTCGGCTAAAGGCGGTCCGTGACCTGCTGCACTTTCCTCTAATGTGCAAGTTGCTTTTTTTTTTTCTGCTGCACTTCTGCTGCTGTGCTTGGAGTGCATTTGCTTTGCTGACTTCTGCTACATTTAAGGACAAAAGGTGATTTCAAAGAATATGTTTTCTTTACTAGCCAGTGTTAATAGGTCATTTTCTCTCAACAGGGTGAGAGCGTATTACTGGACGTGGGACAAATGAAGGAGCCCAGGTCAACATTTAGTAGTGCCTCCTTTAAAGTTGGAAAACCCAGCAGGAAGCGTAAGCAGTTCCCAGTGAGTATTGATCCGACACGTTGGAAAATGACCATGACATCCTGAATGCAGGCCAGTTTTGGTGTCATTTGACCACAACGTCTTTATCCACAAATTTGCTGCTTCCCCTAGAGGGCATTTGGCAAACTGCGGCTATGTCTGGTTTAAGCAATATCTGTCCAACTTCAAACAATATCCACCCAGAGGTTTCACAATAAAAGCACACCAGTTGCACAAGAAGTACATATTTTTTTCAGTCAGGGTCTAAACTATGTCCCTTGTTTCCTAAAGTGGGCTTAAATTATTATTTTTTCATTAAATGTGGGAGAGATTTAGCCAACTAAGGTCTGATAAAGAAACTATATTCTCTCTTGTTGTAAATGTTTGACTGAAGGATAATTTTCTTGGTTCCAAAAACAAAAATGAAATAAATTGTGGGTCATTTGTTGACAGATTTGTGTCTTGTATAATCAAAAGCAAACAAAAAAAAAGGTGTCCAAAGCTCGAGACGTTGCTTCATAATCTCTATACTTTTTAATGTTGGTACTTGTTCTCTAATGTTCTCTAACAAACATTTGAGGCCTTAACAGAACAGATGTGTTTATTTCGCGATGAGAAGTCGTCATATCGAGTCATCGCTTGTCGTCCGACGTCGTTGCTGCAAAAGTAAAGGGGGGCGGAGTGCAAACCCATGCCACTGTTTTTAGATTTTACAAACATTTTTGAAAACCATGTATACTTTTCCTCCTGCTTCACAGTCATGCACCACCTTGTGTCGGCCTACCACATGAAACCCAATAAAAACGATTGTGGTTTGTGGTTATAATGTGACAAAATGGGGAGAAAAGTGTGAGAGGGAAAACTTTTGCTAAATTTGTGGCGGTAGCCTGCAGCAATGGCAGAGTTTTGCCCTGCATTTGCCTGTCTGAGCCGTTTCTGCTTCAGTCGGCATGTCTGTTCTGATTGAAGGCAGCTTGTCCCCAGCACTGAAACCATTTTGGATTCATTACTTATTCCTCCTCTGGACAGAAAAGCAAAAAAAAAAAAAACTTCGGGAGATTAAATGACGCACAGTCTCTCCTTCTGACCCCACCCTAAGCACTTCCATTGTTATAAACATGCAAATGGGGGCGGAAGAAAAGACAGCGGTCAAGTTGGGACACACTACTGTGATCACAGCAGCATCAGGAAACGGTTTCAGCCAATCGGACAAGAGCTGGGCCTTCATGACCAGCGGTGATCACATCCAGGAACCATGCTGTTATAAGTTAGGTCAAGAAAACCATTATGAACCATTATTATGAAGGCAAACTTCAGAATGAACTTTTGTGGAGTTTGTTTTCCAAGACGGCACTTAGCAAACATAAAAGTGTTGATAACACTTATACTTTTATAACCTACCCTTCCTGGACATGCATAGATACCACTAAACTTTGACATGCATGGCTTTCCAGCTAGTGGGAGGACCGACTTCAGTGTTTTGAGTTGTTATCCTTCTCTGAATGACCCAGTTCATACCAACAGGAACTAGTCCAACTCTTGATACTATCAGGAGAACTAAAAATAAGCGATCAGACGGTCATTAGTAAGGAAATGGTCAATAATTCCTTTGATTGGTTCTGACCTAAAATCCCTGGGAAAACGACAAAAAAATCTGAATTTTTCTGGTTCATTAAACGTTTCAGAAGGAAACACTCCCTTCTTTTTTTGGGCTGTACTCACGTCAATGAACAGCAAAGGTTTTTGACTTTTTGTTGAGCTGAACCAAAGTCCAAAATGTCCAAACTGCAACATTGGTGTCATATCTGTAAACTCGTACATGTACTCGACTCCTTGTTCACGCGATGTGATGCTTCAGTTGCCTGGTCATTCACAGTGCTAATAGTATGAATTTTGCTGTGCCCACAGTTCATTTAGCATTGGAGACAACACCATGGAATTGGAGCACTGTCAAACCCAACCCATGAAAACTCAAACTTTAAACAATCGTGATCATGCCTCCTTTTTCTTTTCTTCTTCTTATTTTGTTTGTCTCAGACTGCATACTCATTGTAGCTTTATCCATTCTGTCTCTTGCATCGGCTTGATTAAGTTAACTTCTGGTTAATTGTTTTCCTGAAGTCACTGCAACCATTTGTTGTTTGAATAATTAAAGGCAGCAATTGAACCTTTGTGTCCTCAGCTGGTGATGTTGCTTTGCTTTAATGTTTGAGGAGGATTCCCGTGTCCAAACCACTTTTTGCCTCTCTTTGCCTGCTAGTTCAGTTCAACATAAATCCAGACTGCTGGCATACATTTTGGATGTAAAGTAGGGTTGTTTTTTGTCCACCAGATACAGAAAGGTATGTTAAATCTTTTTGCTAAGCCAAAAGGTTTGGTTGAATTTAGTGTATAACGTGGAACATTGTTCTCTCAAATGACATAGAGAGCTGTGAAAATTGATTTGCCCAACCACCCAGAGGTCGTCTTAGGTTACAGATCCTAAACCTGAGTTGAGGAGCTACAGTTAAGGGAAAAACAATCCAAACTAACCAGGCCCAGTGTGAAAACCCTTGGTTGCAAAAGGTGACATCAAGTGTTCTTGGTAACCGAGTTTGAGATTTTTGACATCACGAAGGAGTGACCTTTGCCACATTGCAGGGATTTCTGTTAAAGGCCAGGCCACAGTTTTTCTTCTGAATGTAAGTCCTGACTTTGACTAGACCACTTTAAAACCTTCATTTTGGTGCTTTTTTAAGTTACATTTTGGGCCATTTAGTGTTGGTTCTAGTTGATCTATGAATCTCTGCTTCTCTGCATAACCCAAGTGTGCTTGAGTTTAAGATCACAGACGGATGGCTGCACATTTTCCTCCTGAATTTTCTGGTGAAAAGTGGAAAAGTGGACCATCAAGTACGGCAAATCATCAATCCCAAAACATCAAGTAGTCCTGAAAAAGTTCAAATTTTGTCTCTTTGGTTCAAAAGTCTAAAAGTCTTTGTGAAGTCAATTTTCTTCCGATTTGTTTTTGATTTATAAAGCATTTGTAACATATTGACTTGACTGTGCTGTAAAACATTATTATATATCTGGAAAATGCGGAACATCCCATTTAATGAGCTACTACACTGAAGTGTGACAAAAAAACAGCCAAAAAAGAAATGTCTAACTTTACATTTTATCCAGAATATTATTTACTGCCTCGTTTTAAAGCTAACAGGCTGCTGTGCATTATGTAGGATTATCAGTTTAGTGTCTGACCGCTGTCTGCCTGTCTGGGCTGTCTGATTTACCAAGCGGGACCTCTGGCCGCGTCCACATGTGGTTCACTGGGTCACTCGTCGGTTGCGTAATGCTTTTGGCAGCAGTTGCCAAACATGTTTGCTCTCGCACTCTTTTGCCTGTGTTTGCCTTCGTTACTGCGAGCAAGTCAGAACATCAATAATCCCGGAGCGGAGGCTTTGTTTCTGTCACTCACCCTGTCCGGCTGAGTCACTGGCAGGCTGCTCCTCGTTTGACTCGTTCGGTTTATGGATAATTTGTCCGATGAGATCACGCAGACCTCCGCAGCCTGAGAGGGATTCCTTACAGCCGGCCGCGTTTCGTTGTGGCTTTGTCTTTACTCGACGTTACAGCTCCGACAGAAGTCTATTTCTGCATGATTTGTTTTGCATCCAGGATGCCATTCAGAGCAGATATTTCAAGATGTCTATCTCTGACCAACTGTATGGTCAGAGTAAACAAGTCATGTGTTTTAAAGGCAACAGCAAGAACACATTGGATTCATACCCCCTGAGATAAAACAAAAGCAAAACCATCAAAAACTTGAATGTACTTTACAATGGTTCAAACTGGAAAGATGAGGGTAAATGACATATGGTTTTCAAAGTTTTTCACAAATAGTCATTTATAAATGGTGACGTGCTGTTGGATTCAATCCACCAACTCAACAGTTCAAGCTGCCTTTCACTGGATTTTCAGCTGCAGGTTTTCACCTTTTGGGTCTAAAAGATTTCACAGGGTCTGAGCTTCAGTCATATGGAACCTTAGAAATATTGGATGCACGGACGGCCATTCCTAAAAGTTCTCCAGGTTACACTACGAAGTAGCGGTGCACCGACTGCAGTTTTCTGGCCGGTCGCCGATTACAGATCTTTAAAAAGCCTGATCTGCCGATTCCGATTTTGGCCAACTTGTTTTGTCTGAAATGCCACTGAATATTGCAAGAAAGTCATTAAGTTGGAAACAATGGAGTGAATATTGCCTACTGCAAACGTGCAGACCCGACCCGGTGGGCTCGTGTCGATGGCAATAAGACAAGATCGGCTTCACTTTAAGAATTCATAAACTTTAACTCGGAGAATCAACATCTAATTTTATCAGAATCCAGAGAGTTTATAAATTTTTATTCTTATTATACATGGGTAACAATATGTAGTTTTATACTTCTATTTTGTTTGTATTTTCTTTGACTCATGTGAAGCACTTTGAATCACCTTGTTGCTGAAATGTGCTATACAAATAAAATGACCTATCGTCTCTAGTATCGGCCAATTTCCCAAAGTTAAGGAAATTGGAGCTGATAAATCGGTGCACTTCTGCTTTACAAGTTTTGAAAAGCCTCTCTTCATCCAACAGAAAAGGAAGGGACTCTGTTGGAAACAGGATTCTTTTTTAGCAGCGACGATGAGCAAACCGATGCCCCACACTCTTCACAATTACTCACCACTTTGTGTTGGTCTCTCGTTACAAATCCCTTGCAAATGCATTATAGGTTGTGATTACATCGTGAGGGGGCGTAAATACTTGTGTATGACCAGGCCTGTCACAGGAAGCAATTCATTAATTGATTGCATGATAAATGAAAGCAAGCTCGATTTCCATTTTCCACTTGCTTGATTTGTCGCTTTTTCTCTTCAGTCTACGTCTTCAGTCTGGCGCATTGGTGAAAACTAACTCTAGTTCTGAGTTTTGTTCACAAAACTCTTCATAACTTATTTGTTGTTTTGGTTATTTATTTTGGATATTTAAAACGTCTTCCAGTTGGAGCATTAAATGTTCATTAGGATTTGTAGTTTATTCATCTTTGAAAGGCTGTTCTGGCATCATCATGCCATTATCATCATATTACGGCAAATTGCTCTCAAAACAACAATAATATTGCTCATCACAACGACGTCTGGGGAAATTGGCTATCGTGACAGGCCTGTATATGACATCCAAATAATGCTTCACAGCCGGAGAGACGTTATTACACACTGGAAATCATGTCAGCTGCAAACAGGTCAGCACCTCTTGAATGAAGTCCTCTTTTATGGAGCGAAACCAGGAGGACAGAGGGAAAATTTTCTCCAGGAAAAGCCAACATTCCTGGCATAGTTCTGTGCTGCTGTAACACACAACTTCCCTTCTCGCTTGTAAGTTAGTGGTTGCATGGCAGCTTTCTTGTCCCAGCTTTGAACCTGGGAGTTGAGGGAGGTTTGATGGGGATTGCTGAAACTCGCAGATTCACATGCCAACAGGTTGAACTCATGACATTTTTGTTTGTTTTTTTATGTCCGATATCCTCCTAAACGCAGAGGTTCACATTTCGCCCTCCTTCGTCCCGTTTCGCCTGCAGGTCGAGAGCTGCGGATCCATCACGGGCTGCGCGAGCGTTTGCAGCAGTTACCTCGAGCTGTGCCGGCCGTCCATATCGCAAGTCTACAACGGAGAGACCGACTCGCGCGGAGACAAGACGCCCGACGCCTGCCTCCCCAGACAGGAGAAGCGGGAAGTAGAGAATGGAATTCCCAGATGTCCGTCCTCCTACCAGGAGGAGGATGGCTCCCAGGGTCAGAGCCCCAGTCCCTCCCAGGAGAACGGCTTCCTGTCCAGCCAGGAGGAGCGGGAGCTGGAGAAAGACAAGGACGACGGCCTGATGATGCCGCGCAAGAAAAGAGGGAGGCGGAAACTGGAGCGCCCAACGAAGTGTGAGTTCTCGTTCACAAAAAGGAATCATCTAGAAATGAGAGTAGCATCACGTGCAGGTTCCTGTTAGCGGCAATGCCAGAAGTGTCAGATCTACACATTTACAAGAAAGGTACCAGAAAGAAAAGAACACAGGAGTGCATAAAAACTTAGGAGGTGTTCCTGACGTTGCTTCTGGGATGCTATAAAATTTTATTGGTTTTTCGCTGTCATGGGAAATGTTTGCTGTTTAGAGTGATCCAAAGTTTCATTTGGCTACATTAACTCAGATAAAATAAATAACTACTTCCAGCAAAATCACTGCTGGTTTTGGAACCAACGCTGTGAACTCTTTCTGCATCCGTCTAAAGCTGAGAAGAAAACTCTCAGTCTGTGTCATACAGATCCTTCTGCTCTCTTCTCTTCTGTAGGATTTATGTCTGACGACAGAGGTGGATTTGTGACAGTTGAATTATTTTTTTGCTGATTTGTCTTTATTTTTCGGATCAGTTTTCCTGTAGAGTCCACACTTTGGTTCACTCTAACTAGTGCCTTTGGGTTTAAAATTACCCCACAGCATCACAGATCCTCCACCGTGCATGTTACTTTTCCATTTTCTTGCTCTCTAAAATGTTTGTTGCAGAATAAACTAGCTCTAGTCTGATCCAGCCAAAGCCCCAGAAAACTCCACATGCTCGAGACAATGTGCGATGGTTGCTGTGGAGACCTGGTGATCCTAAATTTGCTGGCGGAGTGCGTCGTCGGCCCGCCGCTCCCTCGGCCACGTGTCTCCCTTGTCGCTCCAGAGGGCCTCTGAGACGTCGGCTGAATGGGAGCGTGGTAAATAAACGTAGGGGAGGAGCAGCCGCCGCCCTGGCAGCGGGCCTCCTCCGCGGGCTGGCGGATCCCAGGCGACGGCCGTGCCGGCTGGATGACGTCGTAGCCAGAACTCCTCGCAAACTGAGTCTGCACTTCTTCCTCACCTGATTTGTGGTTCTCGGGGCTTGTTGCGTCTCGCTCGGGCAAAACCCCGGGATAACCCGGTTGCTTTAGCAGTCCCAGTGTCTCCCATGAAACAACTGTTCTTTTATTTCTGCACATCTATCCAAATGCGTAGCGTTTTGGTTTTTTATTTTGAGGTTGTTTTTTTTATCACACGGGGTTGAATCGGTGCCAGTAGGGTGTTTATACATTTTCCTTTATAAGCAAAAAGTTGATTTATTCTGACTGGCTGGGAACGAGGCTTTGGTTTTTGTTGCTCAGGAAGTAAGCAGCCGCATTATTTGCACACTAATTACTCGGGTTTGAGTCTACAAAACTTTATGGAAGGAGAAAGTAAAACTCTGGCATGCGTGTTGTTTTTACAGCAGCACTGTACTCGCAACTGGTGAAAAATACGTTCCAACAGAAAGATATTGTTTTAAATAATAGAAAAAGACCCAATCAATAACTATTAGCAGTGCAGAAGAAAATATAGAAGGATTGAACTGAGTAATTTCTTTTCTTTTTATTGTTGGACGCTAGTTTGGAGGAGAAACCACAGCTGATTATAAAAAGAGTTGTTCAGAAGTGGAAAAAGTTTTTAGTATTTCACGATCCCTGCCACAGAACGAAATTTAAAACTAAATGTAGCTTCATACAAGTCGTTTAAAATACGTCACAAAACCATAATAAACCTCTTGAATGTTTTCACATTATGTGCTACAACCACAAACGTCCATATAAAATTTTGGGGATTTATATGATAGAAAAATACGAAGTAGAACAGATTTGTGAGTTGAAAGGATAATTAAATATTACTTTTAGCAGTTTTCACTACCACTTTTGCTCGGGTTACAGCTGGATATTTATCTATGCCTGACATTTTTGACAATACGTCTTGCAGAATAGCTTCAGCTCAGTCTGATTGGACAGAAATGGAGTTTGTGGACATCAACTTTAGATCTCTCCTCAGATTTTCGGTGGGATTTTTGACTGAAACATGAATATTTGCTAATCTAATCTCTTACATAGTAACTCTTGACTGCCACTCTCCAGTCTCTATTGCAACCTGCAGCTGCTGTTAAAAAAACTGAATTCATAATTTTTCTTGCACCAAGTTATTGTGTTATTGTGAATAATCTAAATAACAGATTGAGTATCTTACCAACAAAAGTTGAAAATTCTCTCACATTTTGCCAATATATAACTGAATTTAATTGAAAATTTTGACATTTTCCCCTACACTTGTTCTGCGGCGTAATACCTAAAAGGAGAGCGGATTAAATAAAAATCATAAGCATGCTGTTTAAAACATATTCATTAAATCAGCTTGTGGTTTTGTACATTCTCACATTGTCCTTATGTCTTTGACGGAGGGCTGCAAAAACAGATTGAGAAGTGGGGCTTATGTCAAAGGCAGGTACCGAGTAATCTGCGGTGAAAGACTTAAAAAGCTGTCAGAAAGCAGATCTGAGGCGGCATAATGAGCCTTAGAGCCAAAGCAGCAACTTCTATGTACAGTTTGTCAAATATGGGCTTTGAATGCTTTAAAGGCATCCCAACTTGAAATGCAGATTAACTTCATCACAAGGGAAAATATGTAGTAACCTGTTAGTAAATGTCGAGTCAGTGAGATCTGAACTTTAGGATAGCGTTAGCTATGCTTCCACTGCTTGAAATGTGCCACAAACTGCGTCGTTTCAGCAGCAACTAATTTTACTAATCAACAAAGCAGGAACAGGCCGGAAATAACGGACAATAAAGTGTTGGTACAGTTACGACTGGAGCGCAGAGAGCTTGGCAGAGGACGCGGACGCCTGGATCGATATTGAGCTAAGCAGGGTTTGTGTTATCCATCTGGAGGGCACAGGAAGGATTTTAGCTCCGTCTGGAGTGTGCAAGTGAGCTCCGGTAATGCTAAAGCTGGAACCCACTCAAGCTGGCAAGGTATACTCTCTCTGGGCATCGTGGGCCGGCTCCTCTCACAAACCCGGTGACCTTGGCTCTCTGCATGCCTCAGCAATTTGTTATAGAGTCACTTATTCCTGAGGATCACAACGAAAGCAGTGCATAGGGGGGAGGCTGGAGGTCCAGCCACACGTGGAACAATCTTGAAGAGGCTGCTAAGAGAGAAGACTTCTGCTTGGACGGGTCTCTAGGAGAACTTGCCATCAAGTGTTGTCCCCTCCCAATTCACACTCTCCCCTCCTCAGGGACCAAGTGCCAACACAGTGCTGTAGAATCAACTGTTTACTCATTCTGTGCCATCTTGCTAATTTCAGAGCCAGCTGCTTCATAAGACGTGTGTGTTGTGTGGCAGGGGTAATGCGGTATCAAAGAGCCTGGGGACTTTTAGAAGGACTGTGAAACTAATACCAGATATGTTGGCAGGCGCTTCTGTGATAAAGCTAAATTTGGCTTCCTCGTGTTGTCATCTGATTGTGAGATGGAGGGGGAAAAAAAACAACACTTCATTAATCACTACAGCAGCGCTAGTGTTTCGGTCATCATCGCTCTCTTATGAACTCCATCAGCGCTTGGTTAGACACAGACAAACAATGCTTTTCAGGAATAAATAACATGCGCGTGTTGTTATTGCAGACATCAGTACCATGGCCAAGTTGGAGGGAAGTCCAACTGGAGCGTTTACTGTGCTTGAGTCAGTTTTATTAGGCTGCGGTTTGAGGGCCCCTCGACGCTGGGCTATTTTTGTCGGCTATTTACTCGGCTGCTGAAGTTCTCACTTCAGGTTGTGCAACTTCCTCTGAGTGTATCTGCGGCCATTTCTTCCTGTGCGTGGCGCCGACAGCATCGCCACCCTCCTCTGCATCATTCGTTCATTCACCTGTGGACGAATAGTGTTAGGGTGTTTGGATGGCATCGTCTGCTGATCTGTTTATTGGTCAAACTTTACACAAACTGCACTTATTAGAATGATGTGGTCAATTTTTTGGGCGGGGGGTTTGTACAGTTTTGACCTGCCAAAGTCAATTTTATCAGATTTTGATTAAACTTTCAGAACTATAAGATATAAAAACTGCATTTGATAGGAATTTCTTTAAGCTTAGGATTAGCGGTCTTCTTAGCGTTTCCTATAGCTGTTCACATGGTTAACTCAGCATTACTAAAAAAAGCAGGTTATATGCTCTAGAGCAGACTCTGTTCACTTCTGCGTCTGTTAAAGAACATATTTGTCATGAGAAACCTACATGAACCTTCAAGAAAATATTGTTTATACCTCCTAAAGACAATTTGTTGGGTTTTGTTGCTAAAAATCTTTCAATTTATGCCTATTTTTAAGTTTTAGAAGAAATAAAATATATATAACTTTTGCAAAGAGTGAAATATTTATATATATTAAAAATAGGTAGATTGTGAATGAAAATATATTTTAAAAATTAGCTAAAATGTGCTTTTTTTAATTGTTTTGTATTGAAAAACATTGCTATGGTCAATATGAGTTTTGGCTAAAGTTACAGTCATAGTGAGAAAAGAGTTTCTCACTATGACTGTGTTGCAGTTTCTCTAAATGTTTTTTTTTTCTTTCTTTTTTTATTTGCTGTGGCATGTGTCACACTGTTTGAATTGAAAATGGAAACAAAGTATAATCTTTATAACCCAGATAAAGTGCACCAGCTTTACAGCGTCTGTTGAGATTTTCAGTAGTAGGACTTTTCACAAGCAATTTCATGGAAAGACTTCCCAAAAACCTCACTCTGTTCTGATTCGGTTCAGGTTTCGAGAACTTCTAGACGGGATATATGCATCCACCAAATCACAGATGTGAAACAATATGTTGTAGACTTTATGACTCAATGTCAACAGCCAGGGCTAATAGCAGCTGGCTCTGTGTTTCATGAAAGGAAAACATCGGGCCGGATGATAAGCCGTGGCCAAAGTAAACTTGGCCACTTTCTACACTCATCAGAACCTGGGCAGCAAATCCAGACCTTCTTGACTCCACCGTTTCCTCATGCAGCACCTGAGAGCTCAAGCTCCTCTCGTCCAGTTTTTCAGAACCACAGTTTGGGTTTAAACGACTCCCTCGGCCAGCAGCTCTCTGGGGTTTTATCAAATTGGCTTTATTTAGATGAAATGCTTTGTTGATGTGATAAAAATGAAGCGTGGGATTCATTAACGTGCCACGATTTATTGATCGATAAAAAGCGATGAGTTTTGCACAAATTTAGGGGCTGTTAATGGGATTTTACTCTCTTCGGTGAATGATTCAGGTTATCCATTGTGTCACTGTCTTCTTCTCTAGATGTGGAGCACAAAGAAGATGACGAGTGTGACACAATCAAGACGGAGGTAAGATTTCTGTGCTGTTCTGTGTCGTTCTATGGGTCAGAATAAGGGCTGAATCCTTGTTTTGTGAGGTCAGAGTTGTTTAAATAATCTTTGGATGTTCAACAAGATGTGGTGCCATTTTGTTTGACTGCAGTTGCCATGAATACATAAAATACTTAACATTCTTGCAGACTTGTGGCAAAGCCAGAATTAAGAAAAGTCAATTTTCCTCTCATTCTTTTGTCTGTGTGTATCATTCACCGTTAATTAGTTGGACCAAAAAGCGAAGCCAACCTCAGCACAAACCATGTAGTCTAGATGAAAACTGCACCCAACTCTTTGGTTTGGGTCTGACAGGAATTTATTGATGAGCTCGACTCACGTTGTCCAATCGAATCTTTAGAGTTTATGTGTCTGGAATCAGTTTTTTAATGTTTGCTAACAACACTACGGTTCGAAGGCACGTGGTCTCGTTCCATACGACTTAGATCAAATCTACTGACTCTGAATTCGGTGAAATCACAAACAAAATGGAAGTTGCGTCCCTTTCAGACTTTTTTTTAGATCATCTGACTTTGTAGCTCCCGGCAAAAAATCCAGCATTGTCAAAACGAACACGCCTCACAGCTAGAATCTCAACGAGGTACAACAAGTGCCTCCCTGAGAAAACAAATATTTGCTCATTCAAACCGCGAGCTGGTCAAAAAGAGATAAACTGCAGCCTGGAAAAACCGGCGGTGGAAGAGTCGGGACTTGTTAGTCGGAGGACCAAGGGGTGGTCCAACTTGTTTGGTAATTTAGCATCAGTATAAACTTACACGCTCCTGGCAACTAGATATTCTAATTGGACTCAAGCCCCTACAACAAAGGACCAAATGTTTCTCATTTAAAGATTTGTTTAGATTGACTTTCCACTCTTGCGCTCTAGTAACATAGCAGACGGTCGAGGCCTTTCCGTTCAGGTTTTCAGAACGAAATAAGCAAAATCATGCACAGCACATTCTTCGCTGCTGTTTGCTTTTGACTGCAGGTTGTCTGTGCGGAGAAATCCAGAAACAAAAAATTGGTTTCTTCTCTCTTTGAACTGATGAAAGAAATGGTACCTAATGGTGTATAGATTTGAAATATCAAATACACTTGGAAGCATCTCAGGAAAGCTTGTTCCGGTGTTTTTGAGGTTATTAGACGCTGTGACCTCCCTTCTCAAAATCAACTCATGCAAATCACCAAACTACCCATTTCAAACTGAACGTCTCTCTCATGAAACACGGCGACTGGCTCGACGCACAATTTTGCTATAGTTCTCAACATCGACTCAAAAACCCCCCAAAACAAACAAGTAGCTAATTTGTTTCTTTCGTACCTTAAACAGAGAGGTCGAGGCAGGCTACGAAGGGGAGTTGGTTGGGAGATCAGCCTTCGACAGAGGCCAATGCCCAGAATAACCTTCCAGGCCGGTGACCCTTATTACATTAGCAAGCGGACCAGGGAGGAGTTGATGGCCAAGTGGAAGATGGAGGTGAGTACCCTTGCTGTAAACCAGCACTGACCACAGGGTCAGAGGCAAGCGTTGACTGGAGCTAGGACCCCTGGTGAACCCATGACCAAGTGTATTTGGTGTGTCATTTGATATTTCATGAAGGTACCATTTATTTCAGTGAAATTTCCCCAGTTTGGCTTCTGCTTTTCATTGCTTTGTTCTTGTGTTTCGTACGAGCAAGGGGGGGAGAAATTACATCCATCTGTGTGGGTCACATCTGGTTCATACTTCCCTGCTGAAAACATAAAATTTAGATTTACTCTGTTCCCTGGGCTTTTGATGTCTCACTTCAGAGCCCAGTGAATGGTCATAAAGCTGATCCCAACATGCAATGTTTCTTTGTTGTTGTTGTTGCTAGAGTCTGAGACGAGTTGAATGAATTGAGTTAAGTTGGATTAAGATGAGTTGAACTCAGTTCTGTCAGATTGGTTCAGTGGGTCTGCTCTCAAACACTGAGTCTCTGGTTCTGGTTCTGCTGGAGGTTTCTTCTTGTTAAAGTGGACATTTTCCTCTCCACTGTTGCTGCATGCATGCTCATTCTGAGAGATTCCTGCAAGTAAATGACTTGAAATCAGTTTTAATAATGAGCTAAAGTCGATACTGATTTGTAAAGTATGTGACTGGACTGAAATGACTTTTCTCGTAAAATACCTTTCACTCTTTTACTTGTTTGTCTTTTGCATTGTCTAAATTGACATGGTGTGATTTGAACTGGCGCTATGTAAATAAACTGAAATCAAGACTAACTGAGTCAAATTGGTTATCATCATCACTATTGTGTGGCTGAGTTTCATTACGCTGCCGCAGATATTTCCATCTTTGTTGGCTCGTGCACACACGCTCGTCTGTTTTCAGTCATCGGCTTAAGAAAGCAAACAGAAGTGCGTTTGCACTTCTGAGCTGGAAACGGGGCGAAACAAGTTTTTCTGGCAAAACGTCGCTTCTTTCACAAAATCATCGAGCAGGTTGTGACAGAAATGTCATTTTAAAGCAACAAACCACATGTATGTGTTCGAACATTTCCGCGTTTTGCTATCTTACAGCCACAAAGTGGATTTTTACTGGAGTTTCTTGTAACACACCATCACAACGTAGCGTGTATTTGTACCATGGAAGGAGGGTTCTCTAAGCTCCTTCCTAATAAATATCTGAAAGTCAACTATTGTAAAACAGAGCCCACTTCTGTGTTATTTAATTTCAGTATAGATAAAGCTTTTATTGTGAAGGCCCCAGAGTTTTATTAGAAAATATAAGTGGTTTTAGCATAATAAAATATAAATAGTTAAAGGAATATAAATACTTTTGAAAGGCACTATATATCTACCTTTGTAGTAACTGGTATTATTGCATTGTATTGAATACATTTTGAGTATCTTTCTCTTTATTGCATGTAAACCCCTGATCTGGTAATAAAGTTTCATTAATAACAGACTACTGGACGTTAATTTGTTACAAATTTGTCAAGAAAATGTTATTGAATAACTACAGACTGGATTTAGTGAGGCTTGCAGGATTCTCAAAGCAATAACTAGATTAAGGAAAATCTTAAACTTCAACACAAAATTATGCGTAACTTTTAAGTAACAACCAAAAAGGTAAACAGAAAGAAAAAAAAAAGCACAAATATTATTCCTTTATAGATCTTTTTTTGTTTTTTTTTCTTATCTGGCACTTTGCAAACTTTCATGAGATTTGCATAAATGCGGCTTTGCTTTGCCGTGAAAGTCCTCTTCTGCGCTGCAGGGGACCTCACTGTTGCGTTCTCCTGCAGCACGGACAGCGTGGTGGTTCAGAGGGTTTTTGTTTTTTGTTTTTTACATGTGTTACAGTGAGAACTTCTCCTTCTTTCCCTTTTCATTTCCTTCCACCACTCCTCACCCCTCCCCCCCAGCTACCGAAGTGAACTTTGTGCTGTGGATGTGAGGGTGAAGATGAGGTTTCTGCAAATACTCAGCCATGCTGGCCCCCCAACATTTGCAAGTCGCGTCTAGCCAACCAGAACTGCCTTAGCAATCACCTGACCCTGAACTTCCCAGACAAAGAAATGTTCATGCCTTTTTTTCTTTCCTCTTTCTTCTTCCACCCCAAGTGTGGGGGTGAACAAACCTAAGCCCCACACTGGATCATGAGGTTAGCACGCTGGCATGTATGGGTATGTGGACCTGCATTGTTTGTTTGGTGGCGATGGTGTGTGTTTCTGAGCAGCTTGCTCGCAGTGAGAATATGCTGACATAAGGTATTTCCGCGAGAGTTGTTGTGGACCATCTGTCCGGCATGGCTTAAAGGGAACCTGCCTCTTTAAATAAGGACGGGAGCGCAGGCTTTTAGCCATGTTTGGGAATAAAGCTGCTGGCTTATAAGAAAGAAGGGGGAAAAAAAGTTGCTTCTGTGAGAAATATATGCTGAAAAAATGCCTGAACGGCTCATTTTAGCACGTAGAAAAAACTCCTAAGAGCAGGATTTTGGATGAAATCTAATTTTCAAAAGAACTATTTTTAGTGCCAGCATGATTTTTTTTAACTGTGACGTGTTTGAGTTGTTTTGCTGCACTGATCAGAACGTGGAGGATTTTTGATTTCTGATGTCTGCAGAGATTTGACCTGCCTGTACTGATTTTAGTTGACTCTGATTGCTCTTTAACAAAAATGAAAAACAAACAGAACGCAGATTTTTTTCTCTCTCTCTCTCTAATGTTACTTCTGTAACCTGCTTTTGATTATTTATAGTAGAAGCAGAAGCGATGTTACACTGAAAAGGAGGAAAAATAGAGGAGAAGTAAGTTACCCCTGAAATGCGCCATCTTAGTAGGATACCAGTAAACATAATTGCATAGGAGCAGCATTACCACCAACGTTACCAAAGTGTAAATTAGTTTTTTAAGGGCTTTTTCTGCTCTTTGGGAGAACCAATTCAGTTTCAAGCAATTGAAAATAGTTAACACCACACTCACTTATAAGTAACTGTTTAGAGTTTGCTTAAAGTCAGAAACTCCTTATCATTGAACTCATAATTTTGAACGTAATATATGCCAGTGGAACTAGTACTTTTCTTTAATCAATATTAGGGAATGATTGACTTAGAGCAAGCTACAGTTAGCAAAAACTTTATTTTGAAGTTAGTTTATTCATATATTGCTGTACTAATTTCCACAAAAAAAACAGACAAAAACTTAACTTGGTAAGATTTTGTGTGTTTTGGGGGTACACCAAATTTGACTTCCTGCGACTTTCTTTCACCTTTGGCTTTTCAAAGCAAATAACACACTAGATCTGCCGAGTCCATGACTAATATCTGAGTCTCCCACCTGATCTGTGGATCTCTGCAGCTCCTCCAGAGTCACAATGAGCCTCCTGGCCACTTCTCTGAGTCTATTAATAGCGGTGTAACAATAAATCGGCCCTGATTTGTCGATTTCCTTAATGTCTTAAGATCGGTGCTCTTTACTACCTCAGCAAAAGTCTGAAAATCAGCCACTGTCGTCTTTTTATTCTACCACCAGGGAGGTTTGGCTGACAAGTCGGCCCACCAGGTTATGTCTGCACATTTGCGATTGACAACAGTCACCCCACCGCTCCTACATTTCAGTCAAAAAAATAAATAAATGATCGGCCAAAATCAGAATGGTCAGGTCAGGCTTTTTAAAGATTGGCCAGAACTCTGGAATCGGTGCAGCCCTATCTATCGGCCGCGTCTTGTCAGGCTCAGGGTTGTGCCACACGCTTTGCTGTTTTTTACCAGTCCTGTGGGAAGGTGTCCAATGTTCGGTGCTTCAAACTCCGCCACGGCTGCATCCCGGGCCCGGTTGACGTGTTCTTTGCTCTTCATTGTGCTGTTTGAGCTCTAATGTTCCCGAACAATACTCGGTGACCTTTGCAGAGCAGCTGCTTTTATAAAAGCCGCATTTAAAAAACGTATAACCTTTTTTTTCCCCTTCCACTTCACAATTATGCACTATATCCAATGCGCTCCCCTAAAATTTTTATTGGCCTGGTCTGGTCACCCCTATGAACTTTTTTTTTCCCCCGTGGGCGCCACTGACTACATTGTGTTGGGACCATTACATAAGATCCCATTAAAGTGAAAAAAGTGGAAGTAGTTCAAAGGGTATGAATACTTTTACAAGGAACAGTAAGATCCCGTTTACAAGGGCTTTCAGGCTCCGGCTCGGCATTGGCTTTGCCGTCAGGAGGTCCGTTGCCCGTGTTGTGCTGCCAAGTTCAATAGCTGCACTGTTTACCAAAACTCCTCTGTTGTCTCTGGGTTTCGTTATTTGTTTTTTTTTTCATGTCTTGTTTTGTTTTAGGCAGAGAAAAGAGCCAAGCTGATGTCAGAGATCAACATAATGAAGGACCTGGAGAAGGACGACGCAGAGAGCCGGACGGAGGAGCTTCCCATAATCAAACACCCGCAGCCTTCAAAGCAACAACCTCAGCCTCAGCCGCACAGCCAGCCTCTGCCGCAGCCTCAGTATCAGCAGCAATCACAGCCACCTCTGCTGGTGCAACACAAGCGGCTGCTGCAACACAAGCAGCTGCAGCAACACAAGCAGCTGCAGCAACACAAGCAGCAGCAGCAACACAAGCAGCAGCAGCAACACAAGCAGCCACCTCAACAGCAGCAACCTACTGACCCGGCTTCTCCCACCGTGGCCACCACCCCGGAGCCTGTCGCCATCGGAGGAGAGGAAAAAACTTCCCAGAAGTCTGCAGACACTGAGCCCGAGTATGAGGTAACGCTCTGCGGAAGCACGACTTTGCTCTGGTCATAACATTAATGGTGAATGTGAGTTTAGACTCTCTTTGTCTTGTCAGAGCAGCTGCCTGGTTCAGTGGGGCGTCTTAAAAGTTGACTAATACACACAATAATGTGCCCTGTGGATTAATAAAACACATGAAACGACTCTCCCTGTGCTTTACACCAGCATCAATCTATTACTTTTCTAATCTTTGACCTCGTTACAATTTTAACTTGACAACTAATGTTTGAAATGTAGACTCATAACACAGTTTCCCAATATTATGAACAAATCTCAGACTCCGAATATTGGGGAATAAATGCCTATTTGTACTTCTATTGGGGTAAATAGAAGTACAAACTTGAGCAATTTCCAGAATAATAAAAAACAACCTACCACTTTTCTGCACACGCAATTAAATTTGAATTCATTAGAATATAATTGAATTTACTTCTTCAAAAGCTGAAATGCACTGTTATAGAATAGTCATTAGTAGGCCTGTCACAATAAATCAATTAATCGCGTGATCAATTAAAATGAGTTGAATCATTTTCATTTGCTTGAAACTGGATGATGAAAGTCTTCAGTCTGATTTAGGTCTTTAACTATTCCGTTTTTTTGAAGGACTGCTTTGTGTACAAAGACTTCATAATTCATTTTATTTGTTTTTTTCTTTGGGGACAATATTTGTTTATTCAGATATTTAAATTTCCAGTGTTAAATGTTCACTAAAATTTAAAGTTAATTGTTGAGAATGTGTTCTTGCATTATTAGGCAACAATATTTATCACAATGACTTCTGGGACGATTTATCGTGCAGTAAAATTTCATTGTAATGTAGGAAGTAATCCAACCAGCATGTGGCTCCATTCTGTTATCCATTGAAAAAAAATTAGCAATAAATGCTGATTAATTTCCTTTTCCGCAGACGTTTCTTTTGTCAGCTCCCGAAAAGTACCATAGTTAGTGCATTAAAAGTGATGAAAATAAGTCCAAGCATAAAGGTTTTCAAGCATGTACAAAATATGGATAACCAGCTCTCACAGGTAAGAGCTGGGAAAATGTTGTAGCATTTGCGATGAGACGCCAACATGGCCCACTTTTCGCCTCTGGAAGTTTAATAACGAGAAGCGGATCTCAAAGAGATCAGGAAGACAAACTTCTCTGATTTTTATCTTGATGGATTACTGCATCACAATTCGGGCATCATATGGAGATACAGGTATATTGACCAACAAAATAAATTGAGTATAATTAGTATTAGCTAAAAGTTCTAATGAACAATTCTTGAGTGGTCGGTAAAGTTCAACATAATTTGTTTTTGCATGACGTTTATATTTACTGAGATAACAGCTCATTGTAAACAATTTGTTTGTATACAGTATACAAGAAATGCTGCATAGTTTCTCTGTGTTCTTGGGTATTTTGGATAAAATAGTTCCTTGTTCTTTTTTATGCAACAGATAGTCTCTCCCCCCCCAACCCTCCAAAATAGAAAATGAGCTGTGTGGAAACGCTCTGTCACTGCGCTCAGAAGTTAATACGGAGCGGATGATTTGTGTTGTCTTCTGGCTGCAGGACGGCCGTGGTTTTGGCATCGGCGAGCTGGTTTGGGGGAAGCTGCGAGGATTTTCCTGGTGGCCGGGCCGCATCGTATCCTGGTGTGTGACGGGCCGGAGCAGAGCCGCCGAGGGAACCAGATGGGTCATGTGGTTTGGAGATGGAAAATTCTCAGTGGTGAGTGTTCGGGGCCAACGGTAATATTTCTGTCAGGTGATTTTTCTTTTGGCTTTTCAAGCAAAACTGCCTTCTGTTTTAGTGAAAACCAGAAGGGCTTTCTTCTTTTTTTTTTTACCGTGTATTTATTCGGTTAATCTTGAAATTTTATATCCAGGCAATTTGTGGTATTGCAGTGTCAAAAAATTTATTTCTTGTGTATTTTTACAGGTATGTGTGGAGAAACTTCTGCCTTTAAGTTCATTTAACAATGCCTTTCACCAACCAACTTACAACAAACAGCCCATGTACAAGAAAGCAATCTACGAAGTGTTACAGGTGAGCGCTTCTGAAGTGTATTTTGATGCTTCACTTCGGGCTGAACATTATGGGAAAAACATAATGTCTTTCATTAGTGCGACGGTACATTTTGGGACTACCGTAGCACCACATATCAACAATAAAAATTCATTATTGATACAAATAATGATTTTTTTTGTCTTAAATATCTGAAATGTGGCCAATCCACAGAGAGGATCCTTCCTGTTTTAGCCAACAATTTCGCTCCATTTTCAAGCTGCACAGGCTCGGTGTTGCTCTAGTTACTCCACAGGTTGTTCCGCCAGCCTTTTCTAGCGTGCCGTGAGAGACCGAGCGGCTGATGAACCATCCAGTAAAGCTCTGCGTTTCTGATTTGGATTTCAGTTAAATTGATTATCGCAGGTGTTATCTATTGATATTGATTATGTGTCTGTCACAATATATATTGTTATGGATTTATTCTCCAGTTCTTGTTTCACTCTGTCATATTGTTGGAATATTTTAAACAAGAGATTCACCAATCAGAGTTTTCTGTCTCCATATTTGTTTTGTTCTTTCACCAATAAAGATCTAGGATGCATTTAACATCTTACACTGAATGATTATTATTATATCAGAAGGTGATGCTATCTATCTGTATAATAGCAGTTACTGTAAATATTTTACATTTACTAAATTGAAGTTCAAATGAATATAAAACTGGGACTCCTTAGCATCTAGAAAGATTAGCCTTTGCTAAGGTCAGCGATGCTAATGGAGTGTACTCTCTCGAGCATCCAGGACTGTTAATGCCAATAAAAATCACCACCTCTTTCTTTCCAAATGATAAACGACCTCTATTAGCCAACACTTTTCAGTCAGAAGCATCTTGCGTGCCTCTCAATTTATAGTTCAGTTCGTTTTCCCTTTGCTGATGGATTAAAATGTTTGCCACATGTGTGCAGGTGGCTAGTAGCCGGGCAGGAAAAGCCTTCATAGCCTGCCCCGACAGCGATGAAAGTGAAACCTCCAAATCAGTGGACATGTTGAACAAGGAGATGATTGAGTGGGCGATGACCGGGTTTCAGCCCACTGGACCCAAGGGCTTAGAGCCCCCTGAAGGTAAGAAGGTGACACCTTTGACCCCACGGGAGCGGGGGACGGCCGGACTCACTCAAAATCATTCCGATAATTTTCACTTTGCCTCGACTCGCTAGAGGAGCGTAACTCCGAGGTTTGCCCCGAGATGTGGGTGGAGCCCGAAGCGGCGGCCTACACGCCCCCCCCAGCCAAAAAGCCTCGCAAAAGCACGGTGGAGAAACCGAAAGTCAAGGACATCATCGACGAGAGGACACGAGGTGAGGGGCCCCCGTCCTTTTGTTAGCCTGTGAACTCCTCGTTCTGTTGACGAGAGGTTAATGATTGGAAATGGGGTCAAGTTGCTGCATGTTACAGTGTCACCTACAGTTAGGACAAAAATACATCCTGGGTCTTAACAGTTGGGAGCAGCAGAGCCACATTGACTTAGTTAAACAATCAAAGACACATTAAAATGAAATATTGGCATAATATGCTTCCTGTCACGCATTGTCTATTTTTACTCTACCTTCCGGATGGATGCAGCTGTGTCTGCTTGATTTGCAGATGGTTGTTCACTTTCTATACGTGTCCTTTCCAGCCTTCTCTTTTGGTCTTTTAGCTTGTGGAATTTGTGTTGTTGTTGGGGAGAGACGCACCAATCAGAATTTCACAGACAATTTCGGTTTGCCTGTTTGTCAAGCTTTGATCTGACAATATAAATTTGAACTGATTCTTCTTTAAGATAGAACTCGGTATGATTTTTCTAATCTATTTATTTGAGCAGTTATTAGTATTTGTAGCAGAGGTAAATGTTACATTTGTGCGTGAAAGAATAGGACTGTCATTTGAAGTTATTTGAAAGCTGAGATACTGAAACTGGATGATGAAAGTCTTCAATTCGGTGTTTTGGTCTTTAACTATGCCTTTTTTTGAAGGACAGGTTTGTTTACTAAGACTTCATAATTCATTTCGTTTGTTTTGTCTGTTGTTTATTCAGATAATTAAAGTTTAAATGTTCACTAAACATGAATTAGCTTCTGGGAGGAGACCTACAATACTTCAAAATATGTACACAAACATCATCTTTTCAATTTTGTTTTCTCAGTTTTACTCATTGTTCAATCATTTGAACATTTATTTAGCATAAAATCAGCCTCATACCATCTGATTTTAGTTGGCCATGAGTTCTTAGGGTTATTTTTTTGAATCAGTGGACGATTCCTTTGACTTTTCAAATGATTGACTGAAGGCGCTTTGGAGTCCTCTGGACTTGATAAAGCGCATCATTTACCATATGTGATGAAAACATTGGGGGGGGGTCTTTGTAACATTTTCAGCAACATTCATTCATTCATTTCCTCTCTTTTCTGTCACAGAGCGACTTGTTTATGAAGTGAGACAAAAGTGCCGCAGCTTGGAGGGTAAGTCCGGCTCACACGTGCTCTCCAGATGCTATCGGTCATTTCTCACTGTCGTTAAGAAGCAATCTAATCTGTGCAGCAGTTCTCATACAACACTGAAGGAAACGCAATTATTTATGTTCTTACCCCCTTTTGTGAACATCCCAACTAACCTGTGTCACAGCTGACTAGATATTTTCACTCAAGTCTTCATCACAGCCTCTCGTCTTCCTCCAGACATCTGCATCTCTTGTGGAAGCCTGAACGTGAGCCTGGAGCACCCGTTGTTCGCTGGAGGAATGTGCCAGAGCTGCAAGGTGAGACGCTGAACGTCTTTACCGTTTTTGAAAACAACAAAAGTGTTTAAGGTTTTCTTTGTTTGATTGTTTGTTTCTTAATGTCTCTCTGCTCATATTCGGCTCTTTCTGTGTGCTTTGCAGAACTGCTTCCTGGAATGTGCGTACCAATATGACGACGACGGTTATCAGTCGTACTGCACTATTTGCTGCGGCGGGCGTGAGGTGCTCATGTGCGGAAACAACAACTGTTGCAGGTGAGGGGTTTGATTTCCCGATGTGACGAGCTTACGTTGCGACCACCCCGACTTCAGCTGTGCACGTTCAGCCTTGTTGGTCTCTTGTGTGGGGCGTTTAGTGGCAATTGGTGTCTAGAAGTGTAGAAATTTGAGTCTGGAGAAGTACGGAAGTAAAAATGTGTCGGAAACCTCGAGCACCGCTGGGTTACACAAACTGAAATACTTTGAGCTGGAGAGAAATGAAACTGCTAAACTTTCTAGAAGATATAGAAGTTTTAATTTGCTTTTCTTTTGGGAAGTTTTGTTAAACAGCTGCGATGTTCATCACACGTGCAGGCAGCTTTGTCCGAGAAGAAATTCACATCGTTTTTTTGTTTCGTTGTTTTGAACAGGTCCTTAATGGAAGGACCTGTTCCATTCTCAGAACAGAATTCTCAGAATGGAATTCTGTGAATTCTGTGAATTCTGTGAATTCCATTCTGAGAATTCAGAAGTCCGATCTGGTGAAAGCAGAACCAGAGTCTGCATCTCAAATGAGGACTTAGAACGAACCAGTGAAGATTCACCTCAGGTCTATTTTCTGTTGAGACGTCCCCTCAGGGTTGTGAATGTAGGACAACAAAATCAAAAGTCCTTCCTCACCTGAAGGACAACGGTTTGTCTTAAAGCTACAGCTTAAAAGATTACAAGGTCTTCTTTCAACGATGTGAAGCATAAACCAGACATGCTCACTTTTTGCAGTCTCTACTGGACTTACAACCTCGGCAGGTCAGAGAAACTGAAATAAACTCATCAAGCTCTGTGATGCCTTTCATTAAAAATGGTGTAGTCCAATTCTCGCACATTGAGGGTTTTGCAAAAGTATTCAGACCCCTCCCAAATTGTTGACGTTTTGTCACTTTACCATCACAAAATTCAATTTATTCTATTGTTTGTTTGTTTTTTTGAAATCAAAGTGGTGTTTGATTGTAATTGTGAAAAATGTTTAATGCTTTTGCTTTATGCCCTTTTTAATTTGACACCCATTGATAAAATCCTTCAAAAGTCACCCCTGCACTTTCACGTGCGGATAACATCTGTTCAGATTTGTATGGGCCAGACACACGGTGTGCTTTGCTCTTGCTCCGGTTTTAATGGAGAATGTCCTTGAGCTCTGCGACATAATCTTTGGATGAATCGACCGTTGATTATTTGTGATAAATCAAACACAGGTAGCGGCGTTATTCTTCACAAAGAGCTCGCTGTAGTCATCACAAATGTCACAACACTGATGTCAGGCTTCATCATGGAGGTCAGGCTCACCGACGACTTCTAACAAATATTACAGCGTGTGTGGTTTTTCAATTGGGAGTCTCAAAGAAAGATCAGCCGAAGTAACCTGGCGCAGTGATTGCAAGAAAACAAACGTCGAAAAATACCACTGAGAGCAACACACGGCGTGTTGTCAGCTGTACGACGGCCTGATCGGTGCACAAGGCTGTTCTTTGTGTTAACACGACGGCATGTGACATTGTGATGATAAGTCGCTGCTTGTCAGGCCGGGCTTTTGGATGGAAACCCGATATTCCAGTAGCCTGACCTCTGACCTCTGAATGAAGCTGAAGTGAAAACAAGAGAATCACTCGAGCCGAGCCTAATCCATTTAACCAGATAAAATATTCCGTGGTAAATTAATCCCATCAGGAGACATGATTTGAACTTGGAATGGAAGTCATCGATTAATGTTCCTCTCTCTTCTCGCCACGTCTTCGCCTTTGTGGCGCTTCAGGAACTTTTACATAAGAAGTTGACGCTGCCCTGCTCCGTCATGACGCTGCCCTGCTCCGTCATGACGCTCAGCTGGATGAGCGTCATTCACGTGAAACTTAAGGAGCTTGCCGAGTGTTTTTATTTCAAAACAGAACCTAATAAAGTCCATTTTTTATCCCACACTGAACTCTGTTTCTCTTTCTGTATCAACTTGCTCCACTTAAGGGTGACCAGCGGCGCCCTCCGCTGGGCGGCAGCCCAACTACAACACTAAAAGAAGGTCCAAGCGGACGTTACTAGTTAATCTGTTGGAGCTAAATTTAATCTAATAAACAATTAATAAACAGTCAACCGTAAGTTGATGAATTGTTTGCGTCCCTACTTTGAACACTGAAAGTTTGAAATCTTGTTCCAGCCAAAGCCATGTAGAGGTGACTGTGTTAACGCAGTCGGATCTCTGTGTTCAGGTGTTTCTGTGTGGAATGTGTAGACCTCCTGGTCGGTCAAGGAGCCGCCCACGCTGCCATCAAAGAGGACCCGTGGAACTGCTTCATGTGCAGTCCGAAGGGCGTGTTTGGTCTTCTGGAGCGCCGCTCAGACTGGCCCGACCACCTGCAGCTCTTCTTCGCAAATAATCACGACCAAGATTTTGTGAGTAGTGGAAGCAAGTGCCTTGCAGAGGAGCCTCTCTGTGGCCTCTCTGTCTGACTTTTCTTCCAATGTGTGAATTTCAGGATCCACCAAAGCTTTACCCCCCAGTCCTGGTGGAGAAAAGGAGGCCCATTCGTGTCCTGTCGCTGTTTGACGGCATAGCAACAGGTCGGACATCTTCTTCTCTTTTGTCACGGTCTATAGATTCAGCAGCCCTTGTTTTCTGTCAAATAAATTTTAAAGTCTGAAATGAACTGACACTCTGATTAAGTGCTGATGGGTTCGTTGTTTTTTGCGCTCTCCACAGGACTGCTGGTATTAAAAGAACTTGGCATCCAAGTGGATCGCTACGTAGCGTCCGAGGTGTGTGAAGACTCGATCACAGTGGGCATGGTCCGACATCAGGGGCGGATCATGTATGTTGGGGATGTGAGGAATGTCACGCGCAAACATGTAAGTGAAGAGGCTTTACTTTGGGGGGACTTGATGAGTTCAAACTTGTGAACTCACCAGTCAAAAGTATTTGCAGTGCATTGGTAGAGCACTTTTAACATTTCATATCTTGTCACAATGTATTAGCACAGGATTATTTTTCTCCCTTTGTATGACTTTGCGTCGTGTCTTTGGACAGATTCAGGAGTGGGGTCCGTTTGACCTCGTCATCGGCGGAAGCCCCTGCAACGACCTCTCGATAGTCAATCCTGCTCGGAAGGGCGTTTATGGTGCGTTCACGCATCTTCTCTGTGGTGTTTTCTAAATCTTTCTGCTCCAGATACAAAACACAAGGCTGTTCATCAATGTGTGGACTGTTTCTGACCCACAGGGGGCAGCGGCCGCCTCTTCTTTGAGTTCTACCGGCTGCTCCACGAGGCCCGGCCGAAGGAAGGGGACGACAGGCCGTTCTTCTGGCTCTTTGAAAACGTTGTTGCAATGGGTGTGAGCGACAAGAGGGACATCTCTCGCTTTTTAGAGGTGAGCTCCTGCAGTGACAGAGGACTGACTGCGAGTTAAGCATACAAAACAAGACAGTACACCTCCTCTTGATTATACTTTTAATATGTAAAATGATCTGCCTCCAGTGATAAGTGGGTAAACTTTATTTTAACAGGGCACCAAATGATTACTGGGTTTTGACTGCCCCCTTGTGGTGATTTCTTGTTGAGGAGTCATAAGTTGCATTTTTCTTATTATATATCTCTGCCTTTTAAACAGCTGATTATCTGTTGTAAATATACTTTACAAATATATTTGTAAAGTATATTTGTAAACTTCAAAACAATTTAGTTCCTCCGTTTTGGACGTCTCTTCAGGATTATCCAGAACTGTGATTTAAGAAGAAATAAGAACATTATTCTCATTTTTTTGTTGTTTGTACATTTTTATGTTACGTTTTTATATTTTATAGATTATTATGCCCTCGACAAAATGACTTACCCTAGGCTGGCTTTTAAAAGTAAGTTAAATTAAAGTAACGTAAATTAGTCGGCGCAAATAAAGATGAAATCCAGCAGGTGCAGCTCCTCTTCTGTTTCGCACAGATTTTTCTTTCATTTTAACTGGCACAAAAAAAGAGAACTGCACCGTGTTTTACTGGAAACGAAGCTGTACTGGTGTCCGTCTGATTAAACCTTGCTGTTTAATCATCCTTGTCTTTAATCACAGTGTAATCCAGTTATGATTGATGCCAAGGAGGTGTCTGCTGCCCACCGCGCCCGTTACTTTTGGGGTAACCTCCCTGGCATGAACAGGTCAGTGGCTGGACTGTCAGAAAGAAGCATCAAAAATAAACACAAACTCCCTAAAACACTCTAGAGGACGTCCTCCAGAAAACGGAAGCTTTCCACCACAGTTCGTCTGATTGTAAACGGCTCCGATTCGTTTCTCCTCTTCAGGCCTCTGTCGGCCATGTGCTCCGACCGGCTGGACCTCCAGGACTGTTTGGAGCACGGCAGAACGGCAAAGGTATGAACATCGTCCAGTTCACAGAAATCCATTAGGAAAAACTGTTGACTGAAAACAAATGTCACCAATATCAACAATTCCTCATTTATTCCTGCTCCTACATGCTGTAAATTGTAGTGGCTACATATTAAATGTGTAGAAAAGGCCAATTTATGGATTAATGCTGTCATAAAGATCTTACTTAAAATATATCTTGTACATTTGAAGAATTTCAGTAGAAAGACTCCTTCACGTTAGAAAACACTAACTAAGCTAATTACTAAATCATTAAATCTGTGTAAGACGTCTACAGTTTGTGCAACAGCTCTCAGTCGATCTGTTAAATTTGTTGTGACAATGAGTTCTTAGTTTGAGTGGTTTCGCCACGTTTTTGTTAAGTGTATGAGTTTTAAAAAGGTACCCGAGGCATTTGGAAGAGAATCGGACCCACAGCACCACAGATTTTTGAGAAATACCGCCAATTTAAGATATTTCTTAAACAGGAAAAGCATAATTTACTACAAGAAATACAGCCTAATTAAACTAATAAAAACATTGTGATTGTTAGTCATGTTTTTGTTTTGTTTTTTTCCAGTTTGAGAAGGTGAGGACCATCACCACCAGGTCTAACTCCATCAAGCAAGGAAAGGACCAGCATTATCCTGTCTACATGAATGAAAAAGAAGACATCCTCTGGTGCCCGGAGATGGAAAGGTATGAATGATTTTTATGAAATAAGAACTCGCGTACTCTTTAGGCACTTTGAAATGGGCTTCTGTCCCTTTAAGAAGCTCCTGTTCTTTCCAAGACTGTGGCAAATCGCCACAACAAAAAAAATCTACGTTTAGCTGTCTGCAACCACTCGGAGGCACAGTTTCACCAAGTGTTTACTAGCAGCGCTTTGTGACGGAGCAATCATTTTGCACCACCAAATGGCTGTTAATAGGTAAGCTAAAAATAATGGGATCTGAAATGGTTCCCTGTGGAACACCAGTTTGTTTTTTTTTCCCCAATATCTAACATTATCACTTGAAATGTATTTCTTAGACCCTTTTAGATTTGATTTAAACTACAACAGCGACTTCCCAGACAGGCTATAACTCGAGGGTTTGGAGATGAACATGATTGTCTTTTCGGTTTTAGATTTCTTCGTCTCATCCCGTTTGCTTGTGGTTTCTCCCGTCAGGGTTTTCGGCTTCCCAGTCCACTATACAGATGTTTCCAACATGAGCCGACTGGCGAGGCAGAGGCTCCTGGGCCGAGCGTGGAGCGTCCCCGTCATCCGCCACCTGTTTGCACCACTTAAAGATTATTTTGCCTGTGTTTGAGGAGCGAGGCGTCGCCTTCCAGGCTATTTAGGAACTAGAAATAATAAGAGCCTTGATTCTCAGATTATACTCATACGTATAATTTGCAAACATTGACATAGATTCACATTATCTCTTGTATTTGAATTGTAATTCTTATTCTATTTAATTTTGGGTTGGTTTTTTTTTTCTGTTGTTATTTTTACCTTTTAGCATTGTTATCGAATATTGTTCATATGTTTGTGCGAGCAATACTTGTATGAGTGGAATTTTGTTCCTTTTTAAAACGATGAATCAAAATGTTTCTCACTGACAAAAAAAAAACATTTTCAACCAAAACTATACAAATTGGACAAACTGTTATTTTGCGAAGACGCAAAAAAAACAAAAAAACATTTGCTTGCAAACCTAAAAGTTTTTTATTTTGAATGAAAAAGTTTGGATCACAAAGCTAAACTTTTTTTCTCGTCTGAAATAGTTGGTCCGGTACTTACGTTTGTTTTTGTTTGGTATTTGTTTCGGTGCAAACTTTAAACTCTTTTAATTTTTTACTAGTGTTTGACTTGTTATTGTAAATCAGTACTGTACTCTTCAACACTAAATAGAGATTCTGGGATTTTAGCTTTTCCTCATCAGGACTCCCCAAAATAGAGTCCAGCTTGAAAAAAATGACAATGTAGAGAGAATACATGAACCTGAACTACCCAAAAGAGAAAAATGTTGTATTCCCGAACGCTTGAAGTTAATGTTTGCACAGCCAACCAAAAAAATGGTTTCAAGCTAAATATTCTCATCCCAAAATCGTCAAATCGTTATAGGCACAAAAGAAACTTTTGTAAGCAAACATATAGATGCAAATGTAATTTTTTAAATACAAAGCAAAACATTTAATTTTATTTTTCTCCACCTTTCAAATGTTTTTTTGTTGTTGTTTGTTTTCGTTTTATTGAGAAACTTTTTGATTGGTTGTATCAAAAGAGAACAAAATCCCCATCATATTCTTGAGACTTCGCTTTCCTCTTGAGACACTGAGACACTCGAGCGCCGAACGCGTTTTACTAAAGAGACGGAAATCTTTCGGGAAGCATGGGGACGGCGTTTCGGGTGCGCGAAACGCGTCAGCGCCGCTGCGGCACGTTGTGACGTGCAGCGGCAGCCGTGCTTCCAGCTACTGAGCCTCGACGGAGATGTGAAAAGCGTTCTTTTTATATATATGTATGTATACATATATATATATATATACATATATATATAATTTTTTTTTTCCCGCTTCGGTGTCGGCGAGCGGCCATGTCTCTGAAAATCCAAAACACCAGATCACAAATACCTCTTTGTTTACGGTTTCTATACACAGCTGATGGTAATAAAGGTACTACTGTAAAATGGTTACAACACCATGGTGCTTCAAGACGATGACAGACATCATAGCCCATGTGGCACTACGACTTTAGACAACACAGAGCTCTTTAATCTGTTGCTTGAAAAACTTCTGCTGGATGTTTTTACATTTAATTGAAAAAAAATGTACTTAGTTCTGCAAAACAGACTTTAAACTGCAACACAAGAGCCTGTCCTCTTTTACAACTTTTGTACTGTTTTCTACTGGTGCTCATTTGGTCTCCCAGCCTTTCTGCACTCAGGCCCAAGGCCTGCATCTGCACAAACAGGATGTGAAGCTAGCCACATGGGGAATGATGTTTCCTGTCATTGAAAACAAAAAAAACAAACAACAAAAAAAAAATAAATAAATGAATCTTTTTAAGTCTCCGGTGAGCTACTTTTTTCTAGTGTCACCCCGACTAACGATGTTACTGTACAACTGTTAGTAAGCGCTGTTGCTGGAGGGCCGGTGACCGTCCTCCTCAACGTCCGCCTCTCTGAACTGAAAAAAACAAACAAAAAACTGTCAGGTGCAAAAACTCAACAACGTGGTGCGGCTTCACAAGGTTCTTCTACCTTTTATAGCAATTTTGTGCTGTTTTATCAACATTATAAGCACTTTTATATGTATACTTTCTTGCTTTCTTGATTATCATTATTTTTTTTATCATTATTAAATGATCATTTTTGTGAATTTTTGTTTGTTTTGTTTAGTTTTATGATGTGAACTGATCTACCCTTGTGTAATACTTTTTTGTATTCAGTAGGGCTGTGCCAATAGAAGTACAAGTTATGGATTTTGATATGTGAAACTTGTTATTGGACTGTGTACAGTTGGTGGATTGATGTTTGTTGACCTTTCCTTTTCCTCCATCGTTCAGATTGTACTCTATTTTAAAGCGGCAGCGAACCCTCCCACCTCTCGGCATGGGTCGGTGTGACTGAGTGAAAATGCCACGGTTTCTTTGTATTTGTACAAAAAAAAGTTAAGAATAAGGATCAATAACAAGACCTAATAGCTTTTATCAGAAGAAAGAGGCAACAATTACTAAAGCTAAAGCAATGCAACCTGTTGATAATTAGTGTATCATAGGGTTAACATTAAATTAAAACGGAGCATAAACAGCTGATAAATGCAGTTGTTTTCGTTCTTGCTTGGGATTTAGTCCGACTTTCTGCTCCGTCAGAAATTACCCCAACTATACTTTTAAATTAGCACTATCTTAAAAAGAGCGATTGGCTGCTCTTCTTTCATTTCCACACCTTTCAAACAAAAGGTCACCCAATTGTGACCGGAGATGTTTTTTTTGCTAAAGCTAAATTTGTAGCGCTGTACAGCCAGGAAAGTTAACTTCGGTTATTCAAGCACCTTTTCTGGGCTTCACTTCGAAAATGATTTTAAACCATAGAAAATGGTATGATGATTTTTTTTTTTTTTATTTTATTTCTTTTATCGGGCTTAAAAAGGTAATGTTTTAAAAACTTCGGGATACCCTAGGGCCTGTAAGCGGCTCATGCCTAGTTACCGCCCAAACTCAACGAGCGCAGAAGAAAAAAAAGGTCTGCCAGAGTTTAAATATTATGTCATTTTTGTCTATTTTTTGTCTCGGGTCCCTGGTATTTCCCTGAGAAATGTTAAGAGTGCGGATCACAGCCACCCTCAAAAACCAGAGGGCGGCCATTGCTCCTGATTTTAAACTAAAAGCTAAATCAGGAGGCTCAACGCCGCGGTTTGTCAAAACAAAAAACTGACTTAGTGTTTGACAAAGATTTTAGCTCTCAAAAGATTTAAAGAGCCTAATGAAAGCAGATGTTATCACTTAATCTATATCCTATTTAAGATTTAAATTTTTAAAATTTTATTTCTCTATGTAATTACTTTTAAGTGACCTTATCGCCATAATTTTTGACCTCACGGAAGAGTCATATTTTCCCTGTTCTGCAGCAAAAGAAAAACCCAACACCCCCTCATCTTTGTACTTTTTTTTTTTTACATTTTGTACATACAAATTTTCCGTCACTGTTTTCCAATTCTTTTTTTTATTCTTAATAATTCATATAAGATGTACAAATATTCTTTCCTAATATATGTCACCCACAACACTTTTTTTTTGATAAAAGTAAAAAATAATCAAAAATCTGATTGAGAATTTGCTTTAACCATTAGACGTTAGCCTTTCCATCCCAATCTGTGTGAATCCAGATTCAATGTCTTTGTGGTGTTAGCATTGGCCAGTGGACAGCTTTAAGCATAATGGTCTCAGTGTTAGCGCACAGCCCTACCTGGTGGTGTTTATTTTATTTTAGTTTGTATTTTCATGTTTTTTCTTTTCTTTTCTGCTTATGTAAACAAGAGGGATTGTAGTTGTTTCCAATGGTGCTAAACAGTTTATCTTATCCAGAAACATATTTAATTGGGAGAGAAATGAAAATGACAATGACTGTTTTGAGTTCTTTGTAGTGATGAAAAAAAAGACCTGTTGTGTCATACAAATATATTAACAAAGGCATTTTAACTTTGTACTTGAAAAAAAAAAAGGAGTAACAGTAAAGAAAGGTTTCCTATATTGTTTTAGACTATAGATTGCTAGATTACTGTAGTTGGTGCTTTATCTGTGGGAAATTGTGTGAGAAAAAAAAACAGTAATCATTTTTACTATTGCATACTGTATGCTTTACGCGCATTGCTTCTTAACCCTACATTCCAGGCTGTAATATTCATGTCTAATATCATGCTGTCTTTTTGAACTGATGCCTTTTTTTTTGCCCTTTATTTTTGTATCACCAACCATTTTTTTGTGTTTGTTTTTTACTGTTAAAGGAAGGTCAATACTGTGTGATACTGTTGACACACTTTCTGACTTTCTTTCTGCCATGACTGTTTCATAGCCTATATACGCTTTTTTTCCCCCCACAAGAACAGTTCATACAGCAAATGTAGCACCCATTCTCCGCGTGACTCCCCCATACTTATGTTTAGTGTCCAGAGACAAGATAAAGGCTCTGTATGTACTTGTGCTGGAGAACACTTGAATAAATGTCTTGTTTTTGTGCAAAAAAACAGCCATCTACCACTTTCTGCCTCATTATAAATAAACTATATATAACTTTGTATTTATGTGTACATCTCAAAAGAGTAAAGTAGACTAAGAACTTTCCTTACGTTGCCATTTCAAGGTTCAAGGTGCCATTGGACCTTGTTCAATCCCAGGAACAAGGTCCAGGCAGTAATCGGATACCCTGCTGGTGAAGCAAGTTGGCCAAAGGAGGAACTTTAGACCACTGTTGTTAAAACATGAGTTACTCACCATGTATTGTGGGTTCCACCTCAAATCCAGTATCCGCTTAAGTGCACAGAAGGAGGCAGAGGTCTCACGAGCATCAGAGCAATGCGGACCAGCTCCATATTTGCTGATCCAATCCGACTGTAGATTGTAGGTTCTTGTTATCTTCAGCTTTTACAATTCTTACACTGCAATTTGGTCTGTCATCGTCTTCCGTTTCTTTACCCTCACAGCTTTTCTTTTGTCATCTGGTCGGCGTGTAGCGTGGCTGATACTGGAATTTGTTATAATAAGTTTGTGTGGAAGATGATTTAATTTCCGGTGGTGGATTTACTGCTCTGCGAAGGTCAATACTAGTCAACGATACGCCTGTGCAAAATCTTCTGCCGTTGTCTTATTTATCTTATGTCTTATAATTTATTGGGCAGGGTGATAAATCCTGGTTTAAAACCCTCATTGTTGACATTCAGTTTGGGTTTATTGGGATTATTGAGTCCCAGTCCCGCTCCAATCCAATTATGTAGCTCCGGATAACCAACTCATTCTGTCAGACGTTTTCTGCCTTAATTTCTCCTCAAAAATGTTATTCGATGTGCCACAGACTCTCGCTTGCTGAAGAAAGATTGTGCTGTCTTTTGTAAGTTTTCTGATCACATAAATAGAATTACGGTTTCACAAATAGAACAGTGTTTTTTCAAAGAGTTTGTAACCAAACCACGTCTCAGTCCAGGTTAAAGGACGACGGACTCTTAGTATTCACCAGAGTTAAGGAACACACGATTACCTGAAGTGTGTGAACACCTGAAACCACTTCAGAAAACATGAATAGCTGCCAATTTTAGCAGTGGCTCATCCCCTCCCCTTCCTGTTTGTTGGATTTATGTGCAACGTGAGCACAATGTGTAAATAAAGCACGTCAACGCAGGAAGTTTACCTTTTGTAACTTCACAATAAGGTTTTTAAGGTTTAAACGTCCATGATAGTTTAAACCTAAAAAAAAAACTTCCTGTATAGGACTCTTATACTTCATCAAGAAAGGCTCATTTTGACAAAGTTCTTCACATCACAAAACAGACTTTATGTCAACAACATATTGAGGTGTTTTTATATCACAAGATCTTAAAATTCTACTAAAACACAAGAAAAGGTTTGTGATTGTAAGAAGACATGATGTGAAAATGACCGAATGCTTTTGCAAAGCGCTGCAACCAGAACCATCGGTTTGGGTGAGTTTAGGGAGCTCCAAGAAATAACGCAATGTTTTCTCCTCTTACATATTTATTAAAACCCTTTGTCTGTTTTTACATAGTGTTGCATACAATCTCTTAAGAGTAGAGTGGAAGGAAAGTTTAACGCGGAGAACAAAACCAACACAGTGTAACCACTCTGTATTTATGTTGCGCTCTCAGCCGTCGGCCCAAGAAACCCAACAGGAAATGCGAGGAAACGTCTTCAGTTCGCAGCGTTGTGTGTGCAAAACAGGGAGAGTCAGGTCCCGGGGCCCATTTTCCAGCAGCCTCCTTACGTTGAAGGCCATAAAAAAATCTAGAAAGTTCCAGTTGTCAACTATCTTCCGTCGGGGCTGCCGTGCATTTCTGGTGTGTAAGTTAGAAGAACAATCATGACCCACAGATGCAGCACCGCCTGAAGGAAAAAAACAAAAAGCGTTGATTAAAACACTTGGATTGTCAGACGATAAGCTGTTCCATAAATTATTGTGGTAAACCAACAATATTGTTGTTTTGACACTGTTTTATATGCCCACTCAAACATATACAAATAAATACATTTACTTAGCACTGGAACATGAAGACATTTTAAATTTCCAAAAAAAAAAAAGCAGCAATAATTAAAACAGATCGTTACCAAAATTGCATTTAAAAATAAATAAATGAATAAATCAATCGTTCAGCTTAAACAGGCAAAAGTGGCAGGAAGCGCAAACAAACTACTTCGCACTGGGTGTCAAATCTTTGCAGTATTTCTCAAAATGGCGGCTTTTCAACAATATTAAAAGGGAGCATCTCTCTGAAGAATATTGTCCAAAGGGAAATGATCGCGCCCACTTCAATTTATCACGCGATTCATCGTTTACTGTGACGGATGAACCGACGCTCCGTGTTAAAACGAGCTCTCACCATGTAAAGGATGACAAAAAGCCTGGCCATCGGGTAGCGCCTCAGGAAGATCCCCAGTCTTATGCTGCCAGGCAACAGAAATGTTGTCAAAATGGAGGAAGGATTCAAATAACCGTGGAAAGACGAGGACGGAGGCTCACCTGAAACGGTCGATGGTACTAGCTGCCTTCCGGACTTTTCCGTACACACCCGGACTGTCCTGATCACTGAACAGCACCGGCGTGTTTCTCTGACGCGTTCCTAGCCGCCGAAGAAAACAAACACAGGAGATTTAAACTATTTTAGGTCTAAATATGAATAAAAAGTGGTCAAAGTTATGTCTGCTGACAAAAATACAACTAATGAAAGGTCTAACCTGGACCCTCCAGGGTGCTCATGTTGATGGACGAGCCCCCGCTTTGGCCTCCCTGCGCGCTCTTCAGCTGCTGCTCCAGACGCTCCAGCTGGAAGACCAGCGAGCTTTTCTCCGTGCCCAGGGCCTCCAGCATGGTCTGCTTCTGGATCAGCGTCTCCGTCAGCTGGTGGAGGCGATTCTCCAGCTCCGTCTGGCTGCTGCTGCTCAGAGTCTTGTTGGTCAGCTGAAAAAAAAAGCAAAATTTAAATCAAGTAAGAGTTCAGAAGAAAAAGTTCTTCTCAGTTGCCAATAAAACATGCTTCATTTCTAACCAGGCTGAAATCTGTTTTTGTTGTGTGTCTTTTTTAATGCTTTCTGTGACTTTAAAGAGGCTCCGACCTGATTTCTGAGTTTCTGGATTTCATCTTCTCTGTCTTTGATTCGGCTCTGCAGGTTGACTTTGGCCCGGTGCTGCTCGTCCTCAAGGTACTGCAGCTCCTGCATAACCAGCAATCAGTCGAAACATTCCCGCCCAAACAAATAACCGTTTTGTTTTTTTCAATGTGAATATCGGCCACGACTGCCACCTTTACCTGCTTGTAGCGCTCCACCTCGGCCTCTAAATCCTGCTTGGCCCGGTTCTGTAAGGCCTGTTGCTCCTGCAGGTGGACCTGCTGCTCCCGCCATGCTTCTGCTTCTGCCAGGGCCTGGTTCTCCAAATCCTACACGGATCGAACGAGCGTGAGGCAAAAGTAGCGCGACTTGTCAGCCCTTCTTGTTGCCGGACGCGAGAACTCGCCTGTATCTCCGCCCGGAGCGTGCCGACCTGACCCTGCAGCTTTTGAATCTCTTCCCTCTGGAGCTCCTTCTCATGACGGAGTTCCTCCATCTCCAAGGCCAAAGCCCCGCCGCCGTCGCCCACGTCCAGACCCGAGCCCTCCTTCAGGCTGCTTATTAGCTTTTCTTTGGACTTTGCAGAACAGCACAAACAGAATGAAGAATGGCTTAGAGGAACCTCAAGAGCACAGGCAAACACTGATTTCCCAGTCTTTTCACAGTTCCACAATAAAATTTAGGCCCTGGCTTTGACTAGGGCATTTTAACATGCTTTGAGTTTTGTCACTATTTCACAAAGAACCAGGACCATGAAGTCCACAAGCAACAGTTTACAGGTTGATGCTTTTCAGAATCCATCGTTTTTCCTTTTAAAAGCCTTCACTACTTTAGGTTTTTACGTTGCATTAAATTTAGCGGCGCACCAATTGCAGTTTTCTGGCCGATCCTTCAAAATCCCGACCTGTCGATTCCGATTCTGACCGATGCGGATTTTTTTTCTCCAGAAAAGCTGCTAAACAAAAATAAAAGTTGCTAGATGCTGGCAGATTTGTAGTTTTAAAGTGACAAAAATAAACAAACAAACAAAAAAAATCCTTCTGAGTATTAATGTGAGGTAATGCCACAATAACAAATTTTGCTGGATGATAAATTATTCCAGAACATATTGTGATGAATGATAACATTGTTGATTTGAGACCATTTTCTAGTAACATAGTAATGACATAATAACGCGAGAACACATTCGCAGGGATTAATAGTCATTAAATTCTAATGAACATTTAAACACTGGAAATGGAAGACAACTTAAATAGTCCAAATAAGTAAAGAAATCAACAGAAACAACAAAATGAATTATTAAGTCTTGTAAACAAAACTGTCTTTCAAAAAAAAAAAAAAAAACAGAGGCCAAAGCACCAGACTGAAAATCAGTTTTTGTAGATGGAGAGAGAAAAACGATAAATCAAGCAAATGAAAGTTGTTGTTTTTTTAATTTAATATACAATTAACTGATTTATTTACTGTGACAGGTCTGGGTGCTGTGCTCCATTTTTGTTCTTCTTTCCAGGCCAAAGCCGAGTGTTACCTGTAGGATGCGTGATGCCTTGTGCTTGTAGTCCTGCAGTTCCTGCTTGGCAGACTCGGCCGCCGCTTTGGCACTTCTCACTTGGTGCTGGAGGTCGTCGACCCTGACCTTCTCCTCCACCGCCCGGCGCTCCGCCGCCGTCAACGTCTCCGCCAGGGTCTGCCGCTCGGCCTCCAGCTTGCCCAGCCGCTCGGCGTACTCGCTCTTCACATAGACCAGAGCGGCGTTCAGTGCCGGCGGGGTTTTTTTTTTTTTTTCTCTATTCGTCAAACTCAACAAGCGGAAAAAGGTTCACCTGCATCTGCCGGTAGCTGTCCTGTTCCCTCCTGACAGAGAGCTCCGCCTCCCGCAGCCTCTCCTGTATCTTCTCCAGAGCTTGGGAATGGATGCTGCTGCCTTCTGTGTGATCCTGCATTATTCTACAGACAAATCAAG